GTGGTTGGAGCGCTGGCGGCAACATTTGCAGCTGACTCGAAACCAGGAGGAAAAGCTGGTGGTTCTGGCACAGTGGAAGGTTAGTGAATCCCCATACATCAATCAGGTGCGCACTTGCCAGGCCAGATGTTTGCGGTTGGAGCATTTGGGCGCGCCATGTTGAAGCTTTCGTCGAACTGAGAACCAACACCTTTCAAGGGCAAGTGGTTGTCGGGATTGCCTGTGGTTGGAGTGCTAGCCGCGACATTTGCAGCTGATTCGAAACCAGGAGGAAAAACCGGTGGGTCTGGTACAATGGAAGGTTAGTGAATCTCCCTACAACAATCAGGTGTGTACTTGCCAGGCCAGATATTTGCGCTGGGACCATCTGGGAGCACCATGTTGAAGCTTTCGTCGAACTGGGAACCGAAACCTTGCGAGGCCAAGTCATTGGTAACGCCTGAGCCCACAGGCTGGTTGGCGCTATCCATGTTGAAGAAAGAGTTGATCTCAGACAATGACGGATCAGGGTACTCAGTGAAAGCAGGACCGTGACCAGTGGCAGCAAAACCAAAGGCGTTGGTGTCAGTGGTGCTGTCGAGGAATTCGGTGAAGGAAAAGTCACTGTTCTAAAGACGTGTTAGCGACAGTCTCCCGGAAACAGACGGACTTTTATCGCTTACGATGTCAGCTTCGAGGAGCGGGCCCAAAAAAGCAAACTCCTGATCGACAGCGTCGCCGTGACTGAAGTCCACGAGAGTTGAGCCTTGGCTGGTCGCCGGCGCTGGGCCAACGCTGTTGACTACACGCGGGTCCATGGATTGATCCTCATTCGCCGCTGGAGCGGGCAAGCCACGTCTCGGCGCCGCCATGTTCGACCGGTAGGAGGTCTAGCCTTGCGCGAGCGTGGACGGACGCTTGACTGATGGTGTTGATGATCGCAACAAGCGGCGCGACAAAAGAAAGAAGATGATACACGATAACTTCGACACAGTTGGGGAGGTGTTGATGAAAGGTAAGGTGAGGGAGGTTGAAAAATTTCAGTCGAGACTTTTCATTGTGAGAACTGCCCTGGGGTCCGGCCTGAGAGTGAAAGACGGCGCTAGCGAGGAACGCGGTCTGGTATAAAGATGCGGTGGTGCAAATGGACCTTGGTGGACATCCAGTGGCCCATATTGCACTTCTGCACAGTGTTCTGTTCCATCGAGACGGACCATTCCCTGGTTGTTGTGCTACTTTGAGCTTCTATACCGTCCTCTCCCGGGCCACTCTCCACGGCTTTGCGCTCAGAGCGGGAGAAGTACGAGACCGTGTTGCTGAGAGGCTCATCCATGGCCCTGCACTAATTTGAAGACGCTGGTGGTGAGCGCATGGTCGACACAGCGGACGCTTCATGTCAGGAGAGAAAGGGAAAGGTAAGGACAAAGATTCAAGGGCCACTCCTTATACCCATGAAACGCCCAGACTTTGCCCGGCACGAGCATTGACGTCACTTCAGGCCTTACACGTGCCTGACTACGAGAGAAAAAGCAAGCCTCATGGCGTGAGATCGTTACCAGAAATTCCGTCAAGTCCCTACCACTACAGAGCTGAGTCTCAGATGCAAGAGGACGGATTCTGGGCAAGAGCGGCCATTGTTTATCATTTCTACTGGACTCAGAGTTATGGCAAAAGAAAGATGCAGGAGAAACATACAAAAGGCATGACATCGAGCCGGAGAAATCTAGCATGGCCGACGTGCAGGCTTGGGAAACCACCTGCAGGAAACATTTTAAGGTTTAGAAAAAGACAGAGAAGCTCAAAAGAGAAGAAAGCATGGGACAATCGGGAAATTCAACACTAAGTGCCGGATTGGTTGTTGTCCCTGGTAATTTGAGTTTGATATGTCATTCAATCATTCAGCAAAGATTCTGTCTTAGAGAGGCTTTTGACCGGTAGTGCTCAGCGATTTGATGGCTGAGATCAATGTTCGAAAGCTGCCCTATACGGAACTGCGCAGTTATTGCATGGTTGGGGGAATTCGAGGTATGTCATCCTGGTTTAGTGTGAATCGGGGTCGACGTGCTCCTTCGTTACAGGACAATCCGTGAGGTCTTGGACCGCCATCTGGCTCAAGAAAACGTCAAATTCTGCCCCGGCCATCTCTGCCGTGTAGTCCTCGAAGAGGCCATCAATAATCTGATTCGACACCGTTGCTGGTTTTTCGACTTGATCTGGAGATGGATCTGTGCTGGAGCTGTCCGCCGTCAACGCGTCGACCATCTCGCTGACGTCCCTGTGGCCATTCCACTGGAGACTCTGGGGGATAAGGCGCTTGATCTCTGCAACCGCGACAGGATCTGGTGTCGGAGACAGCGAGGCCGGATCAAGCGTCACCAACGAGCCGTAAGAATAAGGGAGTGGTGCACCGAGAGTGCGAGTGCGAGCCAGCGGTGTCGACGCCCGAGGGAAATGGATGTTGGGGAACGACAACAAGTTTTGGCCAACCAAGGGAGACCGAGTTCTCAACAGCCCGGCCTTGGGGTGATGTAGAGGCATAGGCATCTTCATGTTGGAAGGCGATTCATAGTTCTGTGGTAGCGGGCTGGATTTTGTCTCAGGAGCCCATGGCTGTTCTGGTGGAGGAGTCTGCTCGATGAGGGCTGAGTAGGATCTTTTTCGTCCCCGAGGAGATCCATCCATTTTCTTTTTAAATAAATGGTTCCCCTCCAATTCCAAGCTATCCCTTATTTTGGCCTTTCTGAATTCTTCAAGGATGGTGGAGTTAGAGGTGGGAAAGGTCTGTCGTTGAGCGATCTGGTTGGGTGTTATGCAAGGGGGTTGAGAACGTGACAGGCCTGGCTTGAGACAAGGCAAGGGAGGGAATGGAACCCCAGCCGCCCAGTGTGTCCCAAAAGGAATGAATCTGCTGATCGCCTTCACAGGGTGATATCGAAAGTCTCTTGCACAGTGCAGAATAAATACAATCTGAAAAAATGAAGCGGTGGTTTCGAAACTTGAAGCTGCGCTGCGCTGGATCCTGGGACACCATCAGCGCAGGCAGTATTGATCGTGAATATGCACACGTAATGCACATATATTCCGGTTCAAAACCTCTGTCTGAGATGAATACACAGGAGAAAGTGACAAAGACGGATACCCACGGCGTCAGAACGACTTGTTTGCTGGTTCAAATGTTTGCATCGATCAATCAAAAGAGGGAATTGATATTGTAAAGCTAATGTATGTGTAGACCTTGTAGTCCTCCATGAGAACACTCCTGGTTCATTTCCACCGTTGAAGCGAGTGTGTAGACCACAGCATTTCATCTCAGTCGTTCGCCATATTCATCGTATGATCATAGACACTTATTCTGTAATTTAGACCCCTTGAAACAACAGCAGATCTGCCAACAACATCTTCTTCCACAGGGCGGTATGTCGGATCACTTCTTAGCCTCGATCTCGGCCAAGAGCTTCTCGTACTCGCTCCAGTCCCACATGATTCGCTTGCATCCGGTAACAAGAAGGTGGTCAGCCATCTCCTGCTTCTGCCCTCTTGTGTGTGTAGAACCAACGTATCCCAGACATGGTATTTTTGCATTCACGGCCGCTAGAACCCCGGACTTGCTGTCTTCGGTAGTCAAGCATTCCTTTGCATTGGCCCCAAGCTGCTGGACTGCATGAAGGTAGACAGCGGGATTTGGCTTGCTGGTTGGAAATGGCAGGGAGTCGGCAGCAGAAAAGATGTTGTCCGGGTGGAAGAATCGGTCGTGGCCGGCTTTCACAAGGCATGCTTTGATGCGTCGAATGGACGAGGAGGAGACGACGGCCAACTTGTATTTGCCTTCGTAACGGAGCTTTTGGAGCGTCTCAATCGACCCAGGGCAGGGCTGAGCTTTCGCCTCAATGTTTTCGATCACACGGTCCTCCTCGAGCTTGATGTAGTCTCGCATTTCTTCGTGATCCAGAGTGAAGCCGAGGTGTTGCTGCAGGACGACCATAATGCTGCGAAAGTTGAGGCCGACAAACTGAGAGATCAACTCTTCAGGTGAATAGCGAGCGGTGATGCCTTTCCTCTCCAGGATCTCGTTGACAATCCCACTGCAGACATCAAAAGCAATGTCCTCAGAGAGCACAAGGGTGTTGTCACAATCGAATAGAAGGTATTTGATCTGCAAGCAGGTGTCAGTAGATGGGATGGGGAAAGATTGATCTGGACCTACCGCCATGGCTTTTTCTTCAGAATAAACTGATGGTATACTTCCTGTGAGCTGCTCGGGTGCGTGCTTGAGACAAATGGTACGTGTGAAGGACGTGAGAGAGCGACAGACAGTATGTACCTGAACAAGGAGTGATCGAAAGAACAGGATTCAAGTAGTCGCTGGGCAGGCAGGAGGGCAACGCAAATAGGGCCGCAGGCAGTGAAAGCGAGCCCAAATGCCACAAAGTCACGGGACTAGGGCAGCCATTGCCCTTTGTGAAGGAAATACTTCAATAAAGGGCTAGCGCACATATCGGGACATTGTATTGCCGATCCGGAGACGTCGATGGCGCTCAAAGGAACTGCTTGCCAGAATATCAAAGGAGGGAGCCATGGTACCAAGGGCCGACAAGGCTGAACAAGGCTGAACAAGGCTGAGTTGCAATCATAACCCCTAGCACCCACTTGCTTACCAAGGAAATCTGGCTAACCACCACGCAGACAAAGACGTAACTGGGTGTTGTCGAGTCATGGACCGGTTCCGACACTCCAACAGACCAAGCTGAGGTGGGTAAAACATAAGCCTCTGACTTAATAAAGCACCGTTGAATTCGGATCGTTAAATCAAGGATATGGCAGGACATCCTCGGGTCTGCCAACATCCTGAGGCAATGGAATCTTCTTTGTGAACGGTTCCTCGGTATCGACCAACTCGTCCACCGTCAGCACCGCCATGCCCTTTCCCATCCCCTTTTGCTGCATGTCTTTTCGCTGGGTTCTCCACTCGCGGTATAGCTTCCACCACCATTGATGTGTCTCCCCGTCTCTACCAAGATGACCGGCAACACCATCTTGACTGACTTGCCGTTCCCAAGGCTTGTCGACAATATAATGGAGGACTATCAGCTTGTCATCGGACCATATCCGAGGATGCCAATATCTCATGGTCTTCAGAGCATTGTATTTCCAGGACAGAGGATGCCACTTCCCACGGAAGAATGCAGCGAGAAAGTCCTGATCCGGGAACTGATAGTTCTTCAGCTGACTGCTGACGTTGAAAAAATGAAGCATTCTGGTCCACAGCTGTTCGGAGGGGTAGAAGAGAAACATGCCGCTGTTCAAGAGGTGATACGTGGGTCGACTCTCTGAGCTAACTGCTGAAGCCACATCGTCGGGGTGATTCAAGGGTGTATAGGCGCAATTTCCCTTGTGCCATTCAGACGGAGCCCATGGATCGTTATCCAGATTACACACACAGGCGTGATTGGCACCGATCCAGTCTCGACCTGGTAGTTTGCATTCAAAAATGTCGTCGGGATTCTGGAAGACAGCCATGTCGGCATCCAGAAAAACGGCTCTCGTGAAGCCTAGGTTGTAGACCTCGAAAGCACGGAGTTTGGTGAATGTGTCTTTGAAGCGCTCGGCAACACTACCAGTATTCTCCTGGTCCTTCTTAGGCAGCAAAAGGGAAACTCTCTCCAATTTCATCCGGCCATAGATCTCGGCTTCCTCTTGGAGGGCAGCAAGAGCCTTGTCTCCTAAAGAGTCAGTGTACTGCACCAATAGAGGATATTTGGATTGGTGTTGGTCGAGAGTGTGAGCTAGGACAATGACGCCTGGAAGATATGACGGCTTTGTCACCAAGGTCACCCAACACCAGTTTTCAGGAGGATCCGTTAGGGAGCCCATATTGAAAAAGACTTCCAAACCAATAGTGTTCTAGGAATTGAGAAAACAGCATATGACCGTGAATGGGTTGAATAACCTATTCAATCCCTCTAGCTTTTTGTACGCCATCTCAGCCCGTGCTCACTGGCCAGTACCTCTGGGCGTCCAGGGTCATGTCGTCATTGACCATTGAGGCTTTCCAAGGTTCTTGGTCGAGTGAGACCAGAGAGCAATAGCTGGACGTGTTACTATCACCCAATTCGAGACAGACTAGAGACACATGAGGCGCATCAACAGGTGTTGAATATCGTGCTTGATAAGGAGTTCCACGTATTACAGTGCAATCTCGCCTGCAAAGGGGAGAGAAACTCCTGAGATTGCAAGACAAAGCGCCTGAGCTCGAATCAGAATACCCGGAACAGCGGGAGGCATGTGATTGGCGGAAACCCGAGGCAGGCCCGGTTTCTCCGCCGACCAATTCGGCATCGTCTTTGTTGACACTCCAATCCACCAACAGGAAGGTCAGCCGAATATGGACCCCTCGCCCAACCAGCTCACCAGGAACGCACCCTTTCAGCTGCGATCCTCAGCTGTCACGGTAAATAACGATCCCACCAGTTCATTCTCTGTCTCATGATTATGGTAGGCTGACACTTGGACCTCAGCTCGTTTGCACATCTCTTTCGACCGATCATTCTATCGTCTCTTGGGCATTTCTTGGATACCAACTCTTCCTTATTCCTCTACGTTTGGTCATTGTCCGAAGCCTCGTGCCCTCTCCCTGTTCCTCCCGGAGTAAAACCAGAAGCACCACGCACGTATCTTAGTCGGCTTGCGTCTGACATGCAGCCATGGTATTGCTGGAGAAGCAATGGGTGAATGTACAAGAGAAGACGTTTACAAAATGGTAGGCAACTCGGCCCCTGCCGTTCCATGAATATGGACTGATACCATTAGGCTGAATAACAAGATCGTCTCGCGCGAGGTCGCCGTTAAAAACCTTGTGACCGACCTATCTGACGGTATCATTCTTATCCACCTGCTAGAAGTCCTGAGCAATGAATCCCTCGGTCGATATGCTTCGAACCCGAGACTCCGGGTTCAGAAGTTTGAAAATGTCAACAAATCGCTGGAATTCATCAAGAGTCGCGGGATCCAGATGACAAACATCGGCGCTGAAGATGTCGTTGACGGCAACAGAAAAATCATCCTGGGCCTAATATGGACCCTCATTTTGCGGTTTACCATCTCCGACATCAATGAGGAAGGATTGACGGCCAAGGAAGGCCTGCTCCTCTGGTGCCAGCGAAAGACTGCGTGCTACGAAGGAGTCGAAGTCCGAGACTTCTCGTCTTCGTGGAATGACGGGCTCGCTTTTTGTGCCCTTCTCGACATCCATCGACCCGACCTCATCGATTTCGACACATTGGATAAGTCTGATCACAAGGGGAACATGAAATTGGCTTTTGATATCGCATCAAAGGAGATTGGTATTCCCGATCTGCTCGACGTGGAAGATGTTGCGGACGTCCCTAAACCCGACGAACGATCCCTTATGACATATATTGCCTATTGGTTTCACGCATTTAGTGCAATGGAACGGGTAGAGAATGCTGGCAGGCGGGTCGAGAAATTTGTGAGCAATATGCAGGGCGCTTGGGAGATGGAGTCGGCGTATGAGAAGAGGATGCGAGCTCTTCTGCAGCAGATCCGACACCAGCGACAGACCTGGCGTGATTCCAGGTTTGAGGGGACATACTCCGACGCCAAAGCTCAAGCCAATGAACTCGCCAGCTACAAACGGAACCAGAAACGAAGGTGGGTGGCAGAAAAGTCCGATCTAGCAGCCCTTCTCGGGAATATCAAGACGAAATTGTCCACATATCGCCTGCGGCCCTACCAGCCTCCAGCAGAGCTACGGTTGGAAGTGCTTGACTATGAATGGGCGGCATTGAGCACCGACGAGCACGCAAGGAGCAAACTGATCAACGAAACCATTCGAGACATCAAGAACGCTCTGAGGAAGAGCTTTGCGGACAAAGCCAACGACTTTGCACTGACTCTGAACACACTTTCTTTAGCTATCTCCGGGCTGGAGGGTGATGTCGAAGATCAACTGGACCACGCGCAGCGACTGTCGGCGAACCTGGGACCGCTCGAACAGTATCTGGAAGGAATAGCTATCCTTGACGAGAAATGCCAGGAGGCCAACATTGATGAAAACGACTTCACGACTTATACTTACGATGAGTTGTTGTATGAGCTGAGCCTGGTAAGGGCGAGTGTGCAGAAGAAGTTGACCTTCCTCGAAAACCAAATGGTGGCGCGCAACATGACGAATCTAACGCCAATCCAGCTTGAGGAATTTGAGTCTGTATTTCGACATTTTGACCGAGACGGCACAAATACTCTGACAGAGTTGGAGTTCAGCGCGGCGTTGGCAAGCCTTGGACTGGTCTACGACGAACAAGAGATGCACGAGAAGTTTCTGGAGGTGTGTCATACCGGTATCGACCCGTCAATGTCGCCGATATCTCGACGGCAAAGGGAGTCGCGTGGAGTGGGCTTCGAACAATTCATCCGCTTCATGGTCGCCGTGACCGAAGACCAAAACAGCGCGGAACAGGTGTTCCAATCCTTCCGCGAAGTGGCAGACGGGAAACCCTATGTCACGGAAATGGATCTTCGGCATTCATTGATTCCAGACGACCTCATCGAAGACCTATTGCAAAGTATGCCAGAACACACGGGCCCAGACATGGAAGCAGATCGGGACGTGCCCAAGTATGATTATATAACTTTCATGCAGGGCATGATTGGGGATGGACATCACGATGCTGGACAGAGAGATGATGAGCGAGGCAGCCGATCAAATGGTGTCACGACTCCCACCACTCCCAGGCGGTAGAAATCACTCCTTCATCCTCTCTGCCTGCATTCTGACTTCGGATATCGTTCTTTTCTGGATTGTCTCATCGGTGTTGGCGGGGTTTGGATAGAAATCAGCTTGAGCGATCCATGACTGTTCCACTATTATGAGCCGGAAAAGAGGTGGCGTTGGCCCAGAGAAAGCACCTGGGGACTGAAGATAGCCGTCGTCGAATACACACATAATTTAATCTCCTACGAGACTTGCGATTATGCTGCAATAGTTGTATTCCCCACGAATCGATGGGGCCGAGGCGGAAACGCGAATGAACGTCGCGCTCTGCTATTGGCGTGGATCCCAGACTCCCGCAGCCTCGGCAGCATTGGCTTTGACTTCGGTTCCATGCATTCCACTGCTCCCACTTCTCCTCCCTGGCTCGGGAACTCTGTTTGTTGTCGAGTCAGTGTACAGCGGGCTCTGAAAGAGCTACCTCGTCCACCAAGATGCCCGTGTTACAACAATCCGCAAACATCTCAGGGAAGAGCTCCAAGAGCAGCCCGATCTCTCGCATGCGCCCGCCCTGAGAGTCGGATACCTTTGCGACGAAACCACTTACGATGGCGCCCCGCAAGACCATCTATCTGCCCTCCAAGGACTATGAGCTGCCGGACATCGATATACTAACATTGATATACGGTATGTATCCTTTTTTTCTTTTGGCCTTGCTGTTTTCGCGTACGTCCCGAAACTCCTCTGGCTAATTGCAAACCACCATCTAGAGTCACCCGAGTCATGGAGCACCGAGTCCACGATTCTCCACGCCGAAGCCGCTGTGCCCTCCAACTGCGTCACCAAGGCCCAAGCGAGAGCTTACACCAAGCGCCTCGCCCACGTCTTCCGCCACGACTTTGGCATCGGCGCAAGTGGTCCCGGGAAAGATGTCGTGGTTTGCATCTCCTCGGGCCAAATTCTGCTCTCAAACGTCTTTTACGGGGTCATCGCCGCGGGGGGAGTGTTCAGCGCGGCAAGTTCCGCGTTTACGTCGCTCGAGTTGGCGCGGCAGGTCAAGCAGGGGAAGAGTAATCTGATTATTGCCAGCCCGGACTGTGTCGAGGTCGCCATACGAGCGGCGAAGGAGTGCAATGTACCGCTGGACAGGGTACTGGTGCTGGAGTCGATGGGTGGGAAGAGAGTGTTACAAGACGTGGAGCGGAAGGGCAGAAATTTCATCCAGGAAGGATGGAGGAAAGAGGATGAGCTGGAATGGGAAAGGATCACGGACAAGAAAGTGTTGGAGGAGAGGGTGGTCTGTCTGCTGTACAGCAGCGGGACGACGGGTGTTCCGAAAGGTAAGAATGTCGTCCTGCATCATCTCTTTGGCCCGGGGCCTCAAAGAGGACTCCTACAACAAGGCTTTTTTGCTGACCTCTTGCTGCTCTTGCACCGTAATTCAGGCGTCAACATCTCCCACACCAACCTCGTCTCCGAAGGTCTCATCCCCCAGTACATGATCCGGGAATACTTCGCCCGCCAGCGCCGGCTCAACCCTTCGTTCAACTTCGAATATCGAACCCTGGCCCACCTGCCCGCCGCGCACATCGCCGGCTGCCAGGGCTACTACGTCAACCCGTCGGTCGCCGGCGGTCCCGTCTACTGGATGCCGAAGTTCGATTTCCCCAAATTTCTCGAATACAACAAAAAGTTCCGCATCACGCATTTCTTCACCGTGCCGCCCATCTACCTGCTCATCGCCAAGAGTCCGCAGGTGACGGACCAGTTTGCGACGCTGGTGCACGCGGTTGGCGGCGCCGCGCCCATGGGCGCAGAGCTGCAGGCCATGGCGGAGAAGAAGCTGGGCTGCTCGATCAGCCAGACCTGGGGCCTGAGCGAGACGACGGGCTCCGTGACGGGCATGCCGTGGGACCAGGACGACAAGACGGGCTCGGTCAGCCCGCTTCTGGCGAATGTGAGGATGAGGATCGTGGATGACGACGAAAATGACGTGGAAGAGGGGTTGGAGGGCGAGTTCATTATGCAAGGACCCATGGTTACCAAGGGGTATTGGGACAACGAGGCGGCGACGAGAGACAGTTTCACAAAGGATGGCGTGTGGTTCAAGACCGGAGACATTGGCCTGTGTAGAAACGGCATGTTCTACGTGGTGGATCGGAAGAAGGAACTTATCAAATACAAGGGCCTCCAAATCGCCCCCGCCGAGCTCGAGGCCCTCCTTCTCTCGCATCCTCTGATCCAAGACGCCGCCGTCATCGGCATCCCCGAACCCAAAGGATTCGGCAACGAAATCCCGCGCGCCTACGTGGTCGCCGATCGGTCCAAGATCTCGGAACAGGAGATCAAGGATTTCGTCAAGCGGAACCTGGCCCAGCACAAGCAGCTTCGCGGCGGCGTGGTTTATCTCGAGGCGATCCCCAAGAGCCCCAGCGGCAAGATCCTCAGGAGGGAACTGAGGGAGGTAGCCAAGCGAGAGGCGAGGGTGGGCGAGCAGGCGAAGATCTGATGCCATGGGGGATAGTGAGTTGAGTTGAGCGGACGGGTGAGATGGCATGGATTTGGATGCGCTGGGCATAGAGCTGCTTCTTGAGAGCTGGGAATAGAGCCAAGAGGATACATAGAGTAGAGAAAGAGAGAGTAGATTCCTGCTAGGACCTGGATGGGACCTGGATGGGTGGTTTCACACGTTCCGTGTATTGGTCATGCTTCGACTGAATGCCGACATAGGCTGGTGCTCTTGGGTAGCAGTGGCACAAATCTCTTTATATCTTCCACACCTTGACGTTGTGGGGGTTTTTGGAGATGGCATGTGCGATCAACTTGCTGACGGCGCCTTGTTCTTCCCTCCCATTTCTCCATTCTTTGGGGCCAGCAAGATAGGCAATAAAGCCCGGCGGACCAGAAATGAGAATTTGCCTCTGTTCTTGAGACGTCGCGTATCCTCTCGAGAAGTCCTTGTCATCAAACCTGGACAGTGCTCGAAAAACGGCGTCTTCATCAATCCATGTATCCTCGGCGTTGACAAAGTATTCCACCGTTATCTGACCCGGATACCTTTGCTTCAAAGCCTCGAGTTCTTGCACGATGACACCTTTCTTCTCGGAAACTGGAGGCGATGGCTTCCGTTTCGGCTTTGAAAAGAAGCCAGACCAGGTTGGCTTGGGAGGCATCGATTCCGCAGGGGGGTCATCGCTGATGCCGCCTAGGCAGTCTTCGCGCATTCTGTTTGCCCATAAGATATGCAGCTTTCGGTCTCTGTTCGCTTCGTTACGCTCTGCAGTCGGGCTGCCTTCAAATAATGCGTGTGCCACCTGCAGAGCAGGCGCAATACCCGTCCCTCCTGCGAAGAAAACCACTTGTCGCACTTCTGGAGTCAGTTCGTACTCTAAGTTGGGCCCTCGCATTTCAATGTCGGCACCAATGCCCAGCCTGTGCAGATAACTTGAGACCTCACCATGTGGATCCTTTCGTATCAAGAACCGAATTTCTCCCTTCTCTTCTGCAGTCTTTTCGTCAATCGGCGGTAATGGTGTGTACGCCCTGACGATCTGAAGCTGCGGCTGCTTGAATTGAACGTTCCATATACCTCTTCTCCAAGCATCTTTATAAATCTCGTAATTGTGGTCTTCTTGCTTTGGTACCAGGTGAAATATGCTTGCGGTGGAAGAGACAGGCTCCTTTGCAATGAGCGTGTACGCGGCGAACGAGTCGCGTTTCTGCGAGTATAGGTATATCTGCCAGATAGCGTATAGACCAGTTCCTAGTGCGACTCCTATAGCGACGCGTCGATTGTTTGATTTCGGAGAGTGCTTTTGGGAATCAGGAGACTTTGGTTGATTCGCAGGAGTTGACGAGCTGTACCGCCTCCATGGCGCAAGCCGTAGCGGTCTCGAAGCTCTCTTGAAGTTGTTCGGCGCATCTCTCCAGCATCGTGCCAGCATTGAAAGTGTTGCTCGGGAGGTACAGTTGAAGGGCGATGGGAAACGCAGACAGAGAAGTAAATCGATACCCCGCTGCTTTTTGTGCGAGAGTTGAATTAGACCAGATATGGAAATTCGACCATGCCGCTCTTGACCCCGGCCATCAAACCGCTACCGTCGAGCCCGTCTCTATGGTCTACAACTTCAAAATGATGTTACCACTAACATCAGTTTTCATCGTCCATGATGAGATCCCGTCGTAGGGCTGACTCGGAAAACAGGGGGTGCCTTTAACGTGTCCAGAGAATGTGAGACTCTCTCGCTGGCCACATTCATTCGCCTCAATCGTCTCAGATACCTGCTCTCCTAATGCTTCCTTACTCCGCGCCGGTCCAAACAGTCTAGAGAATGGTGTGCCGTCGGTCTTTCTCTCCGGCTAATCGTTGTAAAGGGTACTGTCCGAGATCCTAATAGCCCAAGTGAAGGGAACTATTCTAATCCGGAGACGCAATCCAATCCATTCAAGAGCTCATTCTCTGCCCGCTACCATTGTGAGCTTTACTTTCGCATCTCGAACCACTTTTCCAGCAGCATTCCATATATTTCACTCCTGGTGGGGAAGCTGGGGACAGCATGCTTCAGTCGATCAAGAGGAACTTGACCAACAATTGCAACGGTGCTGCCATGGAGGAGATCGCCCACTTCCCTTCCCACGAACGTCGCCCCGACAAGCACATTCCTCTCTGAGTCTACGACCCATTGAGCCCAGCCGTCGTAGTCGAACTCAGCATATACCCAAGCACCTGGGAAATTGAATGGCACAGCCACCTCCACGGCCTTTATGCCGCTTTTCAAAGCTTCCGCCAAAGTCAAACCGACCGTGGCAACATTTGGATCCGTCACCACGACCTGCGAAACGGCGACCTGATCTGATGTGGCAGCGAACTCGCTCCATGGCTCAGGCCCTTGTAAATCAACTCCCGCAGCGCGAGCAATAATGGCCGCTGCTGCGATTCGCCCCTGATATTCACCCATATGCGTCAAAGGAGCCCTGCCGTTTGCGTCACCAATTGCATATATCCAAGCACCTCCCGCGGCGGAGGCGCACATGGTCTGATCGACGACCAGAGAACCAGTCAGGCCAACGTTTTCTAAGCCGATGGTCTTTGTGCGAGGTTTTCTGCCGGTGGCTATGAGGAGGTTGGAGCCATTGACGACCTGTCCGGAACCCAGCTTCACAGAAATCTTGCCGTCGACTTCTTTCCAGGCCTCGGCCACTCTTGAAGACAAATGAAAGTCAACATTGCGAGCTTTCAATGCCTCTCGGACGCGCTTCCCAGCTTCGGGTTCGTAACGGCTCAAAAGCTCAGCTGTTGCGCCGATCATGGTGACCTTGCTGCCGAAAGTCGAATATGCGGTGGCGATCTCGCAGCCCACCACACCTGATCCCACGATGATCAGATGCTCAGGTACTGTATCTGCTGCGGTGGCATCTCTGGGAGTCCAGTAATTGACCTGATCAATGCCCTTGATCTCCCTAGGGATGACTGGGTCTGAACCAGTGGCAATGACAACCGCGTGGTTGGCGACTAATGTCTTTTCCTGGCCGTTAATGTTCTTGACCAGCACCTTCTTTTCAGCAATTATTGACCCTTTGCCGCGCACGACGGAACATTTCTGCTTCAACGACAAGTTCACAAAGAACTCGTCGTCCCATTTGTGCGTGACTTTGTCACGTCGCTCGAAAACACCTTGGACATCGACAAGTCGATCAGCTGCAATCAGCTGCCTAGCCCCTCCAACCTGACGAGCAGCGGCAAGTGCTTCTCCCGGGCGCAGGATTGCCTTTGAGGGCATACAGGCCCAAAAAGGGCATTCACCGCCCCAGAGCTCCTCCTCGATTATGACGGAGGAGAGACCAGCTTCGGCGGTCTTGGAGGCCACTTGACGGCCCACGGGACCAGAACCAATAACGACCACATCAAATGCGGCGGATTCCAGAGCACCAGGGAGGTGGTTATCAGGGTGGAGGTTGACGTTGCGAGGAGCCATTGCTAAAGATGGACGAGGCGCTCAAGGTCTTAAGTTGAGTTGTTGGATTCGAGGCTGGGGATTGACTTCTCACTGATTGAGTCGGGGCTTTGTCAATGGGTTCGCGCCGGTGGGATTCCCAGCTTTTCAACCATCTCCATGGGCTGAGTCAGTCAGCAATACGGACGGCCTAGAATTCGTGTTTGTTGTTTGATCGGTTATCACCGAAGTAGCCATGCAGACCGATTACTATGATGAACCCTGTCCCACTTGGACTTTTCCTGACGTTCAAATTCGCTTCCGGCAGCCGGAATCAACTGGTGGTTCCCTGACCCCTCGTCGCCGCCGTGCCAAACCTGACCAGGCTCCCCTTGCAAACAGCTGTGCTCTCTTTAATTGGCTGCGGCATGGAGAAAGAAGTCTGATGTAACAATAGTGCGAAGCATACACGACGGGTCAGAGTTTATGACCAACGTCCCACCTTTGTCAGCATGCATCAAGACACAACAGGGCTCTGGGAAATATGGGATTTTCCTCCATCACGATTGGATTGCGCTGGGGGGATACGGTCCTTTGGACTTCGTGATCAACACACACTGCCAGCCTTCTGGAACAATTCCCGAAACCGCAGGTATCGAATTCCCCAATCGGGGAAACCCAGCCAAATCCAACCAACCACCAAAAGTTTCTGCCGACGGGGAGAGCAGGATCTTGTGAAAGCCGTTCCGCTGGAAACATCTGTAATGGGCCCCCGCAATTCCGATTCTCGAGGGCAGGGGTTTCTTTTTCTTTTATTGGCTGTACACTGCTGGGGTGCCGGCCGGGACACGCTGCTTTCGCCGCCTCCGGAGGAAGAAGAAGGGGAAGCAAGGCAAAACAGATCATTAACGAAAAGTTCCAGGCGCCAGTGGGAACAATTGGAAAGGGTACGAAAACGCGTGTTGTAGTCGCCCGCAGTAGTTATCGAGCAAAAAGATTCTGGGAAGTGCTAGACAAGGGCATGTCGAGTAGATTGACAGTCGTCGATGGAAGGTGGGCTGGAATACATATTCGACAACCAATAAGGGCTAAGGGCAGCCCCAAAACGAGATCTCGGCTAAAGAGGCTCAAGCATTCAGACTCAGTCGTGCGGCAGCCAGTATTCAGTGGGGGAGAACCGGAAAAGCACTCAAGAACTCCATGCAGGATGGGGGCCGAGATCAAACGTCTCTAGGATCAGGGGCGCTTTGATTGCGGTAGAATCTACCTAGGTATCTGGATATTGCTGAGTATCACCATTGCTCCCGATCGTCCTCTTCGCCACACCATCCAACAACACGATCTCAATCACCATTAGAAGAGTCCCGAGGGTCAGCCACCCGACTCATGCTAACATCGTGCAAGCCTTTATGGCTGTTGATCCACTGACTCCTCTGGCTCCTCTGGCTCCTCTGACTCTATCATCAGCACCGTTGCAGGCGAAACCACACTCTCCTCCATATAATCTCCCAGCACCTTCCTTCGGATGCTCCACGTCACAATTGGAGAGAAGCCCAGACAGACACGCCCTTCCTCTCTCTTCAGAAGCCCAGAGCGCCTATCCATCTTTTCCGCCTTGAAGGTCTGCCCGAAACATGGGAACTCGAAGCCATAAGTAATGTTGAGATTCTTAGACTCGCCCATCCGCCAATTGAGAGCATATTCAAAAATTTCAGTTAGCCGCCCGAGGAAATCGGCACGCGCGGGAGGCTCCTGGAAGGGACGGTAGCCGGCTTGTCCATCAGCAGTTGGCACTTGATTAACTGGTTGACATGACCGCACGCCCGAAACCACTTTACCACCTAGGAGGCGAGTCGGAGGAGGCAGAATGTGATCAAGACACTCGAGTGCCAGAGAAGCCATTTGTGCGGCACGTTCGTGATTGCGTGGAAGCAAGTGTTTATCAATGTATCTCTCCCAAAGCTTCTCTCTCAAATTAGCCGCCATGAGAGGCCCGAAGTCTGCAGCAGTCAGCAGCGCTCAACTTCAGTCGGAGCGAACTATAGTAACACTCACATTTTTCGTGGACGTCCTGAAATATGTTTTCCATCGAGTCACTGAAGAAGGACTCAGCGCTTGGTCCTGAGGTTAAGCACCACGCAGTGACTGCTTGACCAACCAGTGACTGAGCAAGGTGCTTCCACGTGATTGCTGTGGTTCTCGTTTGCATTGACTGGAATTCGTGGCGATGCCATGGTTGGACGACCAAGTTCAGCAGTGCTGCGAGCTTCTCTGGGTAGACATGCAGAGGATCGAAGATGATGGGTTGGTCCTGCGCCAGTCTCGCGGAGCGAAAGTAGATTGAGACAGCAGATTCGATCCGCACACGGGTACCTTCCATGGCTGTTTGGACTTCCTTATGGAAAGGTTGCGGAACCGCAGTCCCCAGAAGCTCCTGCAGACTTTGATAATGATCTCTGCAAAACAGAGGAACAAGATCCCACGAAGGAGTATCAGGTCCAAACCCGGGGATCCCTGACGGGGCCAGCAGCGAACTAAGAGAGCCTGCTGGAGTAGTTTTCGGCAGAGAAGTGGGGGTTTGAGTTGCCAGATGTGTCTGAGATCCTGCAAAACGGATCTGCGCAGCGGTGGCAGTGTCTTCAACGACATTTGGTTGAACTTCGGGAGGCGGCCCAGCATTGACATGAGTCTGGATCTCTGGTTGTGGCTCATCAACATCATCTGTCTCAGGTTGCGGCTCATTAACACCATGTATCTGGATGTCGGGCTCCGGCTCATTAACATCTTGTGTCTCGATTCTGAGGGAGTCATCACTGGAAGAGGCTGGCGTTGCGCTCCGATCTCGCTCCGTTGACTTTGCACGTTTTGGTGACGAGCACTCCACTGGATCGATGCTAGAATCAGCCTTCCTCTTGGTCTTGCGGTTTGTCCCGGCCTGGTCTGCCGGAGGTGGGTTGTTGTCTGCACTTGCGGTGTCCTCTTGAGGCTCTTCGTCCAATGGGAAAAGATCCGCCATGCTAGACCCTAACTTTCCCTGATCCAGAGCTGCTATGCCCTCGTCGAAGAAGACGGTGGCTGTAAAGGGCGTGGTTTGGTACTTGGTCAACCTGTACTTGGTCCATACCCTTCTCAGTTTGTCGTTGATCCTGCGCTTCAGCGTAACGCCACTGAGATGAGCGGCGGTGGGGAATTGATCTTGGAGACGTGTCGCTACTTCATCCAAGGCCAGGTCGAAATTCTGCCGCAGTGGTCCATCCGGGCCTTTATTCTGCTCCACCCACTCCAACAGGAGCCTCTCGGCAGCAGGGTTCCATTGCAGATGACCTTTGTTCTTCGGCATGGTGGGCGCGGCAGCGATGAGCTGTGAGCCAAGCAGTGATAGATTTATACTGCGACGGTATCTGGAGGGAGACGTGGTGACTCGAGGAGTGATGGGATGAGAGGAGATGAGGAAGAAACTGAGGCTCACAAGGAGAAAGCAATAAGGGGAGCTGCAGCTACTTTATGTTGACTGGAAGAGCTTCTGCATCCGGCATCATCGTCATCCTCTTTGTCTGGAGTTATGGTCAGCCTAAAGGAAGCGTCTGGGGGCATTCCATGACTCAATCAATGATTCAATGGGGACCCGTTTTCTTTGTCTGGAGGAGAGGAGGACATGGATTGAAGGACTGCTGATATTGATTGAATGATTGAGAACCATTGATTGAATGAATGAATGATTGAGGACTTGATTGATTGATTGATTGATTGAGATTGAGGAGGTCGACTCATTGATTGCAAGGACCACATCTGGTCATAATGGCAATTCACAACCACAATAACATGTTTGCTGCCCCGATTGCTGGACTGCACAAGCGGCCACTTCACTTTTTCAAGTGAAGATGGAACATGTCACTTCGTATCATCGCAGCCCTCACTTCCTACACACCGTCTGCGCCTTGCCTGCAAGCTGCCAAATTCACCTGGCTTCATCCTTTATCCCAAATCTCGCTCTCCTTCCTCCTTATCTGGTCAGATACCCTCATCCCACTCCTCTGGTCTCCTGTCTCGTTAGGGTTCTCCAACTGCATCATGGATTCCTGTCACCTGCCCACCTCCGACCCTAACGTGAAACAATTTGTCATTCGAAGCAAAAGCAGCCACCTCGAACAGAACAAACAGAGCTGCTCAGACTCATCCAAAAAAGCTCGCATCCTAGTTAGTGTCGACTTTGGCACCACAAGTTCCTCAGTCTGCTATGACGATGGCGTCGTCGGTCAAATACCACTATCGGGTCAACTGCTGGCCAAGAATATAGTACGCCGCCCAGGAGCCGAAGCTCGCATTAGGATACCATCAGCCGCGGTTGTATTGAGAGACACCTCCAAGGACGGATGCAAGAGAATGGTGCTCAAGTTCGGCGAAGAATTCGCAGGTCTTGAACCTTCCGATCGCCTTCTTGCCAGATTCGAGCTCATGAAGATGAGTTTGCTACCCCCACATGATCAGGCCCCAGGACGAGTTCACGGCGAATATGTTCAAGTCTATTAAGGCAAAGCACAACGCGGCTTTGAGCAAAATCCGCATCCAATCCCTCAGCCAAAAAATGTACACACAAGATCCTCTGACAGGGGAATTCAGACACTGCGAAGTGAACTCGATGGAGGATTTGATCACCTTGTTCTTCAACTTCCTTTGGCATCTCACAATGAAACTTTATACCACAACCCACAATATTGAGGTGGAAAAGGTGATAAGATTGTTCCAGAAGCATGCTGATGTCGCGGTTTCCGCCCCTGCGATAGGATACGAGTACTCGATGTTGGATTTATATGGGCCTGAGCACTCCATCCTGGATACATGCCGTAACCTGTTGCATGCTGCCGGTTTCCCAAAGAGTACTTGCGTCCTTTTTGAGGCACAATCAGCCGCAATGTTTCATGTCGCTACCCAACTGACACAAAGACAAACCAGTCTAGAGAACATACATGAGCTTGCAACCATGCTCGTGGTAGACATCGGCGGAGGCACGACAGATCTCTGCTATGTGTGCCCAGGCGACATTGGTGAAAAGACTCTCATGCTCAAGGGAGATAGGGGCGTCAGCACTCTTGACGGCTCAGTCAAGATCAACAAAATGTTCATAGAGCATTTGCGGACACAAGTACCACGACAAGTGCTCGAGGCTTTGCTTGGGTTGGCTAGCACTGCACTCGAATTTGACGACGTGTTGGAATTTTTTTCATCAGAATTCGAATTCCACAAAAGAATTGCTGGAAAAAACCCGCAAGCTTTTGTAATCACGACTTCTTACAAGACCCACCTGTCAACTCGTGATTGTCATGGAATTCAAGAAACTGAATACCCCGATTTTTTGGTCACTGAGGACGGTCTCCTTGTAAAAGGAGGGGTGATGCAAAGAATATTCTGTGACTGGCTGAAGAACATATTCCACGTTGTGGACAAGACACTGAGGCGCCTTCAGAGGCAGTCTGCGACCATTGTTCTGACTGGATGGGGAAGTCGCCCGCCTTACGTATTTGCAGCTTTTGTGGACCGTTACTCACGACAGGGAGTTAATGTGGAGATGGTGAGCGACTTGGCTAAAACGCCTGTCGTCGCACAGGGCGGATTCTTGGCTCTTGCAACTCAAAAGAACATCATGAGAAAAGTTGCCCGCGCTGACCTTATGTATCGCCTTAACTCCACGAGCAGCTTCCGCCACCTTGATCACGAGGGTACAGCACAGATCCTGGTTGAAGAGGGTGCAGATTTGGGCAACCTCAATCAGCAGTTTTCCAACAGACGTACGGTCATCACGGAAAATCCAGTCTTCCCGCTTACTCTCAAACTTGACATCTTGACAAACAGAGAATTCGGAACCATGGAGAACGAAGGCACGATCCAACTTGAGCTCGAGAGTCTGGAACGATGCGGTTTTCAGCTGGAGCAACGCGCAGGTGGCATACCTGTCCTGGAGCTCGAATACTCTGTGAAAATTGATTTGTCGGGGTTGGGGACGTTGTTGGTTATGACCGTCCCTTACACTGGTCATTTTGACGACATTATCAGTGACAGCAGCCTCGACATGGTTGTGTCTGAATTGGTCAATATCGAGAAACATGCTGCTCTAATGGAAGGCATAGACGAGCCATAGCACGGGAGCGGATCCATCTCATGTCCAAAAGACAACAGAACAACAAAAGGAACAAGGGAACAATAGGTGTGCGACTTAGCATCTCCCGACGAGACGAAACCAGCTTCGGTCTGACGGGCTCTTCGCAGCTTCAAAGTTAGAAGAAGATTACAAAGGAGCTGGAGAGGCGGCCGTCACTGTACATGAATGAGAGCAACGAGTTCTTGGTGCGTGCTGTTTGAGAAAGTTGGGGCTCGGGAAATGCTGTAGAGCTGGTGCAAGGAGCTGCTGGGGAAGGGCCAACAAAATCAACAGGGAGACGGAAGGTTGCTGTGCAGACAGTAGAGCTGGCACCAGTGGTGTTTAGATCAGGACGAGGTTTGGCATGTCTCTGTTGGAAAATCCCACACATAGTCCTTTTGTCCAGTGTTCTGCGGTGCGAAACAGGTGAAATGAGGGCGAGGCGATCCCCGCTCCTGAGGAGGTCGACTAAGTGAGGAAATTCCAGGATAGAAAGTCTGCATCGAGGCCAAAAAAAAGCGAAACAGGTCCATAGACTTCAAAATTCTGGAAGAAGTCTTCAAACAATGGGACGCAGTCACTGCAAAGTGGTCTGCTCCGTGCACGCTGTTGCAGATACAGGGAGCTCAGCCGGGCCTGGCCTTAATTCCGGTGGTCAGCCACTATTTTACCTATGAACCCGATAGATTCCCGCATATACCTAGGTACTTGTCACAAGGATGCAGGTGTGCGGGTATCCAGGTATGCAAGCTTGGTCAGCCGACAACCCTGGGATCCTTCATTATCTAAGCTGTACGAGCGTCGAGGCGCTCCACTCTCCGCGCCGGGCCTTGCATGGGTGGCAAGGGTATGTTGTGTGTATGAAGTGTACCTCGTATTTCCTCCCCGCCCGGCCAGCTGGCTGAGTCTTCTGGATTGGTGGGTAGGTAAAGGGGAATATGTATATACGAGACATCTACCTAGGTAGACTCGTTGTTTAGCCTACCTATTGACCGAGAACGTCACAATGCTTTGTCAATAAAGCAACTCAAAGAGTACACGAGGTCCCTCGTACATATATTACCCAACTTCCGAGACTCCACCATATGCCTTTAACAGCAGTTGCACCATGTGGGTACCATACCTACTCGTAACTCGTACTGGTGCAAGGCTACTAGGTACGGGGTACGGGTAGTATTTCTTAAGGGAGTAGTGGGGGCCGGCCGAGTTGTGGGCGGGCGCCAAGATTTAGGCGGCGGCTCGGCGGGAAACAATCATAGGTACCTAGTCAGGGTTAGAGCCCCTTCCCAATGCGGAATGTATTGTCATTCCCGAAACCAGAAAGCGCTGCCAGCGAAACAAAAAAAAAAACAAAATAGATCAAAGGGATTCGCAAAGGGATCATGGCAGGAGTACAATGGATTTGTCCAAGGTTCCCAAAGACCCGTTTCTCGCAGGATGGGGTTGTTACTAGTGGAAACAATTACGTTGAATACAATACCTAGGTAGAGGTAAACCGGTTCGAGCTCCGCCGGTTCGGGGCCACATATCCCCTGTAGACCTGGCCATTCTTCTTCTTCTTCTTCTTTGTGGGAGACACGACAATCACCAGAAGACAAAGAAAATCCGAGACGTGCCCCGTCCTGCTTCGCTTACGGGATGAGGCGGCGAATTCTGGACCGCCGTTCGCGGCGTTTTGAAACCCCGGTAAATGAAGCAACGTCCACACCCCCCGGTGTATAACAAAGAAGCTCGAGGCTAACAAAAAGCTTAATGTAAATAGAGACGAAATTATTCATGGGCTGTTCTCGCAATCACTCTCGTATGATGCCATTGATGTCAAAGCAGGAGACGACATGCGCGATGTAACCAGACATGACTCGCAAGCTCAGCTCTTCCAACCGCTATCGAAGCCGACGGCTTTGGGGCAACAACATTTGACTAGTCTTCAACTATAGACTACATGGTCTGATTCCAAGAGAAACCAGCCGGCTTCGCTGGTGTAAATTCGGTGCTCAATTGTGAAACAACATGTAAAGACAACCTGTAAACGCTTGTCACAGCTATGAACTGGTATCACACCCTTGATTTCGTGGAGCTTTGTCGGATGGTATGTGCTGGGACTCCAATTTCGGCGGGCTGGCTGGGTTTGACGAGAGACACAAGGACAGAGAAAGGTCAAGAGGCAAAGCAACCAAAAGGCTGGCATCTCGAGTGACGCATCAATCCTGGGTCGTCCGCCTGGGCCCCCAGGTCTATGCCGTCTCGGTACTGTGTTCAATTGATGGATGGAACACTCACAGGTCAACAATAGGAGATCGGTATGGGGAGATCGTGTTTTGAGACGAAACAGAATGGTGGAGAACTGTTTGAAGACTGTGCGGGTGTGACCAGCAATGACGTGCTTCCCTTGTATAGGCACCCGTCTCGCATAGTTGATAGCTCATGCGGCATGACCAACTTTCTGCAGCGCTTCCAGAGAGTAGGCGCTGGTGAACACCATCGTGATCAACATTCGCCGTGACCAATCGCGAGGACCACAATCGTGACTTATTGCTCAGTAAGGCTGAATATTGGGGATGCAAGGTTTGTCATCCTTTGCCCAGCGTCACTCAAAGAGGTTAGTATCCGGGACCAGCTCTTGCAAGAGAGTATTGGTTTCTTCGCTTCCCATCTCAATGTCAACATCATCGGAACCACACAGAAAGACGCCCATCTCGAGATCCGTCCAACGAGAGATCAGATGCCTCTTTGCGACCCAGTCTTGAGCGTAGATGAACTGTTTCACAAGGTTGTGAAGGACTTTGGGGCCCTCCTTCACTTCATCCCACTTTTGGACATCTTCGATAGTTTTGTCAATAAAATCTTGATAGCGCGAGGCAAGCTCAACTGCAAAACAGTTCCGACCCTTGCCCACGGACATGCCGACCAGTAGCAACCATAGAAATAAGTCGCGTCGGTAGCGCCACAAATCTGTACCCGAGCTCTTGCCAAGGTGTACCAGGAGCTTCTCTGCCAGTCTCAGTGGCACAAAAGCGCTAGTCCACGTCGGGGTGTTTGTCACATAGCAGACAATGTATACTGCCAGCCGACAGCATTCTGCTATCGGGCCAATTTTCTTGCAATTCTCCTCGTGGAAGACAAGCCGGGACTGGATAGATGTTTGTAGGCCTTCAATTTTCTCCTGATCGGTAGTACTCGTGGCGACGAGCTCTTGGAGGTGAAGCAGGTTCCGAACGCACAGCAGGACATCGCCGCTAATGACTTCTTCGTGTAGAACAAATCCAAGAGGCAGGGCGGGGAGTGAGGCGGTAGGGAATTCTTCGGATCGGCCGAGAAGACCTCGAAGGTCGGGTTGTTGGAAGTGATGTTGACTGCACACGAGCGCAGTACCTAGAAGGTGTTGCCTGCAACGAAGGGGTCAACAGGGCCCCTTCCAAGCTGATTTTCTTAGACGAACCAAAAAACCGCGCGCAGGACTTCAGACCGTAGTTGCGTGCCATCTGCATGACAATGTTCGAGAAGCTTGTAGAGACCTTCTAAATGTGCTGAAGATTCAGCAAGGTCACCGCAGTGATGCTTTTGTCTGATTAGCCCTCCCCGTCCAGAAGTTAGGAGTTTGGCATACCGCAACGCAGGAAAGAAGCAGTATTGTTCCAATCGACAGGGCTCGAATATTGGGGTTGTCCTTCTGCAAATCTTCCCTCAAGCATTCGATGGCTTTTGTCTTGAGCAGAAGTGACTCGTTTGTTGTATTACAGGAGTTATGAATATGAAGTATAGAATAGAGAAGGGCGTACAAAAATGCCGAGTTAGTCAAGCACTCTGGAAATAGGGAGAGCGCAGTCAAGTCCCCCTCAACAGGGCCAGAAACGAGCAGTGGCTCAGCCGCCACTTGAAAGGCACCTAAAGATGGTCAACATCGGCTTTCTGTGTGCGAAGTATAAGACACGTACAACTCCTGAGAAGATAGTCGATCCGAGTTTCGTCAAGATCAATGGCTTTTGAAATCTGCGACGCGTATGGATGACATTCATCGTTGGACGGCGATGCACCCGCAACCGGGATATGACCCGAGCTCGGCAGTTTGGAATTGAGTGGCTTCGCGCGAGTCCTCGCACAGCTGCACCGTCTCGGAGGACCGTCACCAGTCGATGACGACAGGAACTGAAAGGCCGTCGTGGGAGTATCAGCACCACCGGGATTCAGTGGACACTGTTGTGAGGCACCTTCTCGTGACGGAAGGTTTTCAATTTCCGGTTCAAGACAGTGACTGGTATCCACGTTTGGGGGTTGTTTTCGCTTGCCGCTTTTCACTTTGCCTCCCTCTGAAAAATCGGTGATGGTCAATGAGCGAAAATTCTCTAGTCGCCGAGTGCTCTTCTGGTTTGACCTTTCAAGGTTGACTTTCCGAACGTGTGATCGGAGAGCACGTACTTGACTCGAATCCAATGAAGACCCTGGCTTTGTCTCGTGCACGAAATGAATTGGTTGCGACATGTCACGGGTCTGTGAACGGGAGCGAGCGTCGGTGCAAGATTTCTTCTGCGGCAGAGGCGAATGAATAATTATTCCCAATGAGATAGATATACTCTTATGGGAATGACTCGTATGCGTATGATAAGGGCAATACCGAGAATGGTCCTGAAGGCCCGTTAGCAAGGTACCGTAGCGTAAAGCATCCAGGAGCCCAAAAGTCCACTTGTCACGGCCAGTTTCCTCCAATGTAAAGATACACGTATGCTTTGATATCCCCCATAAATATGACTAAGGAAACCTGCCTATAGTGCAGCCTGGACCCGTCGCTTTGGTAATGTTCGATCTTCTGCAGGCGAAGGCGATTATGGCATCTCGCGTGTGGCTAATGCCCTGTAGCTAGTCCTGCCGACGTGCAGGACTGATGTAGTACGAGCGAAGGGGCGCCCTTGTGCTTTTCCGATTGGAGAACTCTTCCAAATTCTGCGGCGTGGGATAGCGTTAAGCTGCCCAGGGAGAGATGCAGGCGGGCCGCAGAAGATCAATGGTGACCCGGCAATTCCGTCTTATGCTTCAAATGGCCATAAGAGGACGCGACTCTCCACCCTGATATCTATTCTCTCATCTCTCAAGTGCAATTGTGCTCTCTGACCAGGTCTGTGTTGCAACTTTGGAGTGGCAACAGCGGTCGGGCTCCTCTTTTAGGCCGGTGAGTCTGAACCATGCACGAGCTATTCAGGACCGTTTCGAACCAGAAAGAGTCGTTAAGAGCGAGCAAATGCGCCACAACCAGACTATCACGTCGACTCTAGCCCGTTATCGCGAAAAGAACCTCGCGCCGTTCGGCACGCCTTGGCCTGATGCCTGATACATGAGGGAAAACAAGGTCCATACACCAATCATGGCGGAGTGAATCTGTCAGACATCGCGATCAAGTGCAGGGCGCAAGACGCGGAGGCGTCGAGTTTCTCCACGGGAGGCGAGTTGCGCAAGTTCATCATCGTTGATGTTTCCGACAAGGTCAGTGTAGACGCAGCCACTATCGGCAGGACATCAAGGCAAGCGATTGCAAGCTTCGGCAAGTAATTTTCCTCGTCTTTCATCATTCGTCATTCGATCGCGCCCGCCCGAAGCTCACGGCACCGGTGGATTACTGATGATGGAGAATCGGGATTTAGCTTTGTCAAACACGCACGCAGCAAGCGAAATCTGACCCCTGTCACCCGCTGTTGGCAGCACAGAAGGACAAGTAAGAGCTAGTAAAAGCGGCGATACCAGCTCCACCAATCAAAACCTGTTTCGGCATTAGCGGCTTGGCTCCGTCCAACGTCCAGCCTGGCCTCCTCCAAGCCCATCCCAAGACTGTTATCAGGACCATCGAAAGAATATCCCTCAACAGGCAGTTTCGCTGAAAAAAGGAACTGTCAACGAGAATCACAATTTGACACCATGAGCCCCGGCACCTTGTGAAACCTTCACCCTCACAGCGTCGAGCTTGCCTCGAGGCCAACAGACACACCATGTCACCACCATCTCCTGGCTTCTCCGAAATCCAGAAGCCGCTTCATTTTCCCGGCAGAGATTCTCTAGAACTTGCCTCCCTGGCCGACTCCGAGCACGATGAGCTGCCCACCTCCGAGGATTCGTCGCGTTCCGGTATTTCCTCCTCCAGACGACTCTCGCTCGAGAACGAGGATCCCTTAGACAGTGCGAACCCAGCCTCGGCTCGCGGCCTGGCTCATGGGCGCTCCTACTCCGTCTCATCCGCCTTTGACTTCACCCCTGCGCTGTTCCCACTTTCTTCGACTGCAGGAGGAGGATACACCGCGCTAGGCAATCCGTCGGCCGTGTCGCTTTCTCTTGAGAGACGTGGGGCGTTGCAAAATCTGGAAAAGAACAAGACCTTGACATACCTCAACGGGCTCTCGCTGGTCGTCGGGTTGATTATAGGTTCTGGGATTTTCTCTTCTCCAGCACAAGTGAATTCACATGTGGGATCTCCGGGCGCAGCACTGCTGGTGTGGACAATTTCTGGCCTGCTGGCATGGACAGGCGCAGCTTCGTATGCCGAACTTGGAGGTGCTATACCACTGAATGGAGGTGCGCAGGTCTATCTAGCTAAAATCTTTGGCGAGGTGGTGGGATTTCTGTTCACCTGGTCGGCTATTCTCGTCCTCAAACCCGGCGGAGCTGCCATCATCGCCATTATATTTGGCGAATATGTTGTCCGTGCAGCGATTGGCGCCGAGGTCGAAGACATCAATCCATGGATCAACAAAATCCCCGCCTTGGCAGCCCTCGCGCTGGTCACAGTTTTCAACTGCGTCTCGACACGCTTCGCTGCTCGGTTGGGGGATCTGTTTATGCTCTTCAAATTCGTGGCACTCGTGGCAGTGACCATCATCGGCATCGTCGTAGCCGTGACCGGCCTCTCCTTCAACGGCCCTGCCAATAAAGACTGGCGCGACCACAACTGGTTTGAAAACACGTCGACCGACATCTCCAGTTGGGCCGTTGCACTCTACGCTGGGCTCTGGGCTTTTGACGGATGGGATAACACCAACTACGTGACTGGCGAGTTTAAAAACCCAGCACGCGATCTACCGAGAGTCCTTCACACAGCCATGCCTGCCGTCATCGTATGCTATCTTCTGGCCAATGTCGCATACATCTTCGTCTTACCTTTAGAGACCATCAACAAATCCAACACTGTTGCCGTTCAGTTTGGAAGCAAGGTCTTCGGTCCCATTGGAGCGCTCATCCTGGCGCTGATCGTGAGTGCGTCCTGCTTCGGCGCACTGAATGCCACGACATTCACCTCTGGCCGCTTGGTCTACGTTGCTGGACGAGAGGGGTACATCCCTTCTGTGTTCGGGAAGATTGGATTTGGGTCTTCGTCTGGTCCGGAGACGCCTGTATCGTTGACCAAAACTCGCAAAAGGTCATGGCTTTCGAAAAGCTTTGCCCGGATATTTGGAGATGAATCCATCGGCTTGGGATATACCCCTGTGAACGCAATGTTGCTGAATATGTTCCTCTGTATGATTTACATTATCCTCGGCGAGTTCGAAACACTGCTTACATTCTACGGCGTCGCTGGATACACTTTCTACTTTCTAACAGTCCTCGGCCTCATCGTCCTGCGAATACGCGAGCCCAGACTGGAAAGGCCCTATCGCACATTCATCGCCACTCCCATCATCTTCTGCTGCGTCTCTTTGTTTCTGGTTAGCCGGGCTGTGGTTGCGCAGCCTATCCAGACGGTCATCGTCATTGTATTTGTGGTCAGCGGTCTGCCGGTGTATTATTGGCGGGTTGCGAGGAGGGAGGACTCTGGGAGGCAAGGACACCGGGGCATGGGCAAAAAGGAAGGGCGATTCTGGCGGAGATGGGGTCGGTCGTGATCCCTTGCTGGGAAAGATAAAGCAAGACTCCTTTTTGGTTTCGTAGTAATTGTGACATTAGGAATAACTGCAAGTGGCGCTTGCAGCAGTATAGAACTGGAATTCGCAAGGCTCTGAGCCTTTGACAGCGATTGGATAGTTAGAGCAGCATTGTCAATCAGATGGAATTGGTTATCGTGCATGTCTTGTACAAGTCCTTGTTTGAAAGTCCCAAAAGGAGCATCACAATCCCCTTTCGATCGCCGTGGGCGCCATTATGGCACTTTGTAAAACCGCCCACGAACATTCTCGTCCAAAGAACGAGGTATTGTGGTGGGTCACTGCCGGAGAGAATTCGGAACAGCCCCGACCTTCCCTGTTGCAGGCATACGAACCCTGGTCAAAAACGCTAACGAAGCTAACCTATTCCGGCTTCTTGCACCCTGGTCCGATAAATTAGTCCCCCCACGCGTCCCCCATGATGGCATAGTCTTGGGTATGGAGGTATGTATGTACGAGAACCTTCAGCATGGGGTCAACGACTCGTGAGCAGATCCTCGGTAGTTCGAGTAAGGAGGAACTGTAACATGTAATCCGATCTAGCAGGTAGGTAGGTAGGTGCTATGGGTACTCGTAGGTGGGTGGGGTGGGGTGCAGGGGTGGTGGTGTTTCTGTGAGCCACCATGCACCAAATCTGTTTAATGCCCGAGCCTCGAGTCTGTGGTTTGCTTTGCTTTGCCTTCGACGCTCTATAGCGCGCCGAAAGGACACCGGATGAACAAAGAAGCGAAAAGAAAGGAACCAAGGTGGCTCGAAGTGGAGGCTCCCAAAGGATTCAAGTTCTTTCTGGCCCCCCTCTTGACTCGTGTTGCGTACGCGAGGCTGATGCCGGACTTCACGGAGGATTCTTCTTTGTTTTTGCCTTTGGTGTTTTTTGGGGGTTTATTACAATACCTACACTTTACTTACACGACAACGTTTCTGCACACCAACACGCTAGACTAAGGCGTCAAACAACGAGTCCTCCGTGCATGAAGTGGGTAACTTAGTCATTGTGGTGTATCTCGTACTCCGTATTCCATCCATGGATACACAACACCTACTCGTTGCAGTTAGCTACCTACCTAGGTAGTAACCCAGGTCAGGTAGGAAGGGAGGAAGAAGGAAGGTCGGACCTAAGCAGACTGAAAGTCCTTTTGCTTTTTTGCGCGATGTCCGCGGAGTGCTCACAGAAAGATGATGAAAGGTCCCCATGATTTTGATGATGGGTTCGGAGCTGAGATTTCTTTCCCTCTTAGGTACTCTTCGAACGACGATGATCGCCCAGGAATACCATGCCTATTTTGAGCACATTGACTGGTTAGGGACTAGCGCGTTCTCAACCACGCTAGAGCCGCATCCGGCCATACATACCCCACCAGGCTACGCTTTGGTTGGGTTTAAAGAGGCGCCAGAATGGGGATTACTAATGACCAACCCCGAACGATTCACAAAACCACCCTCGCTAACGTTTGTGTGAGCTACGGTGTAGGGGCCGCCAAGACAATTCGATGGGGATGATGTGATAGGTAGACCCCGAGTCGATGACGGCACGAAGCGCTCCGGGCCAACGAGTTACAACAATGAAAAGACAAGACGGTAAGTGCCGCGTGCAAGGGGAGAAAACCGAAGGGGGAAACTACTGATTGACACAAGTCATGTACTCGGTGCTTGGTCGAAAGTTCGATCTTGTTCTGGCCTATCTTCCCCTTCTGGCCCATTGCCTGATCGAGCTTGGAGAGGCAGGGGGGATGGAGGCATACCAACGACCAGCTTTCTACATTTCCATCTCCGTGGCTCATCTCTCAATCTCTCATCTTCCAAGGTCTCGTATCTTCTTATCGATCATCGAGCAAAAAAAAAAAGTTGCCTGATTTTCACACAAGAGAAAATATCAAGAAGCCAAATTAACTCTCTCTTGAAGCTGTCACATATCCGGAAACTGCGCCCAAATAGTCAACAGGAGGCCATTGAGAGCGCCCATGTGATGTGAGTTGCCGAATGCATGTACCGAGACATTTCCACCAGCTGTGCATTCTAGTCGAAATCCTCTTCGTTGGGCCTTCAGCTTCCCGTCCACGGTCTGGCTTCGGAGTCTACCAAAGGGATCCAGGATCTAGCGCCTGGGAAAGTTGCACAAATCGAAATGGAGAAGAGGGAACAATTACAAGGTATCTGACGGGGGAAACAGCGAAGAAAGAACGAGGATTGCCGGCACTCAGGTGGTTTGCCTTGTCTCCACCGAACTTCGACGACTGCTCCGTTCTCCACAGGGGAGCTCAGAGACGCCGATGAGGTCTGGAACTTGGTCTTCGCTGGCACCGTATCTCGGTTGAAATAGAACGGCAGCGTCATCGTCAGTCAGGCCTCGAGGAGCAATGCATGGTGACGGGGGATCCAAGTCGCAGGAGACTGGGGCTGACAGATGGCAATGCCCTCACTGTTACCACCTCTCCTCTGGCTCTCGTCATCTCCAGCTTCGCCTTCGTCGCAATCTTGGTTTTGGCCTCGAGTGCTGCCCGCTCTTCTCAACTCGACCGCTGACTGCTTCCTTCTACGCTCTGTCAGCCGGTGCTCGTATGACAGCCATTCACACGATGACCTGCCTCTTACTTCTCCCCTTCTGACCTACTCTATTCTCGTCTCTCGCCTGCACCCACCAAGTCATCGTGATATTGACACGAGGTTAGAATGCAGGGCTCTTGCTGTCATCCCCATCTCTTCTCTCTCCTGATTTCCTAGCTTCCTCGCTCTTTCCGACTCGTCCCTTCCGAACCTCCTGGCCGCTGCGAATTTCGAGTTCAAGACCCTTCGTCCCCTTCCCCCAATCGTCTGTTGCTTCCTCTCCCTCCCTCACGTCGGTATGCCTTGTCCAACATTCAATGGTTGCGAGTCTAGACGGGCAGACAGATCTGCTAGACGTGGCTTCTGTGAGACAACAGCATTCCGTGATGGCTTGGAAGGGGTCGAGGTTTGCTCTGCGTTCATTATCTTAAGGCGACGCCTATTTGCTGCTGTCGAAGGAGCCCGGGTTTTCTTTTGCGAGGGGCGTGTCGCGAGATCGTGTGGCGACTTACGCAAAGCTTGGCCTGATCGTGGCAGGGACTGCACCGTACGAGCTGCGCTTGGTTTCGCCATAACTGTGTGTGAGCCGGCCCACCTGGTGGTACGGTCGTTAAGCTGTTGAGTTGGGCCTGGTGCGTGCGATTTGAAGTCCGCTGCAGATATACCGTACTCGGCATCCTCGTGCACTTCGCTCTGAGGGAAATTTTCCTCACGCGTCCACTTACGCCAAAAGTCGAGTAATTCAACATCTCGTGGGCGCAGGGGCAGCTTTGCTTGGTGTGAAATAGCCAGAATTTCAGTAGCGACCAAGCGCATGCCCATGTGTCGCTGAATTGTATCCAAACTCTCGTTGAAAGTCGTGAATAAGGAATAGGCAGTTAGCTTTCTGACAGCCTTTTCCCGTTTGACCTTCTGTTCTCGCCTAGAAAGCTTTTTGAAATCATTTGTATGTACTCTTGCCCAGAAAATTGTCGCAGCCCAGTGTTCTGCAATACTGGCCAGATGAAGCAGTCGTTGACGAGGCAGCCCTCGTTTTCTGAGCAAGCCATCATTATTCACACCGGATTGCCTGTAGACTAGGACAGGGCCTAAAGAAGGTTCATCGATGTTGGATTGAAGCAACAGGCTGGACGTCGGTTTGGTCTTCTCGTCTGCAAATACTCGGTATAGTTGCAACACTGCGTAGGCGCGCGAGGCAAGATCTAGTGATCGTTGTTAACACTGTCCGCTTCAAGGAACTTTGTTACCCACGTGTAAGAAGTTGTAGGGGCTCAATTGATCCAATCCTTCTAATGGCACGAAATTCTGTCCCTAGAAGCAAGTCTCGGAGGGCCTGTGGAAGGTTGACAGCGGGTAAAGGATAACCGAAAACTTGGGCGGCCATTGATGATATAATGCTCCCAGACCGGTCTTTCGAAGATACTATACCAGGAGATACATCACAGTTGAGACGATTACAGAGCTCGACGGCGCCTTCCAGTTCAATGGAAGGACCGTCCAGCAACAGTTGTCTCTGGAATTCGACATCAACACCAACCTTCAGAATTGAGTCGTCTTGCATGATATCAACGAAAGGCTCCTTCGAAACGAGGCTCAACTGGCTCATTAAAGCAATATGGATAATCGCCACCTCGTGGTCACTTGCGAGTATCAGAAACTCGACTAAGGAAGTCCCGCGGGTTTTCGCTGTCTGTATCGTGTCGAAGCCTAGGATCTTGCAGCCAGTGAACCGTGGCAACACCATCTGGAGCCCTGAATACGTGAGAACGTAGTGGATTGGAATTGCCGTGCCGAGGGGATAGAGAGATGTAGGAGTCCGCCAGGGTACAACGTGCTTAACATTAGCCCGAAACTTCTCGACGTTGTAACGCGGCCCATGCGAGGCTGCCGGAGCAGAGGCTCTTGTTATATGACGATCTCCTTGACGGCTAGGACCATCTAGCCATATTTTGCGTACGCCAGACCAAAGCATAAGGAACTCGGTAAGAAGCAGAACATCCCTTTGAGTATTGAAGAGATGGCCCCACGCTTCTTGTATCTTCATTAACAGTCGAGTCGATGGGGAAGAAAGGGGATTATTGAATAGATTGATCGCGCCGGTGTAAGTGTTTCGGAGGCTTACAAAATCTCGGTTGTGCGCAATCAGAGGTCGAAGTTTCGGAAATAGCTCTCTCTGGACGGTGGTGTCCAGAAGTCCTTCAAAATTCTGGCGCAGATCACGGACAGCACTTCTGCTCAACCAGCGCAGCTTCGCGGCGTGGAGGGGAAATGCGCTTTCGTAAAACAGCTTCCTCAACCGTCGCGACGAAGGCTTGTAGAAGAGCCCCGACATGCGTCTGAGATGGAAGTAGTCATCCATGATACGTTCCGCATTCACATTGATCGCGTTCGCTAGTAGCTCGAGCGGGAAGGTGAGTTTATAGTGGCTGAAGATTTCCGTCGAGCACAGTAATTGAGCCTTGAGCCTTCGTATTTGTCGGAGATCGTGCAATGTCCTTGCAATCACCAAAGCAGTGTCAATCACTTGGTAACGGAGCCAAAGAATCTCGTATAACCGGAGTCTAATCCGTGTCGGCAAGGATGTACCAGGCTTCTCGTCCTTTATGATGTCTGGATTCCGGAAGTAGGCCCAGTAACGGTCGGTGTCGTTAAGCTCTCTCAGGATCGGCGCAAAATTTTCATCACTAAGTGCATCACTCACATCGAAATAGATCGCGTTGCCAAGGTCTCTAGTCTGCTCATTGGGACCTCCTTCACTGTACCACTCCGTGAGTTGAGCCTCTAGGTGCTTTGCTCTTTCCAGCAGACGGGAGCATTGAAGGTAGTGATCGATGCCGGCCTTGTCGCTCCACGGAAACAACTCAATCTTTCTAGCGAGCTCTTGAGCCTCACGGTACCTGTGCATCCATTCCTCTCGTTTGCTTGCAATGTTTTCCTGTCTCGCTCTCGCGGCTGCTTGTTCCTGAGCGCGTTGTTTCTCTGCCCTGGCTTTGATCAGCTTCTGCTCCATTCGAATCTTCTCCTCTTTCTCGCGTGCGAGTTCTAACTGTCTTGCTGCCTCTCTCCTATGACGCTCTTTCTCACGCTCTCGTGCTTGGACCGGGCTGTTGGGAAGTGATATATCTGCACCCGCGCCAATGCCGGCTCTCGATTTGTCCACAGAGAGTGGGCCGACGCTAACATAGGGAGGATGTGGCAAGTTTGTTCGCTGTGGGAGGCTGGACGGTGGAGGGAGAAGAGTGGCAGATTGTGGAGGGGCCAGAGGCTTCTTAGGAAGACTTGGAGCCTTGAGCGACGACCCCGAGCGGGTATGGAAAACCTGCATTTGAATGTTCAAGTCACGCCGAAGGCCACGACCTGCAACTCGATAGGCTCCTGGCAACCAGCCGTTGGGTGGAACGTTGCGGCGAGCATTGTGCGCGGTCCCCAAGGACCTGTTAGGCGCGTCGAGCGGAGAGAAGGCTCCAGGTGGATGTCCACCTTCCGACTGGCAACAGCATTTCGAATCTGCTACTCGATACCTCTCAAGGCGTACGATATGGCTGACAGAGAGCTCGTATCGGCAACAACTCGTGCGAAAGGTCAGGTATGGAGTGACCAAGTTGGAGCCAACCGAGCCGCAAAGCAGTCGGTTGCATCCATTGGACATGGGAATTGAGGGCTGAAAAGACTGCCTTTCAGGATGCCACAGGTGAAAATGCAGGACGTGGCCCTGATAGCAGCGTGCAGCAAGGACAGTGTGAAATGCTCTCGACGAACCTTCTCCATTAAGATTTTGTTGCGGAATTGGAGTCTGTGGGGCACGCTTCACCGTGGCGTAGCCTCGCAGCCTTATGGGAGAGGATGCATCATAATCCGCTAAGTACCTCGTACTTCAGGAACACCCACTGTCGCCGTTGCAATGCACTTCAGGTTACCTCATATGCTTACGGTCGCTTCAAATCTGTCGAAGAAATATATCCATGATCACTCTCATACAGACAAAGTCCTCCCCTGCTGTAAACTCTCCCGAGCGAGCTCAACTAGCCTTATCACACCCACAGCCTGCTCAGGAGCAACTGGAACCTGAGAAACATCTCCATCAAGCGCTGCAGCAAGAAGTCTGTAGTACTCCGTGTATGTCGCAGGCTCGACGGTTGGAGCAACCTCACTGAATATCTTGCCCTCTCTGCAAATATTCAATGTCCCATATTTATCCTCGTTCTCGATCCCATAGCCTTTATCCCCTGGTCTCAGACCTTCCTTCCGAAGCTGATCCTCTTGTGGATCGAGGTGGAACTTCTTAAAAGAGCCTTTGTCCCCACGAACCCAGTATCTGAGTTGGCTCACTTCCGGGCTCACAACTCCCGCCTTGACCGTGACCAACATCTTCGGAGTAGCATAATGTAAAAGCACCGTACAGGAGTCCTCCAGCCCTGTGGTATTCACTTCGCGCTGCGACCCCACGAACCCGGTAACCTTCTCGGGCATACCGAACAAACTCACAACTTGATCCATGAGGTGAGTTCCCAGGTCATACACTGCACCCGTGCCAGGGGCATGATGTGCCTTCCAGTTATCCGCTGGCGGCTCCGGTCGATGTCGATCGAAGTGAGTCTCGAATTCAACGATGCGACCCAAGGTACCGTCTTTAATATACTTCTTTAGCGTCAAGAAGTCCGAATCCCACCGTCGGTTCTGATAGACGGTGAGAATCCTGTTTTGAGATTTAGCCAGGTCGACGAGTTCCTGTGCTTCGGCCGACGTAGGTGTAAACGGCTTCTCCACAACAACTTTGGACTGTCAGTTAGTACCTGATTCATATTCCCACAGGAGCATCTGGGAGATGTATACCATGCTTGTTCGCCAGCAGCGCCGCCTTTGCCAGCTCAAAATGCGACACCGGCGCCGTCGTTACGATGACGACATGGACTTGATCGTCCTTCATCAATTCTTCCGTAGATCGATATGGCTTGATGTTGGGCCAGTCTTTGCTTGCATCGTCGTCTGGCTTCGGGCTTCTCTGCACGATAGCGTAAAGACTGAAATCCGGAACCGCGTTCACGAAAGGGATATGGAAGGTCTTAGCACTCAGGCCATATCCAATGATGCCGACATTGTGTTTGCCTCCCGCCATTTTGTGAAGCTGTCCCTGTGAATTTTCCTGTCGCCAATATTTGAAGCACTGTTAGATAGGTGATGATAGACGCTGGATTTCATCCGCAACTATTAATGCCTCGCTTTTCAGAGATACGCAATCGTTAAAAAATCCTTGCACATGGCAAACTACTGAAAGGGAAACCTACCCGCGCGAGATCATGTCACCAATGTAACGCCATAAATTACCCCATAGTGGGACAGACAAACGTTGAAAGGTCCCATCAAAACGCAGTGAGAAGAATTACCTGTTTGGTCCCAATAAGGGGCTGATGGATCACACAAGAGGGATGGGATTGCCAAAAACATCCGATCAGGAAATGTTGCAACATCCGAGATACCGACCAGTCACCGTGACACGACACGCCAACGGTATCAGATATACGATTTTGTCGTCCTACGCGGCGTTGAGATTGAAGAAGATTGCATACCAGGTGCGGCAAAGGAGGTGCACTTCCAATATCATTATCACTTTGAATCATCAACCCTTGACATCCCTCAACTCAGGCCCAAATACATCTCCGTCCCTTTCCAGTCGTTCCCTTTCCAACTTGCGCTTCTTGAGCGCTTTTTCTGCATCTGTTCCCTCTGCGCCTTCCCTCTTCGCCGCTACCTTCGCCCTCGCAACTGCCACGATATCCATTTTCTCCGGGTTCTGGCACACGGTCAATTTCTTGCCGATTCGTCTCATTTCCTTGCGCTGCGCGGCGTCGTCTTCGGAACTCCGATAAGACTCGAGAAGAGTAGCGCAAGAAGCTATCGTAGCCATTAACTTTTGTCGAAAATGTTCAGTTGTGGCGTCCGAGTCATTGGCCATAAGGGGCAGAGCCTCCAGTTTGGCGCTGATGTACGCTTCCACGAGCTCTCGATCAGCTATCATGATCGCAGCGAGCCAGATCTGGCTAGGCGTGTAGAGAAAGTATGCATCTGTCATTTGTGCCGCTGTGGCAAGGAGCTTCTTCGCGTTGTCAGCGGCGACGCCGACTCTTTTCTCGCTCCCGCTGGCCTTGGTGATGCTGCTGCCCAACCTGCCTTCCTCTGCTAAGACGTTCATCTCCACATGTCCACCCTGAAGACCCTTCATTGGATGCCGCACGTCCAGTGTAAACCTGAGGCCTTGTAAGAGTAAGAATTCGGGAGCTTTCACGTCGTCTTCACTGACATTGTTGAGTTCAGCGACAAAGCGTGATAGCGAGATGTAGAAGTGGTCGGCTTTGGTGGCGAGATATAATGCACACATCATGATTTGTTTCGGATGGTATGTCATCGGAGAGTTTGTGAGGTAGAAACGGCGGAGGTACTGGATCGCTGTGGCCTGGACACAACGCTGTCAGAGGCAAGGCATCCATGTTTGGATCAGGACTTGTATGCTTGCAGGAGAGCGACGTAGCGAGTGGTATAGAAAGTTTAATCATCCTCGTAGGATGCCGAGTCAAGCATGGATTTGCTCGACGCGTGCTTGTCAAAATGTATCGAGCGGAAAATCGAGAGGAAGGTGAAACGGACGAATATCAACATACCACCACATGCGAAGGTATCCTTGGATTCATGGCTTCGCCCATATCCATAATCTTAGAACATCCCCATTCCACAATCCTCAACTCCTCATCTACCGTCAAAGTCTCGATCTCGACGTGGTCTGCACCAGCTCCGGCGCTGTTGCCTGTGCCTTCATTGTGGTTTTCTCCATTCTGTGACGATTCGTTAGCAGCATGTACGCGTCGAAACGCAGCCTTCACCCGCTGAGAGGCGAGCTTGTTGGTCTCTTCTCGCATTCGAGCCAAAGATTCTTTGGTGTATGACCAGTAACGGTACTGGGATGAGGCTCTGTAGACGTCGTCTTCAATCATTGTGGCATCCGATAACTTGACATCTTCCGCATTCACAGGTGAAAACGTTTGATCTCTCTTGCTTGATGGCCGCCTGCTCGTTGTGGGGGTGATTTTGGGAAGTGGCGGCAGGCGGAATGGTTGTGTACGAGTATGAAGCTGGGAACAAGTCTCCGCCCTATTTCACTTCCGAAAATCCCTCCAATAATAATGACGAGGAGCAATTTGTGGTACTATGAATCATTTACTAGAGTGGTTGAATATGGAACCATGTCTCAGTCTTGCCATTGGAAGCGTTTAGCATTCGATACATTATCGAGAGTCGCTTGAGTGAACCGTCATCAAAACCTGCAAAATATCACTGAAGCGACAGCCTTTTACCAGAGCAACAATATGGTTCGTGTTTCTCGTGATATACATCCTGCCGAAGCTGACGCACGGGCAGCCGCCGAACCCTACCATATCAACACCAGCGCTTTTATGCATTGAATCAATCTTGAGGTTCCGAGACATCCTAAGGCTCGCCCAACAGCCTGGCCGTAATGTCACCCATGTACGCCTCTTCTAGTTCATAGTCCTGACCACCATTTCGATCAATGCCGACGTAGTTGAATGCCTCCACCACGCGCTCCACGTCGAATCCCATCATGACGAATCGGTCAATCAGGTCTTTATTGTAGCCGTCGTACACTGCAATGTTGGCTTGAGCTTCTCTCTCCTGACTTTCCTTCTCGGCAGCCTCAATGTCCTTGTCGGTAGCTCCACCACTGCTTTCGCCGATGAAAGATCTGGGAGCCCCGGCGTATTTGACTGCCCACTCTCGTGCCTGTCTCTCGAATTCTTTGGGGTTTTTGATGAGCTGGTTCGCAACGACCGCATCTTGAGGATCTTTGGGCTCCGGTGAGCTAAGCAGGGACTGCAACGAGATCATGGCAGATTTTATCGTTAGAACGGGTGACCAGCCTGTGCTGAGAGTGTCTAGACAAATGGCGCCCTATAGCAGCTGTCAGTCTCCTCTTTCGGTGATGGCAAGTGCCGTGGACAAACATACAGTCTGACTGGAAATATTCGGATGCCAGATCCTTGTTACAAACTTCATAACTGGCGGCTTGAAAGGGTATTCATTAGGTATCTTGATCGAGACCTCGTATGTACCACCCTCATACGGTGTCCCTGACGGGCCTTTGAAAGATCCTCTCAAATCTGTGATGCTATCCCCAACAGGTTCGGCGAAGATTTGGGAGGTCGAGTCCGCACGGATATCCGCCAAATCCTTGGCTATCCTTCTTGCCTTGTGGCCTGCCATGATGTCTGTCTAGAGCAAGAACGGTGAAAAAGAAAAAGAAGAGCCAGGTCGTTATGGTCGTTCGGCGTGTGACGACTGACAGTCGTACTCCTTGGGGCGATGCTCGAGCAGATGAAGTCCGAGATGCTGATAGACCTTGACGAAAGTATGAGCAAGTTTCGAGGAAGACGAAGTACCGTTGAGTGGTGGAAAGGGAATGAGAACGAACGAGGCTGGGAGCTAGAATCACGTCGAAGAACAGACGGTGCGAGGATGGATGGGAGGATATGTGGTTTGAAGTAAGTGGGCTGAGAATGCGAACTCTGAAAGTCTCAGCCGACGAGTCGAGTTGCTAAGATGACAGTTATCAATACAGCGACAAGAGCTGGTTAGTGTGTCACACAGCCCCGTGGACGTGTTGCCTGGTTTGTGGCCTACAAAGTCGAACGCAGCCTCACTTTTCATAAGCATGAGGCAGCCGATGAGTGCAGGTGGGAATCGGAGAAGGTCCTCTCCTCATCGGCGAGTCGGCGTATCAGCCACGGCTCCCCAGCCACTGCTTGCACTAGCCACATCTTGGCACTAGAACTCCAGGCGCGACGAGGCAGCGTCACGCATCTCCCCAAGTCGCTGTAATCACCTACCACAAACTTACATTCTTGCCATCTCAACCTTTCTCCCTGTCACAAACTCTTCACAGGTATTATCACAGTCCTTCGGAATCCCCTTTCCACGATCTGCGACATGGTGAGAGATGGATCCCCCATTGGCCATGACTGCCGCAATACTGACACTTTCGGCAGGGGAACCAGCAATCATCACAGCAGGGGGGCGGTCCTGGTCAAGGTGGAAAAGATGACAAGGATAAGAAGGTATTGCAGGCTCAGTGACTCGAGAGAACTCAGACTGACATTCGCTTCAGAAGGATAAGCCCAAGTACGAACCTCCTCCGCAACCTACTACCAGAATCGGCCGCAAGAAGCGCAAGCAAGCAGGCCCAAGTGCTGCTGCAAAGTTGCCCACCATTTACCCAACCGCCCGTTGCAAACTACGATATCTCCGAATGCAGAGGGTTCATGATCATCTGTTGCTAGAAGAAGAATATGTCGAAAATCAAGAACAGATCCGAAAAACGAAAGCTGCCCAGACACAAGCTCCCGCTGCTGCGACGGAAGGCGAGCCCCTAGATCGTAACTCTGATGAGAGAAGTAAGGTCGATGACATGCGAGGCAGCCCGATGGGAGTCGGTAATCTGGAAGAACTGATCGACGACGATCATGCCATTGTCTCCTCCGCCACCGGTCCCGAGTACTACGTCTCTATCATGTCCTTTGTCGACAAGGATCTTCTTGAACCTGGCGCTTCGATCCTGCTCCATCATAAGTCGGTCTCCGTCGTTGGTGTGCTTACAGATGACGCCGATCCCTTGGTATCCGTGATGAAACTGGACAAAGCACCCACGGAGTCCTACGCTGATATTGGTGGGCTGGAGTCCCAAATACAAGAGGTGCGGGAAGCCGTCGAGCTCCCCTTACTACATCCAGAGCTGTATGAAGAGATGGGTATAAAACCTCCCAAAGGTGTCATTCTCTACGGTGCTCCTGGAACAGGCAAGACCCTCCTAGCCAAAGCTGTGGCAAACCAAACATCCGCCACCTTCCTCCGCATTGTCGGCTCTGAGTTGATCCAAAAATACCTCGGAGATGGTCCCCGTCTGGTGCGCCAGTTGTTCCAGGTCGCCGCCGAAAACGCTCCTTCGATCGTGTTCATTGACGAAATCGATGCTATTGGCACGAAACGTTATGAATCCACGTCTGGGGGTGAACGGGAGATCCAGCGCACCATGTTAGAATTGCTCAATCAACTCGATGGCTTTGACGACCGTGGCGATGTGAAGGTAATCATGGCGACAAACAAGATCGAAACATTAGATCCGGCCTTGATTCGTCCCGGTCGTATTGATCGCAAAATCCTCTTTGAAAACCCTGACACGGCTACCAAGAAAAAGATTTTCACACTGCACACCAGCAAAATGTCACTTGCCGAAGACGTCGATCTCGACGAGTTCATCGCCCAGAAAGATGATTTGAGTGGGGCGGATATCAAGGCGATCTGTTCCGAGGCTGGGCTTAGGGCGTTGAGGGAAAGGAGAATGAGAGTCAACATGGCGGACTTTAGAAGTGCGAGGGACAGTGTGATGAAGACGAAGAACGAGGGAGAGCCGGAGGGTTTATATTTGTAAAACTACGGCATCCGGCGCAAGTTGGTGGACTGTTTGCTCGCGGGAGGAGGGTTGATTGCGAAGAGCCCGAGGGGGAAGCAGAAGGCGAGAGAGGAGAGGAACCTGTACCTTTAAGATTGTCACAATGGAAGATTAGAGACCAATCCGCGAATTTTTTGTGGGATAGAAGAGCAAATGCGACAATCTGTGCTATGGTGGTCCGGCAAGCAAGCAAGCTCAAACCGGCCTTGCTCCTGGGCAATGAACGCATCGAGCGAGCAAAGGACAGTTGACAGTTGTTCTATTCACCTCTGAGGTGAACGGGAAGTAAGATCTCTTCTTGAGTCGTCGCGGCGTCATTATTGGGTCGTCCATCTATGTGCCTATCTACTGTAGGTGAATGTATCCGCCTGGTCTGCGGCAGCCATCTACTTTTGTATGGTGTTCCGACAAGTACGTGCTGGCCGGGTTCCTCTCTAGCCTGTGCGGTATCAGTGCTGCAGGTGATAGCCCTCGATTGTCATGTTGTAGGTCCAGTCCAAGGTCAATGCATCCCGCTCGCGCCCTCTCGCATTCTGCGAGGAAACCCTGACGGAGTTGCTGTTGTGCCGTTCTAACATGATTCTCCAGGTTCTGGTGAACAACCAGGGGTTTATTTTTTTGGCCAGGTATCAAAAAGACAACAAAGTCCCTGAGATACCGAGAGTCGGTGGAACGAACCGAAAAAATCACAGACTCTGCCATGGAATTGCTTCATGTGCACACTCTTCGAGTGCGTTTGGTCTATCATTGGTACCTCTCCACGACCAAAAATCTAGCTCAATCCGACGTAGAGCCCTTGTCGCAACCAATACGGCCAAGCAGTTCCTTGCGATCACTGCTTCCTCCAAGCAGATTGACGCCGGAGGAGTGTGCAGATTCATGCTTCTGTTTTCTCCTCCCGCCACTGCTGGAGCCCGCAGTTGACGACTCTGGTGTTGATCGTCTGTCTCCCACCGAGGACGAAGGCGACGTGGACTTGGACTTGGATCTCGATTTAGCCCGTGGTTTGGAAGACTTCGAGAGAGAAAAGTTGGGATCCGTGCTCAGGATTTCCGTTTCCAGGTACTTTTCCTGGGGATCCACGCAGAGTTTCACGTTGTCGACATAGCCTCTCGACGACTTCTCATCCGATATATCTTCCTCGTCGTCTTCGTCATCTTCATCGTCCGAGCGCACGTCCTCTGCCCCGTTGCCGGTAATCACTTTATAGGCAACCCGGACGATCATGCCGAACCAGATGAGCAACATCACTTGGAGAGCAAGGAGCATGTTTAAGAACGTCCATTTGATGCTGTTATTCCAGCAGACAAGTCCAACAGGGTTCTTGAACGGCTGGATAAGATGATCCCAGTCGTTGGGTGTGGGAAATGGACCTTCAAGATCCCGTACGCTGCCCTTATAACATCCGTACTCGATTTCCTCTGGGATGTGAGCATAGATGCTGTACCAGACAGTCATGTATAGAACGTGCCGGGCAATTAGCCAGGAGACCATGAAAACACCAAATGCAATGTCGCATGCAAGCTCGAAATGGAGGTACTTGAGGATCTTGGCCAACGGGAGGATGATGTCGGCAAAGTCCATCAGACTGAGGATTAACGTCCCGACACGGTATTGGTGATAGCCGTAGGATGTGAATATGAGTGCACAGGTCACAATATGGTGTGTGAACATCTGCCAGTGATCCTTCCGGCGCTCCTCAATGTTCACCACAACTATTTGTTGCAGCCAGAAACCGAATTGGACCAGATAGTACCATTTCGCCAGACCCTCCATTTCGCGGTCTGGCCACGTCCGCCACAGAGCCCGAAGATTGAGCCAATAGTCGGAGTTGTACATGATGTACATGCCCGTACACCAGGAGACAGTGTAGTAGCAGAGGATCCAGGCCTGTTCCGCAAATCGCACTTTTGGCTTCCGTTTCCGAATGCCGCAAGAAGCGGCCAAGGGACCGAGGACATAATCCATGGTAGCACAGCGCAGGCCGGTGAAGACGATGATCCAGTAAAAGACAAAGAAGATGTCGTCCCAGCCCAGGGCGAAGTTGCCGGTCGCCGGGTTGTAATAGGAGATTCGAAAGAATTTCTGGGTGTGGTGTCTCGTGGAAGGGAAGAGGAAGTGTATAAAGAAGAGCATAGATATGAGATTGACAGATATGCCTGTGAAAGAGAAATCAGTACGACAAACACCATGACATCCTCCTGGTGTGGATGTTCTTACTGATCTGGTGGTCCACAACCCATGTGCATGCGCGGGCGATGGTGCTTTTCTCCTTGCCCTTGCGCTCCCACCGAGGCCAGGCTGTCTTCTGCGAAGGCGACTGACTGTGTTGGCGGTGCTCCATGATTAAGTGGGTTGATTGTTCAAGTCTCTCTCGATCTGGTATCCGATCCATCTTCTTGTGAGCGAGCGTGAGCGGTGTGGACATGAGGGAGCTTGTTGAAGTTCGAATAGGAAACTGAGCTCGAGACCGTGGTCTCCTGTTTGCGGCAGAGAGAGACTGTTCGATACCAATGACAGCGCGGGGGTATATCAATCCGAGGAGACAATATGCGGCGAGTGCTAAGGGTGGGCGACCAGCGCAGCCAATGTGTGGTGTGTGTCGACAATGGAGGAGGGAGGACCGAGGGGAAGAAGCAAGCGAATGACAGGTCTGGCTGACGGCACACGCGTACGTCCAACTTTCCTCGCTAAGCCCGAATGCCAGACGAACGATCGGAACGCATTGGGATAGGAAACCAGACAGTGCGAGGAAAAAAGACCAGAAGGGTAATGGTGGAGTGATATGGGATATGCCAACAATGAGCTGCAGGACATTGGGTGGTGGGATTGGATGGGCTACAGCGATTTACCGAGAGCTCTCGGAGCCTCTCGTTTTTTTTGGGCGGTGCTTGGGCGGTGCTTGGGCCCCTCCCCAGCTTCAAGGCCTAGGGCCCCTCGGTGGCTGCTGGGCTGCTACGGAGTAAACATTGACTCTGAGGAACTGGCGGTGTCGGTGTGAGATGTCGGCTTCGGCTGCCCATTTGATTGGCAGTTGACAGTTGGACCCCCGCTGGCCCCCCGGGGGCTGCAGCGTCCTTTCCCCTTATTGCCAGGCCACTGCTTCATCAAGTGTTAGAACTGCATATGACAGAAACTAACCCTCAGTCCGAGATACGGGAGAACGTAGCACTGTCCATGGTCCTGTGCCATTCCTGGTCATCTCATCTACCTATGCCAGAGCTGCATTCAAGCTTCTGTCAACCCCTGGCCCGCCTCCTCGGTTCCTGCAGGCACACGGTTCATGAGGCGGAAGCTCATTGCTTGCGGTCATCGTTCCGGCCTTTGGACACACCCAACAACTTCCCTGGATACCCAATAGCTCGTACTTCCGGTCCACCAATTCTTCTTGGTGCCTGACCATCATCTGCATTCAAGCCGCCTCGTTATGTCATTCAGGCACCATGGACCCTTCTGATTGTCGCAAGTCAATATCCTGGACAGCTCACAATATGGACATCGTTTTCCACATCTCTTGCCGGCTGAATGTTTCAGCACCAGAACATATGCGGTTTGTTCGGTATCCTTTTATTTTCGGAGCTGAATGGCCGAGTATTTTGCACAGACTTCCGAAAGCACGCAGTTTGCGCCGCAGCAGACCACGGTCGTGGTATTGCATTCAACTCAGCGCCAGAGACCATATGGCTCCTTGCAAGCCTTCCACAACTTGATTGTCCCGTCTTCGCTTCCGGTCGCATAGATCTTCCCGTCAGGAGAGAACGCAGTTGACCAGATTGGCCCGTGATGGCCTTTGAGAACCTCTGCGAATGAGTTAGAAGCAAGCGCAGTACACAGAGACGGTCAGAGCTCACCAAGTTCTTTTTCCTGCGCAAAATCCCAGACACGGACCCATGTGTCCTTCCCGCCACCAGTCACAAAGCGCCCGGTTGCAGGGTTGATAGCCACACTGGCAACTTCATGGTCGAAATTAACTTGCTTGATCAGCTCGCCGGGTCTGCCGGCGTCGAAAAAAAGGCAGGACTGTCCAGCCGCCACACTAAGAATTCCTGGATTGCTGTCTTCTGCTTTGTTGGTGGAGAGCTCGCACGAAGTAATATCTCGCTCTGTCTTGACACTAGTAATCATCCGTTGGACCCTCAAGTCCCACCAACGAAGAGTCTTGTCTTCGCAAGCAGTGGTGAGAATATTGTAGTCGACGTTCCACACAATCGATTTGATGCTGCCTCCATGTTGGCCTGCTCCAATCTCATGGCCCTCGGAAGTGGTCGTTGGTGTTATCGGGGAGGCACCATTGACCTGGTCGGGTGAAGCAGCGCTGCCGCCTCGACTGAGATCGAAGATCTTGAGAGTCTTGTCTTGCGCGCCAGTAGCCACACATTGCGGGTTGGTTTGGATTGGAAATGCGACAGCTCGGACGATGTGGTTGTGAGTCAAGACGTACAAACACTCTCCGGTCTGGGGATCCCAGATTCTTCTGCGTATGGTCAGCATTAGACAACCAGAATATGTGTTGTTCCAACTCACGCGCTGAAATCTGCGGATCCGGTTGCGGCGATCCTAGCATCGGAAGACAGTCTTGACGACCAAACGGCGCCTTTGTGCCCAATGAATGTGCCGATCCTGTGCCAAAGTCAGCCGCGGGATTCTCGAGCCTCAAATAACCATACCAATCTCCCGTCATGCCATCTCTCAGCATAGGGTTGTTATCTGACAAATATTAGAGATGTTTTGAGGATATCGCATAGGGTCTCACCTTTACACGCCGAGATCAGATAGTATTGATCATCATCCACGATGGAGGAAAAGCTCAAATGTGTGATTGGCCGGGAGTGACCATGGCAAGTCAGAGGTACGATACGTGGCGTATCTGAGTACACATTAGATCATTCTGCTCTGAAGTCACTCGACAGAGGTCTTTGTCATACCTGCGGACATGGCAACAATCGGACAAAGGCCTTAGCGCTGGCCGCAGAGAGTGAAGGGCAGTTTAAAAATTATGGCCAGTTGTGACCTTCTAGTCGACTGAGTGACTTCCGACTTCTCACCAAGTGGAGCCAAGGTTACTGGGGTACCAGAACCAGAGGTTTGAGGAGTGAAAGAACACGGAGAAATGATAAGAAGATAGGTCTTGGAATACTTTGTTATGGACAAACATGAACGTAGATGAACATGGGGCGAAACACATGCGTTGGATGGTATTGTTCGCAGTGTTTGGCCCAAGTGGCTCGGTGGATTGTTCTTCCTTCCGACTTCGTGCCAAGTGCGTGGTAGCGAGCCGCTATACCATCTTCGCAGTAGCGTTATTCTAACTATCCATATCGACTTTCTTGTGCAGCCTTGTCTCCTTTACTCCTTTTCCCCCTTGTATTGTATCTGCCTCTTGTCGCCGGCGGCACACAGCCTCCCTTCCAAAATAACCTCTGGCAACACAGGTAAACTTTCAATCAATTGCATCTGTCCGTTTAAATTCTTTTGTTCAGAGAGCGTAGCTATGCATCGTTCTCGTCTCCGTCCGAATCTCATCGGCATAGAGCGACAGCAGCTCGCAAAATCCTTTGTGGATACAAAAGACTGGATCAAATTTCTTTGTCGGCTCTTTGTGTGGTGTCCTTCGACACAGTTTCTTATTGTTAACGGGACTGGACCCTCCACCGACCTCTGTTTGAAATGTCTATGCTATGCCCAGGGCATCTGCCGTGTCTGAGATGAACAAAACGGTTGCTCTCTGGGGGCCTCGATGCCCCAGCTAAGACCTAAGCGTCTCTAGCTTCCTCCTTCATATATATACTATAAGCTGCCTCATCTGGCCAATCAGATGTCGGACATTGCTTTGTTCGTTGACCAGTTGGGTCGGGCAGTGGTACTACTATCGCGACAACTTGACCCGCCTTGCCTACGTTGCCTCATCGAATCTCGCCGTGGACAATGGTGCCATTGGATCTGTCCGTCCCATAAATACGACCTTCTTCCCCGTCTGTTTTGACTGTCCCCAGGACACGACGGAAACTTCAAAATCGCTGGACAGTTCTTCGACACGACGCTCAAACTAAACACCGAAACAAACTCTATCAATTTTCTTCACTTCGACAGATCCTCAACAACACCAGCTTCGCACCGGTAAGTTTGCCTTCTGCAATCAAGATGGGAAAAGCCAACACACTCCTTAGGGCTGCCAAAGCGAAGCTGACGACTGCTTTCCACAAGTTCACACGCAGACATCAATCTAAACACCCAGGGGCCGAAAACTTGACATATTCCGTGCACCTAGGAACTGGACTTTCTTCCGACGACTCCATCTCCGAGCAGTTGTTGGACAGTGCTCCCCCGGTTCTCCCAGCTCTCCCGTTCTTCCCTGCTCTTTCGGTTCTCCCTCCTGTCCCTTCTCTCCCGCTTTTCACTGCTGCTCCTCCACGTCGGTCGATGCTAAGGTATGTGGTCACAAATTACATGGATGGTTCAAGCAAGGCTGACTATGATTCCAACGTAGATTCTTCTGGACATTACTCTGAAACGGGACGCGCGCGCGCTGAATCCAACGTTGCATTGCAGCCAGTGAACTCCGAAGTGACCATGACGAAGCACTCTGACTTTCCCGAATCAGAAGAATCAGCAACCATTTCCAGCGCGTCAAATACTCTGGCGAACACTCCACAAGTCCCTGAAATGAGCGGCGGGGAAAGCGATATTTCGGGCAGGCTTCTTCCTTTCGGCCGCGGCCTGCGACATAGGCACCGTCGTTCCATCGACGAGTGGCTCGCAGGCCAGATCTTCGAGCCACGCCCTGCCGAAACTGACGAGGGTGAATTCGTCGAAGACCGCAACGTTTCTATCTCGAATGGGCCCCCGTCCTCTCGACATCTGTCTTCCGGTAATTCTAGCGTGGATACTTTTCGACACTGGAGAACCCGCCGCCCGAACGATGGGCTCAATCCCACCGGCGTCCCTGATCCCTTCTTGAACCGCCAACCCACACCTGAACAGAGAGCCCCGGTCCCCACGACGCTGGACGACCTTGACAACGACACCCCCGCCCGATGGTCCGAAGACTTTGACAAATTCTCCTCCGATGGCAAGCAGCGCAAAGTAACACAGACTGCTCCCGGCAACTTCTCCCTCCAGCCTCGAGACTACCGCCTCGAGACCCCACGTCAACGTCCTACTTCTGAAGAATTGGAGGCATTCAAGCATCGCGAGGGAAGTCAACCCACTGCTCAACCCGCCACAGCAAATGCCGGGGTGGCCCAGCCCGTCTTTTCTCAACCAGGAGCAGCAGTACAGAATGCCCAGGCTAGCATTGGAGCCATGTATCAGGGCTTCTTGCAAGTGGATGCCGCTTTTCTTCAACTCTCTCGCGAGAATCAAATGCTCGAGCAGAACATGGCAGCCGCGATGGACAGAAACCGCGCCCTCGAGCAAGAACTTGCAAGGGCATTGGCGACGATCAGCGAGCGCGATGCCGAGCTTGAGTGGTGGCGCACAGTCATGGCCAACATCAACCGGGACTTTGTAGCTGCTGGCCTCGAGCCTGTTACTCCGCCACCACAAGCCGCGCCACCACGCACGCCACTGGATCAAGTGTTTCCTGAACGCGCTGACGGGTATACGAGGCCCCCGCTTTCGCGGGGCTCCGTGGACACGCAGGCCCCCCTCCATCGGAACTCTTCTGATGAAGGGGGAAGCGTGATCCATCACGAAGAGGCTGCGCCGGCGTTTGCTTTCGGGGAGTACCCGGAGGAGAGTGAGACCTCCGACCTGTACGGGGCCGATGATAGCGGCAACGACTCGGACGCCAGTGGGTACGATGGCGATATCTCTAATGGCATGGACTCTGGCGGCAATGGCTGCAATGGAGACGACAACGACGGCGGTGACTACGACGGCGACGATGAGGACGATGGCGAGGCAGACGACGACGACGACGACCTCGGCTCTACCGAGTCATTTGCCCAGCCTCACTCTTTTGCGTACCGAGAAACCGCCTCGGACAGCGCCCTCGCGGATTTTGAGGTGAGACCCCATATTCCGCTCCGCTCCCAAAGCTATTGAAAGGGTTAGCTAACTCAGGCCTCTAGAAGACTACTGCAAACACGCCGGCAGATGAGTAGGGCGGAGGACAAGAGAAGAAGAGAAAGATCGCTTGAGTATCATAGTCTTGTAGGACCCCCTCTACATGCAAAAAATGGAATGACACCTCCACACCATAACCGTCATTTATTTTGCTTCCGTGTTTGTCCCATCTTCTTCAAACTCTACTAAGGCAACACCACTCGCAACCACCTCGCCCTCTCCATGCACTATTCTCTGCACTTTAGCCCCTTCCATTGGACTTCTTATAACCGTCTCCATCTTCATGCTCTCAATAACAATTAACGGCTGCTCCTTCTTCACCACATCTCCCGGTGAGACGAGTACGCGAAGGATCTTAGCTGGCATGGGGGACAGCAGCGAATTGGGCTTCTCGGTCACGCCGAGGGCTTTCTGGAGCCATGAAGGCGAAGGAGAATATAGAAGGAAAGAGCCGTGCGGAGTGAAGAGGTGGAGTGCTTCCGGGTTTGATGCAGAGCCCGATGAAATCGAGGGAGGAGAAAATATGATGTGTGAGGTGTGTCGTGAATGGGGAAAGTACGTTGTCAATGTATTTGATTCAGGGTCAAAGGACGAGGAAACGGACATCGGGTCAGAGTTCAGAGTCGATACAGAGAATGTTCCTGGTCTTATTTGTTGAAGTTCCACGGCAAGGATTTCGGTTTGTTTTCCAGGTTCGGGTTCAAAGCTCGCGGTGGTGAATTGGAAGGTTCGTGGCTGGAAGTCGGACGATGTATTCAGCCACGAGGGGGAAGATAATTGCCAGCGCGAAGCCGTTGCAGTCGAGTTGTAAGCATTTGAATGGCGGAGAAACGAAGCAATTGCCGCCTGGGCAAGGACTTCGGAAGTGACGTTGATCTGCGGGAAGAGCTCCTCGTGGTGTTTTCCAATGTAGCCTGTCTCGACCTCACCACTAACGAAGTCGGGAGATTTGCATATTCTCTTGAGAAAGTCGATGTTCGTTACTGGTCCAGCCACTTCGTAGTCTTGCAACGCAGCAACCATTTTGCGTAGAGCGTCTTCTCGGGTCTCGCCCCTAACAATCAGCTTGGCGATCATGGGGTCATAGTGGCTCGAAACTTCGTCGCCTTGCACAAATCCGCTATCTATCCGCACGTCTGCGGTTTCCTTGGGGAGTCGAACGTGTAGAAGTTTGCCAGAATCGGGTATAAATCCCTTGTCTGGGTTCTCAGCGTAGATTCGAGCTTCGATGGCATGTCCACGTTGAGAAATCTGTTCTTCGACTTGGTCCTGGGTAAGAGGGAGTGGTTTGCCTTCCGCAACCAAGATCTGCCAATGCACAAGATCCAGACCGGTTACCATCTCGGTGACAGGGTGCTCCACCTGGAGTCGGGTATTCATTTCCATAAAGTAGAACGCACCCGTGTCATTGTCGAAAATAAATTCAACGGTACCTGCTCCTTCGTAGTTGACAGCAAGTGCAGCTGCTCGCGCCTTGTCCCACAGATCTTTCCGAATCGAGTCTTCCAAGTTGGGAGCCGGAGACTCTTCGAGGATTTTCTGATGACGGCGTTGAATGGAACAATCTCGCTCACCAAGAGCAACACAATTCCCGTGCTTGTCGGCAAATACTTGAACCTCAATGTGACGTGGTGTGGTGATGTATTTCTCGACAAGGACTTCATCATTCCCAAAGGAATTCCTCGCCTCACTCTTTGCACTTTCAAGCATGTCTGAAAAGTCTTGAGCAGATTTTGCGATTCGCATGCCCTTGCCTCCTCCACCCCGAACAGCTTTTATCAGGACAGGATAGCCAATCTTATCCGCCTCTTGCGCGAGTGTTTCCGGAGCTTGGTCTGATCCATGGTAGCCTGGTACACAAGGAACACCCGCCGCGTTCATGATCTCTTTGCTCCTAGCTTTGTCACCCATATCCTCAATGGCGCTTGCAGGAGGGCCAATGAAAGTAACACCCTCTTCTGCACACCTCTTTGCGAACTCTGCATTCTCGGACAGGAAGCCATAGCCAGGGTGGATGGCTTGACAGCCCTCTTGTTTTGCTATCCGGAGGATTTTCTCTTGGTCCAAATAAGCGGCTGTTGCGCCGAGATTGAAGGAGAAAGGCGAGGAAAGAGCATGCTGTGAAAGAGCATCTGGATTCGTGTATAATGTAGTTGTGCGGATGCCGTGCTGAGCAGCAGTACGATTGACTCTCAGAGCAATCTCTCCTCGATTTGCAATGAGAATTGAGTCGATGCTCTTTGTGGAGTAGGAGCGAAGGGCGCTCTTCGGACGCAGGGCTGCCGCTGCTCGAGAGAAAGGATAGTGGGACATTGTGAAGTCAGTGAGGATGACTGATCACATTTTCGGCACGTAGTGAGATTGAGTGCATGGCAATATATGTGGTTTGAAGGGAGAAATGGGTGTGTAAAGCACTCCCCAGGATCTCGGCTGTCGTCGCATGGCGTCGGGAAAAAGCAGCATCTCAGGCCTGCGGGCAAATAGGCGGGGATCGAGACGCGTGCAAGTTCTCCAAAAAATGCCTGCCTGAACATCGTCACACTGGATTCCATTTGTCCCCCGTTCTGCACCACGCCGTCCTTGGTTGCATGATTGCTCAAACGGCGTTTAGGGAGTCCTTCAAGTTCAGGAAGAATTAAAAAGTCCAACTTGTCTCAGATGAATTCATAATCGATTCCTTCCAACGACTCTCGCACTCTCCTTGCACTTTCAAGCACGTCCTGCTGATGAAACTTGCCATGTCTACTTGAAAAAGCCGCTGCTTTTGCTGAAAAGACCCTCTTCCTCAAAATGTCCGACATTGAAGACTATGCCTACTCCCCCTATGACGACCTAGAGGACATTCTATGGGACGCAGACCCAACTCCAGAGTTGGCTGACGACTTGGCCGAGCATGCAGTCCACAGTCCTGTGTATCAAGAGGAAGATGCGGTTAAGAACGAGATGAGTGAATATTATAGTGACTGGGAATACTACTCGGATGACTATATGGACGACGATCCAACGTTGCTGAGAAAAACTCTTCAAGCTGGCGACCCTGCAAAACACATTTCTGCCGCTGCGCACGGCTCCAGAAGGGGCAAGAAGAGGAAGCTGATCGAGACGATTGACATCCCTCCTTCGGGATTGGACGAGGTCAAACTATTGACTGGTGGCATTAAAGGCACAATTTGGGCTAAGCCCTCTGGGCAAAAGACTCCCGCGTACAAAGATGGTCAAGAGGAGAAGGTGGCGCTCATGAAGAATTGGAAGGACATTTTCGCCATCAAGGACAGTGGCTGGACTCAGTCCCAGGGGCAAGCAGCAGAAGACGAGAGTTGGGCAAATGACATGAGTCTAGCCGACATGGGGCTCAGACATGTGCAACGGCAGCCGTCCCATGATCCCACCACTCAGGATGCTGGAGCTGAAATTGAAGAGGACGACGACTTTGCAGAGAGCATTGCAGAAGGAGCCCTCGAGGAAGAACATGATGGACAGATCATCATTTCGAAGGAAGGTCCTGGGTCAAATTCCATCGACTCCCGCCATGCTGTTGTTGGCAAAGAAGATGACGAGGGTGGTGGACGGTCCTCTCATGGAGTGTTGGATGAGGATGAGATACCTCGGAAAAAAAGACGAGTCAAGGCAGATCCTCCATCCCCACCAGACTCCAGTGAAATTGTGGTTGTCGATGCCCACGAAAATGAAGTCATGTCTAAAGCCGCAGCATATCACAAAAAAGATGGACAAGATAAGGAGCGCACATCTCTGGTCAATGGAACAGGGATGTCGCGAGTCCAACCACCAGACATCCACGAACCAGGCTCTCGAAGTGAGAACAAAAGAAAGGCTTCGGAAGAGCTTGATGAGGTTGACCTCACGGCATCAACTGCCAGCAGGGCAAAGAGATTCGCTTCCAAGGCCGCAAGGAATTCTCAAAAAGTTGCTACCACTGCACGCTCGACACATTGAGAGCAAGAGGGATCGTTGCTTTGGGACATAGCGAGATAAACTGCAACGACCACGCCATCCAATCAACGATTAGCGACCAGTCGAGTTCGGGATATTAGAGGATCACTGGCTCTCTGACTTGAAATTGAAGAAGGCCCCTAGTGCCAGTATGATATAGTTTCATGAACGTAATGATCACAGGAAGAGATACAGTCCACAGTGGCAAGTGAATGAAAAGTGGCTTCTTTAGTTTAGAAACCCCCTATTGTAATAGTGGTAGGAAGCGAACAAAACATATTCGTGAGACGGGCGTTTGAAGGGAGCTGAGGGATGAGATGAGACGAGGCTCCAACTCGGCTACCCTGGGTCTTGGCAGCCGATATCGAACGGAGTCGACCTGCACCTCCGTCTAGCATCTGCTTCTGCTCGTGCAAGCTATCGTTGAACAGCCTGGACAACCACTAGAATTTTCACTTCAATCGTTGAGTCCATTCAGCTGGAGCCTGCATCCTCCATTCTCCCTACAAAATAGTCCACTTGGATATCTATTGGACAGAGACGAGTCTCTGTTCCATGAGAACACTGAACCACTCATTACATCTGGCTGAATAATTCTGTTTCGCTGGTACGCCCACCTATTCCTATATTAACGATACCAGGGCAATCAAACATCACCCGACCTCCGACTCAAGAGGAGCCATCTCTGTCGAACGTTGGCTAACTTTGTGACCACCTCAGGTTTTGGGATCGACTCCGCAGAGTGCAATTGGATGGGGCAGAGAAAATCTTTGTTGGCTCGGGCTCAATAAAAGGAGGAAAGATTTTCGAAGATGGCATACAGTATGTCTCCCAAGGCAGTACCAGACACCAACCGCGAGCCACCCCAGCACTAATAACACTGGGGATATAGACACTTCTTACCTCTCGTCCCCTGACACTCCCTCCACCGTTTTCCCCGAGCGACTGATTCGGCCACTCCCCAAGCGGTCCATCAAGTCCCGGTTGTCTCAAGAAGCCGCCGAGGCAATCACATATCCTCCTACGCTACCCTCGACCAGCTTACCGACGTACACACACTATGGTGAAAATGGTGAATATCCAAACGACAGCAAAGTTTTAGTGCACCAACACAGTGACGGGTATGATCAAGATCACGACCACGACCACGAAGACGATCATGAATGTCCTCACCACCACCACCATCATTGCCACCACGATGAGTACGAAGATGACCTCGATTCTCAAGATGAACGCATGGTTCCTGTCCGTCACTACTTTGTGTCTTCTCCTCGATCTCCCCGTTCTGGGCGTCACAGATACTCTTCCAAGGGCACCATCTCTGGGCCGGACGGATATGAAGCCTTTGAAAATACTAATAATAAGAAAAAGCGAAAGATCCCGACTTCTGGCAGTTTGAGTCTGCATCATTCATCCGTGACGGATCAGTTGGCGCACATGGGAATCAGTGGAACGCGAGATGGCTCCGCGGACGACTCGTATTCCACGATTGCTCACGCCGGAAGCCCTACTGGTCTCGGCGTCCAAGGAGCTGGGAGAGGGCGCAGCACAAGAAAGCTACCCGGTCGAAACCCTCTAGGTATCTCAGTTAATGGCTCTAACGCTCGAAGTAATACTTCCAAATACGACCAGAATATATCTGCTAACGCCAAAGGTAAGGACCAAGCATGGAAGGAAAAGGGCCCGAGTGTGACTAATGTGTTCTGAAGCGGAAGAATCCAAAGATCAAGGCATTATATCAGCCGCCATTGCCAATGCCACGGCCCTGCTTCGGAAGCCACTCGGTAAAGGTCAAGAGAATGTGGGAGTTCTGGACCAACAAGTCAAACAAGCCCACACCAGTTCGCAATTTACCTTTACCTGCGAGAGCGAGGCCAAAGGAGTCACCTTCCCGGAGCAGAGCTTATACTCGCCCGGTTATGCCCAACGGAACAACTTAGCCCCTCCAGCCCAGGGCGCAACACACCAGAAGGTATCAACCCAAGCAACCCAGACCAGTCCGGGCGTGGCTCAACCAAACACCCAACCTGCACCTGCTGCTTCTACGGCCGCAAATGCGAATGCCCAAGGCAAGAAGCCTCGCAGAAGGAAAGCAGATGTGTATGCCTTGGCTGCCCGACAGAGACGACTTCAACAAGAATACAACAATCTACAGCATCCGCCGGCGCCAGAGGACATCTGGATCTGTGAATTCTGCGAATACGAGAGCATCTTCGGCCAACCTCCCCATGCATTGATTCGTCAGTACGAGATCAAGGATCGCAAAGAACGGCGCCGACTGGCCGAAAAGAGGCGGTTGCTGGAGAAGGCGAAACTCAAGGGCAGGAAGGGGAAGAAACAGACAAAGGGAACGCCCAAAGCCTCAAACTACAATGGCCCACTGCTGCCTCCGCAGGCATATGAGAATCAGCCAATGGACCAGCTAGGCGACGACGATTTGGACTACGGCTACGATGATCCAGTCCCAATGCCGGCACCACCAGCAGCCACTGCCCCGAGCAAGGCTGCTACGGCGCCGTCGAATGCGACGACAGACAAGGCTGGGGGAACAAATGGAGGCGGAGGAACACGATGACAGTTGGGCTTCCGACCCCTCGGTCCGTGTTTCTTGTCTCTCCTTTTGTTCTGCTGTTCGTCTTGCTTCGGTCTCTCATTCGTCTCGCATTGGATTTTGATCTGGTCACTGGTCTTGTTGGCGTCGGTTTCGTTTCCCCCAGCATTTTAAAAACTTGTCTGTATCTACTCAATAGCCTTTTCGCCATTACTCTTGGCCTCCTGGTAATCCCTGGGTAGCCTGCACATACTCCTCTCCCTCGAAAAGATAAAACTAGTATTCCATTTCAATTGATCTGGTATGGTGGTGGTTGGGGGAGCGAGCCCCTGACTTTTGGCCGTTGTTCGTCCAAGATGAGAAAGTTGGAAACAATGGATTGCGTGTGCATTGACTTGGAACAAGGCAAATCAGTAGGGTCGACAGGGATCATGGCTTGAAGAGCAGGCGATCAGGGTCGATCCGAAGGGGCGTTTTACCGGGGCCTTGGCCCTTGGGGTTTTCGTACCCAACGCCCAATGCCATGGCTAAGAGCTTGTCCAAGCCAGACTCAGCCTCACGCCGGCACTGATTGTCAAGACAGACGTTGGCGATGGTCAAGCCACAATTCCCCCGCAAATTCCAAGGCACATTCTCAGTCTAATTCTTGGCCTTGCCGATGACGCAGCTTGCGACCACTGGCATCTCCCATTTCCAAATCCAGTCGTTTCCCAAACAAGAGACCCGTCGAGCCGTCTCGCCCTCACTTATCAAGGATATTTTCTGCGATTCATGTGTCTGATCTTTCATCACTCCTGGTTGTACTTGGTGCTCAACAATATGCCCGATGGAAGGGCTAGGATCGGTATACCGTCACTCCATCTTTGTCCCTGATACAGATTTGCTTGAATAGAAGGCCGTCCCCACCAGCCCTGCACCTTCGCAGCCCTTTCATCACTCGACTATTCATTGGCGATACTAAGGCGAGCCATTGTCGATTGCACAAAAACGCGCAGACAAAGAGCGAACAGGGCTGCCTTTGAGTCACTCCCGTTTTTTAGTTCACTCAGTGACAAACCCCCCATTGAAGCCATTAGACAAGGCGCTGCATGCTTTTGTTTGACTGCCCAAGGTATTTGTCTGAGCAGTCGGCCAAACCGCCTGGCCCCCCTGACACATCTACAACTTCTGACACAGACAGCTTTTTAATACCCTCCCTCTTCTTGCTGGACACTACAAACGCCATCGCATCAAATCGGCTACGCTCGTAAGTTTCACAAAAAATCCTCCCCAAAAAAGGAACAAGTTGAACCAAAACCATCATAAAATTCAGAATACTAGAATATCCACCATGGGATACCTCTCGATGTTTTCCAATTTCCGCAAATCCAACATGTTCAACCTCGTCTTCCGGTCGCTCCAATTCATCGACGCCCTCGTCGTGATTGGCATGTACGCCGTGGATCTCAACAACGCGAACAAGGAGGACAAGTACGCGGACTCCAAATGGGTACGTACGACCAACACCAAGACCAACGCCCTCACCTCTCTGCCGCCCGAGTTTGTCCGGGGACTAATCTTCTGCAAGGTCTTTGCTGTGACGGTGGGCTCGCTGGCGGCCGTGACGTCGCTGTGCTTCTCGCTGGCCAGCATCTTTTGGCAGTACCGCACCGTCGCTCTGCAGTTCGCGTGGGACTGGGTTCTGACTATCCTCTTCGCGACCTTGTCGGGCATCTTTGGCTCCATGTACATTGGCGAGAGGGTCGAGTATGAGAGCGGCATCCACCGCATGAAAGTCGCCGTCGGCTTTGACTTGACGGGGCTGGTCCTGTGGTTCATCACGGCGGCGTTTGGCACGTGGTGGTTTTTCGCCGAGAGGAACCAGGTCAGACGGGATCGTGGCACCAAGGCTTGAGCACCCTGCAGAGGAACTCACGAGGAAGCACTTGCAAAAAAGAAAGGGTCTGTAGACTCGCCAAAAAGAGAGAAGATAATGACACGGCGAATGCTTCTCACCTACCGTCAACCTCCTTAGATAGTGGTCTGTGGTCGGGCGTTGACCCGCATTGTATATCGGGAGACATTGCTTGGTACATGCCCTTGTGTCAACGGGTCATCTGCAAAGGGCTGCAACCATAGGGGAAGAGGAGCCGACATTTGCTCAGCTGTCTACGACCTCCAGTGTGGGGAGAAGTTCAGACGAGATACCCCTGAATCGAAATTGTTGTTTTTCTTGTTCTTTTCAAACCACCATCTCACCGTTCTTTTCCCATCTCCAGCCCTTGAAAAGAATTTCCCCGGCGGTTGCCAGTGCACTTGTACCGAGTAGATTGAGTCGTTCTCAAACTGCCGCGGGGTTCTATCCAAAGGTACATACATACCTCGTATGTAACAGTGAGTTGGGATGTAGGTTGTAAAGCCGTGCTGTGTACTCCGTATACCTATTTTCCAAGTCCATGTGGAATGGGAGCGATGATCGACGGATGAAGAAGATCGAAGACAAAGGCGGCGGAAAAGATTTGAGGAAGATTTGGCGATGCTTTGAGGAAGGGGCAGCCGATAGGTGTGTACCTACCTACCTGGGTACCTAGGTATGTACAATAACACCCGGTGGATTCAGATCTACAAGTTATACAGAGTACCGATGTTGTTGGGGCGGAATAACCCTGCACATGTCTCGCGGCGGCTCGTGAGATTAGAGCTGAGAGGCGATCAGGAGCTCGAAGGGACCCTCAATGACACATATGACGTACCCCTCCATGGTGCTCTCACCAACTGGCCCCAAAAATATTTCTTTGGGGAAAAAAGCTTCTTGCTGTACACACACATACACCTTAGCTGGTGCAACTGCTTTCCTGTGCTTTTGTTGCTCATTCCAGTCCACTATACCTGTGCTCGCGCATTCCCTTAACGTCTATTTTGAACAAGGATATTTTCTCACGGGCCATCAAGTAATGCTTTTCAATTGAAAGTCAAACAGAGACTTTAAGGTTTCCATTGATTGAAGTCGTACCTCGTTGCGTTAAACGGTTTTGATCAAGAAAGACAGCCTGCAGAACACGACCTGCGGAGGATACACAAATAAGAAAAGCACGGCGAAAAAACACTGCCGGATTCGCCAACCAGGTGGGCGCTGGCGAGTACCAAGGAAGGACGTTGCTGTTGTCCCATCGACCTGACGTCCAACATCAAAAGGCAAGACTTCTCAAGAACAGTGCAATAGTAAAGGAGGAATTTCAAGATGAACACACACCACACCCTCCGCCTGCTCCGGCAGATACCCCGTCTCAACAGCTTGCGCTCCGTCCCCTCAAGAGTCGGATCATATCCATCCCTCGGCCGACCTTTGTCCTCGACGTCCTCCCGCTCCCTCAGGGTCACTCCCCCTCAATTTGAAAAAGACGAACAAGATCCATATCATAAAGTCTCGACCGAGGCCACCGGCACCTCGGCCGGTCCCCATGAAGGCTCAGCCGCCCGAACCGATCGAGATATTGTGGTGGAATACCCTCCAGAAGAGGAATTTCCTCGGGACAGACCATTGCGCGGGAGAGGGGGGATCCAGTATGTTAGAACGTTGCCAACCTTCAGTCTCGAGGGCAGAACGGCGGTCGTGACTGGAGGCGCACGAGGGCTCGGATTGGTCATGGGCCAAGGCCTGGTTCAATCGGGAGCAGACCTGGCGATTGTCGATCTGAATAGTAAGATTTCCAAACCCTCATGTTACACCAGCTCTTGGACGTAGGAGACTGCTAGTCCGTGTGAGTGAGTGTATAAACGGCACCGAGGTTCTCTGTGCCCCAGGCTTCGATAAAGACATCTCCGATGCTCTCACGGCTGCTTGGCGATGCTTGGGGCAGGTCTTTGTGTGAAGCCGTTGACTGAATTTGAGGGACAATCCCATTAGGACCATATGCTGACCCATCTCATTTCAAACAGAGGAGGAAGGTGAAAAGCAAGCCGCAGAACTCATGTCGATGATGAACAAGGAAAACGCAGACAGCGGCTCCGACGACTACGTTCCCAAGGTGACAGCACACTATGCCGACGTGTCTGACCCAGAATCCGTGAATGCATGCATCGCCGAGATTCTCCAACAGCACGGCAAAATCGACCATTTGGTGACCTCGGCAGGATTCACAGAGAACTTCTCTGCTGAGACATACCCTTACGAGCGCATGAAGAAACTCTGGGGTGTCAACGTTGACGGGACGTATCTGTTTAGCACCGCCGTGGGGAGGCATCTGATGGAACGCAACATTACACACGGGAGCATTGTCATGATCGGGAGCATGTCTGGCTCAATTGTCAATGTGCCTCAACCACAGGCGCCGTACAACGCGGCAAAGGCGGCGGTCAGGCATCTTGCCGCCAGTTTGGCTGTGGAATGGGCACACGCCCATGTCCGAGTGAATTGTATCAGCCCTGGCTACATGTTGACGGCTTTGTAAGTGCCTCATTGCCCCTGTGTGTTTGACCGCGGCCACCTGACGCGTCTTGTAGGACCCGCAAAATCCTTGATGACAATCCAGAGCTCAACAAGACTTGGACATCCTTGATCCCAGTCGGCAAAATGGGCTCTCCTGAGGACCTCCAAGGAGCGGTGGTGTATCTGCTGAGTGATGCTAGTCGATATGTCACAGGCGCGGATCTGCGAGTGGACGGAGGGTAAGTCCTTTCCCATTTCCTGGTTCCGGCTTATGCCTTGTGGATCACCCGCGTCGTTGCTTCTTTTGGTGGTCTGGTTCACTGACTTTGCAACTTATAGATATACCTGCACATAAAGGCGCTGATCTCCAATTTCAAGTGGGGATGGCAAGGAAAAGGCCGCCATGGGAAGGTGCCTTTGGGGCTAGTTCGCGCGAGCTAGTAGATTCATTTCCAGGTGTTCAACGCAGGTATGAAGAAGTGGCACAAATCGAAAAGGCACGTAAAGACCGCCCTCTAGCCGAATGTAACCGCGATTCCTGGCAATGAAACTGCGGTAGGAGTTGAAAAGCCTGGCGAAAGCCCGGTGGTCTAAGTAGTCGAGCACGATATGCACCCCACGTTTCACGGCATCGTTCGATAGCGGTTTAATCCACCATGGCAAAGTGTGAGGCCTCAGCCGTTGACATGATCGACAATGGGACCATGGTCACAGGGAAGTTGCCCCGGAGAAAGGGGGTTCAAGCCGACAGCATGAATGTCCACATGGCCTCGAAGGCCACAGGGATGATTGGTGGTGTCAAGCTACCACCAGTAATGAACCGAGATTTCCAGGTGGATTGGGCATCAAAATTACCCCAAATATCATTGCAGTGAGGCTTAGGGCGAGATGGGCCCAAGGGCCAAGATGCTCCAGACCGCCGCTCTTGATAAATCAGCAAGCAAGGCGAGCCATGTCGGATTTTCATGCTATATCCGTGGAATAGCAGCACCCTGGTAGCAAGGCATGTAGCGAGGTACTTGTTCAGAAAACTGGCCGCAGCTAGTAATGCCCCCACAGTCTCCGAGGGAGCAAAAGAGCATGTGATACACGTAAGATAGTCGTGATTGATTCCAAACAGTATTTGTGATGTTTTAGATAAGATAATAAGGAAGCAAGGGGTCGATCAGGAGTCTGTCAAAGTAGCGCAGAGTGGACTCTGCGTGGGGAGGCTTCATCGTATCAGGGTCTGGGAGACAGGAGATCGGCGTCCAACGAGAAGACGCAGTTGTGATAGTGTGTGCCATCGGTAGGCTGTGGGTTTTGGCCGCCTAGGAGGGCCCCCTACACTCCTTGTGCGTAGTTTGCATATACGGAACGGAAGTAAGGGGCGACCCAGCAACGTGGATGTGGATTTTGTGATGGTGCGTGGAAATAGCGGCAGCACTAAATCGGGCTCGAAGGATGATAATTGGGAAGAGTGGAGAGAGGAGAGAGTCGAGATGGAAAAGGCTTCCTTGTGAGCGTCGACAAGGGGTGGTCAGGCTGAGAGTACGAGGTGTATGTACCGAGTACGAGGTACTGGTACCTGGGGGGGCTTCGATTCGAGAGCAAAAGGTACGAAAGTAACTACCTGGTAGCTAGGTAAGCAGCTAGTTAGCTTGGAGGCAAAAAAAGAGGGTGGGCCGGCAGAGGGTGCAGGTACCTGCGGATGCAACGTTGGTGAGATAGGGCCCTGAAGCCATGTAGTTAGGTAGGTACCTAGGTAGATATGGGATGGGAAGCAGTTGAGCTAGCAGTGGGACGAAGCTGCGGTGTACAGGACGAGGACGACAACGGGGCCGAAGAGGAAGGAGAGGTACCTAGGAGAGGAAGGGGAAAAGCAAAAGAGACCAATAACCATCCAAGCCCATGATGCAAGATCTTGGTCCAGCTTCTCTTTTTTGTCTTGGATTTCTCTGGTCGAGAGCCACAGCCACAGCATCATCTCATCTCCCTCTTTCCTTTGAGCTTGACTTTACGTACAAACAGATCACTTACCGAGGCAGGTCAAGTATAATGATTGGCCCTTCAGTCTTCCAAATCCTTGCCGGTTAACCGTCCTCTATCTTTGAGCTGGTAGAGCCCCAAGTACTCACTAGTTAGTCCTTGTTCTCGATTTTTCTAGTGTCGATGCCGATCCACGTCGATAGCTCCGTTGTGGCATTCTTGACCGTGCCAATTGACCATGTCGATCACGGAGTGAGTGACTCGTGTGCAGTTAGTGCTCTGCATGGTGCTGCAGGTGATTTAAGCCTCACTCACTGGTTCCAATTGCCGAGCAGATGGAAGCACAAATCCACCCATCTATCGACATCTGGTCTGTTGCCGGTATCTCTTGCTGCCTTTGTCTCTCCGCTCTTCTCCTCTTTTCGCCCGGTTCGGTCATGGTGGCTTTTTTTTAATTATTACTTTTCTCGTTTTTCTCGGATGGTGGTGCTGACTACGACGGATGTGGTATTTCGTACCGTTCACTTTTCCTCCATCATCACACGTACAGAGATGCTGGGTCCTGGGTATTGACTTGGATACGGGCCACGGGGGCGGATGCGTTACCCATTGGTATCTTCCACCTGCCCTCTTTGTACAGACCTGGACAAGTTGTGTGCCACTATTCACTCCAATCCAATCGCCTCTTCCGTTCACATTCTGCCCACCATGGAGCTTCGGAACTCAATCATATCTCATTCATTAGGTGGAAACAACCCCAACCCATCCCCCTGTCTACCATCCTGTTCCCATGATCACCATGGCTCCCGGTTTCCCGTCTCCTGGATCCCGCGCAGGGCTCCCGAGCCGATGTCTCTTGTAACCCCTCTCCATCCGCCCGTTCGTACATGAGCTCATTCCCCCTTGTCGCAAAGCTCAACCACCAACCCACATCCGAGCGGATATTTTGCCAGCTGGGCCTGGTTCCTGCATCAACAATCAGTCTCTACCGGGAACCTGGAGCTGTGTTTCAGTTGTTGTTCCGTTGGGGGGTGGGCTGGCTGCGATTTCCCACGAGTTGGACCTTATCCCCCCTTGTCGCCCACTCACGACTCATCAGAACAGACATTCCAGCATCTGCTCTCGACGTATCACTCCTTGTGTCCGCCCTCCTCCTTTGCGTTTGATCCGTCAAAGCCTCTCTCAGGTCAATTCACGTTTGCCATCCACCGCCATTCCCGCGCTAGCTCGGTCACCCGTCACCCGCTCGCCTTGACCACGGTAGCTTGCTGGTCACGACCGTTCACCCACGTTGGTACCGTCAATTCGTCTTCCCCCCGGTTCCGGCCCAACTCAAGGCATTCAATCAACCGTCTCGCGGGCGGTCTTTCAGCTGAACTGAACCCATCTCGTGTTTAGTCCCTCAACTCACTCCCTGAGGGCTCCGGTTTTACCCAACGGATCCCTTCCGCGCCGCTTCACTACTGGCTGTCACTCGCTTCCCCCGTTATTTTAGGCTTTCGGCAGCGGGTCCCAGACTTTCGATTTCTCACCACCTGCTCCCATGCACCCAGGACCCAGGACCTGACAGTTCTTCCCTCTTACCCCCCTCCTCCCAAAGTAGTGAGCCTCTTCGATCGACGTCGCCAGTGGCCTTTGCTGTTTCCAGCTCTAGCGGTGATCTAGTACAACCTCCAGCCAGCTTCCCCCCGTCTTAACCAGCCGCGTTACTTACGGTTACACGCACATTGGGCGTGCGTGGAAGGGACTGAAGAAAAAGAAACACGAAGGCAAAAATTCTGCTTTTGCCGGTCGTGCCTTCATCTATTCTTGCACACCGATCTTTGGGCCTCTTCCCCGCCGCGAGACGCCCCGGGTTGGTGGGCTCCTCCTGCCATTGCCGCCTCCCAATTTCCCTCCACCTTGTCTACCGCTTCTTTCCTCCTCTTCGATTCTTCGGTTCCTTGCTCTTCATTTTGTGTCACTCTGCGGGAACAGAGGGATATGATTTGGCCAAATTGGGGTTTGATCGTCCGGCTTCGTCGAGCTGCCACCGACCGCGACGTACCTTGACAACCGCTTGTCATGACGGCCGTTCTACCTCAAGGACTGATCAATGCCAATCCCAATGCCCAACAGTATGCTCTCGATGACTCCCATGTCGATATCACCAATGCTGAAGTGCTCAGCAAATTTTGGAAAGGTCGGTGTGCTGCGGGACTCGGAAGAACAACCGTGAATCGCTGATTGTTTACTAGTTTATGCCATTCAAAGCGACGCTACCCAGGACAACACCTCTGCGAGGTTGCGAAACCTGTTCTGGAGAGTATGGAGCAATCCAGTCCTCACCCAGTCCATGACATCTGCACGATTGATGCGCCTGTGGACTTTATGCTCCCAAGACTTCGACTTGACCCCAATTGAAAACAGTGCTAGACTGCCCCGCAGACTTATCACACAGGTACTCTTTGAGTCCTTAACATTGTGTGCAAGTTTCCCGCTGACTGGAATGGTCTAGGGCCTCTTTAATTCAGACCAGACTCCAAACACGCCCTCTCCATTGTCTCCTACCTCTGAGATCCATCAGACAACGCATTCCACTCCACGAGCTAAACCAAATGTTGCACCTACTCTGCAAGATTTCAGATTTCCTTCCGGGACGGCGGATACAGGAGACGATGGTTCCCATCCTTCTCTGGTGCACCCCAGCGGACACGGCCGAAAGCAGTCAGAAGATACTTCGGGGTCTGCATCCCACGCCACGTCCGAATCGTCTGCGCGCCCGACTTTGAGTAGAACCACTAGCGGGGGACGACAGAGACTGCCTGTTCTGGCCACCGCTGGAAAGTCGAGGACAAGGCCTCAAATCCCTCCAAGAAAATCCAGTTCACAGAAGTCTCCGGCGGGTCCAAGTGCGCCCAAATCTCCAAGGGCACAGCCAGAGGCTACTGCGGCCAATCTCTCAATTCAAGACGCCGGTGGAGTTGTCGGTCGGCTCTCTGCCAGAGGTCCGCCTCCTGGCTTACCAGTTGTGCCTTGTATGTGTTTCTCGCATGTTATGAGCTGGTAAGCTGATGAATTCAGTGACAGCAGCTACCAGTGGACCGGCTTTCGCTCTTCCGTCTGCGTCTTCGTGGCAGAGCGTAGATTCGGGTTCTGACCCTCCCCTAGCGACCACCGCCCCACATCTGCCTACGTCTTCGGGAGAATTGGTGGAGCCGGATTTTCGGGGCAGATTTGTCGAAACACAGAAGAAAATGGCTAGCTCGACAAACCTTGCTGGACTGAATCGCATCAAGAAGACAGGTAGTGTTGTCCGCTTTGCAGATGAGTTACCCCAAGAATTGCGGAAGGGAAAGGAGAGGGAAAAGGAAGCCATGTCCCCGGTTCGAGATGAAAACCTCGGATCTTCACGGTTGCGGACAAGCATGTCCAGCCAAGCAGTCTCCGATGATGCCAATGACGATGACTCGTCTCTGGAGAATATGCAACTCCCACGCACCAAGAGCCAGCTGAGTCTTCTGATTCAGAACAGAAGGGATGAAACAGGAAGCTCGGATATCGGCCCTGAAACGGAATCGCAGGACCCTAAAGGAAAAGGAAAGGAGAAGGAGAAGGCCCAATCTAAGGAAGAGGAACTCCTGTCAATGGGTCGACGTGATGGCGTGACAAAGGCGGGCGGCATCCAGGTACGCAAACAACACCGGATAAGCGAAATCGAAGATCCTGGATACATGTCGCCGTCAAGCCCCGAGCCTTTGTTTTGAGCTAGCCTTGTGCTTGGACCCATCGACAATCGCTTTTTTTGTGGCAAACATGAGCTCATTTGTACCACGACATGACGTTACGACGAGACGGCCGAATACAATATGTATCAACAAACGATGGTTTGAGCAACAAGAATATTTCGTGAGGAGAGTTTACATATGCGGCATTCACCTTGGGAGCTGTGGGCCTCGGCCCGGCGTTTGCTGGAATAGACATGGCCATGGCGTTGACAGAGCATCTTCTCAATTGAGCAAGTACCAGAGCATTTTGGACTATACTGGCACCAGGCTGCCCAATACGGAATGAAATCAATATTAGCTTTGCCAACTCCTGGGTACTCAATGCAACTAAATGATGACCCGCAGATGCCCTTCGCCATCCCAACCCGTCTGATTTCTGCGAGACGATCTTGCCTGCCCACTCGCCTTCGAGATCGTCCAACATAATGCACTGAGAATCATTTCCTCTTGTGGCAATTGCAAGTTGGGCCAATCACCATAGAGACCAGCTCCGCAACCTTGCCTTTCCACACCTAAGGCGATGGTAGCATTTCCTTCTCATTCGTGACGTATATAGGTCTGAAAGCCTTGAGAAGGTAGGCAGAGCGTGTCTAGACCTAGAAGAGGGAATGGATCAAGCGCCGGGAGTAGAGGCGAAGGCGGGAATGCGTCAAGGCGTTGAATACTTTAGATTTCCCTCGATAATACGTGGTCATTTCCCTGCGACCTTCTGAACAGGCCGATATATCGAGAGGGAAACAGTCCCCATGACTCCTACCGCAGCAAGGAGGTCTTGAATTCAATCGGTGGTAAGGGTATGAACATGTATTCTTGAGGACTTCTGCGGCCGAGATATTGTATCCCACAACAGAGGAGGGGGCCTCAGCCGAAATGAGGCTTGATGGGCACTGAAGGATGGATTTCATACATGCATGATCGAATTTCGGACAGAAATGGCAAATTGCGAAGGACGCGTTGAAAGGCGGGGCTTCATCGACGCGTTGATTGGATGAATCATTGTCCTTTTTCTTCTCCGCACAGTGCACGTGATCCATTGGGTTGGAGAGCTCGGCTGATCGCAAACTGCGGTTCAAAAGCCTTTGGATCTCGCCGCACCGAAAATTTCAATCGCGCAGCGCCCCTTGTTTCCGAACGAAAGAGGCGCACATTTGATGAGGATACAGTCCATCGTATCTGGATCTCGTATCTCAACCTAATCAGCGTCCTACGATCCTCCACAGTGCCATGCAGGGCTCGACATTGGAGAAGCTGAGCGTCTGGCGTCTGGATTGGAGAAACGGCGTTGGAGGGGGAGCCCAAAGTCCCAAAAGCCACTGGATGGTGCATTATCCTTCGCGGCCCGCTTTTCCCTAGGCCACCAGCCACTCAGATGGCTTTGCCACTTCAAGGGATCCGTTGGTCGGCCATTCGGTGCAAGCGAAGAAAAGCGCAGGGTGGGTGCGCCAGTGTGTGCAGTCACCGCCGCAGTCTCGCCAGCAGCCAGAGCGAAGAGGGTCACGGTAACTGCTTGCTGCTTCTTCAACTTCTTACAGAGCACAGCAGCCTTTCTTCTTCCCTCTCCAGGTCTTCAATTTCCCCCCCAGCCATGTGAAATGCTGTTTCTAATGCTGGAACCCTGCTGCGGCTGTTGTCTGTCTCTGTGACCTGCTCTGGCTATCCTAGCACCCGCTTCTCCTCTTCGAGAAACACGACGAATTTGTAACCACCACGCCCACGGCGCGAACTCTGCCTTTCCACCACCACACCTCTCCTTGCCCTCGTACGACATGTCCCATATACTCTGACCCTGCAATGACACTTACACCGATCAATAGAAAAGTTGCTACGGCAAGAAACCACCCATCATGAGCCCTCGACGCTCATCCCGTGCTCGCTCGTCACAGCAGCCCCCTCTCGGTCCCAACCACACAACCTCCACCTCCTCAATCAACCCCAGACCAGATCGAGATACTCGAACCAACAACTTTGCAGCCTCTCCTCGAGGACCCTCCACTCAGCGATCTGAATCTGCTGATGGCGCAGACTCATCATCGCGGACCGAGCAGATCGCACCGCGTCGCAGTCGCCGCAATGGAGACGACAAAGAACAAGTAGTCAAACAACAGGCCGACGATGAGGAAAATGATCTAGAACCTGCTGATGAGGAAATCACTCGCTGTATCTGCGGGCAAGCCGAATATCCTGGTCCTTCGCCGGCGCTCCGTCAGCAGCAACCAAATACCGACGTCTTGACCGATGACACGGGTAACTTTTTCGTCCAATGTGACAAATGCAGTGTCTGGCAACACGGTGGCTGCATGGGTCTACTGGATGAGTCGATGCTCCCGGATGAATACTACTGCGAACAATGCAAACCACAATACCACAAGATCACAAAGTCCGCAAATGGGTGAGCTTGTCCCTTCTCGAACTCTTATGCTCCAAGCTGTACACAAATACCGTCATTGGAAGGGTGTTACACTCTTCTGAACGCCCCTTTGTGCAGACTACGTGCTATCACCTTGATTGCCATTCCTCTCAAAGAAGAAGACTGACTCATTGCATCCAACAGGGTAAAATCTTCCCGATATCTCCCTGTCCTGGAGACTGGCTCCAGTCGATCCTCTCCCTTATCGTCAAATCCTGAAATGGGCCGCAAGAAAGAGAACAAGAACAAGCAGTCCGAGAGCACTAAGAGGAGGGCCACCTTCAATAGTCGGGGTGCATACGATGAGGATGAGATGTTGAGGAGAGCCATCGAGGAGAGCAAAGAGATGGGTACCCTCGGCAAACGCACAAGAGATGAATCAGAAGAGTAGGACATCCTTTGATATAGAGCATTACACCTTGCTGACTCGTGGACAGAAATAAAGGTGCTTCCAAGCGACAACGCACGGGATCCAACTCCTCAGGGACAGTCTCGAAGCGCAGCGAATCGCCTGATGTAGCGGTCGATGACCCAATTAGCAGATCAACCACCAACGGTCGAACTGCCGCACAAAAATTGAGAGGAGCTGCGGCTCGAAACAATCGTGAGAAGGAGCTTCGAGAAAAAGCAAAGGAACAGCAGGCAGCGCAGCGTGCAGAGGCGGCGAGCAAACGTAATGCTCGTTCAGAACGAAGAAGGGCAGACGGTAAGTAAAACCCACCTTGAAGCTTGAAGATACTGACTATCGAGGCAGACTCACCTCCTCCCACCCCGAGCCTCTCTCCCTCAAAGGGAGGACAGCCCAATGGCAAGACAAAAGCAGACACACCTCCGTCTGGGCGTTCGAACCATAACAATAACCGCAAGGTCGGCTCAAGACCAGCAGCAAGGCGAGGAAGACTTGGTAGAAATCAATATACGCGTGACCAGACAAATGGAGAAGAAGGGGACAATACACCTCTGCGGGATGGATCTCACGATATCAACGGCCACGACAACAAAAGTGGAGGGTCACCTTCCGGTGCTGATAGGAAGGGCAGTGGGGGAGCCGCTGCCGTACACAGCATCAACGGCGAAAGCGGGCGCAGTTCAAAGGCCAAGACACACCCGGCGAGGACGAGTCTCAACGAGATGAAGAGACGGGTGGCGGCAATTTTGGAATTTGTTGGACGCATGCAGACTGAGCGAACGACGCAGGCTCAGGCGGCGAGCCAGGTAAACGGCGGCAGCGGAGGGAGTTCCAAGGGCTCGACGACGCCGAACGGCGTCAGCAAGACGTCAAGCACTTCGAGTTCGACCGGGAGTACCCTGCCGACGGCGAGTCTGGTCCGTGCTGTAGAGGCTGGGCTCAAAGACGTGAAGGAGAAAGACGACGACCATGTGGTATCGATGATTGATGAGAGAGAGTTTGCGACGATGGGGAGTGTAGACATGATGGAGACGTTGACGAGAGAGTTGGTCCAGTGGCAGAGTGTGTATGGGGTATATTCGCGGTGACAGAGGGAATGGTGCTCACATGGAGAGCAAGGAAGAGAAAGAGACGCTGGGAATATTCGACGGCGCCTATGAACATGACGACGATGACGCGTGGATTTTTGTTTTGTGAGTTACCGGCTTGCACAACTGGAAGATTCTGCATTGCACGGGCATGAATATCGTCTTGAGTCTGGAACGGAGTAGCATACCAAAACATGAGGATTTGACGACACGGGAAAAAGGCCTGGTTCGGTGTTTCTTTGGGTTGGATCCCCAGATACCATCTGACGCATGACACATGATACTTTGATCGTCTTTAATGTTGAGGAAAAATTCCTACCTAGTCTGATGCAAGCGAAAGATTACAACTCAGAGACTTGAGACTTGCGAGGAAAAAAAAGTTTCCAATGGCTCGGATGGCATGGGCATTGCATTACGAAACAGTGAAACTTTGCAGGGAAGGAAAGCCGAAAAAATACGAGGTGTTCCCAAAATGACGATGGACTTTCGGTTTTGTTTGCCTGCCAGTGTGCATGCTATCAGTGCCCCTTGGCATGTTTGGTCCCCCATCGATGATCTCAGGCTGGCTAAGATGAATCACGTGCTGATAACTAAGAGCATCAATCAATCAGCCTGTGATTACTCAGCCCCTTCGTCCCTATTGGCCAGGCTCGGCAAGCTCGCAGCAGCCTTGTGCCGCTGGCACTCCACCCGGCGAGCTGGTTGGCTTACTCGCAAAATGGCTTACTTGTTCGGCCGAAGGGGGAACATCAGCCCAGAATTATACACCGGAGTTACGAATACGAGCAAGTCAGTCCTGCATCGATCTGATTTCCGGAGGGTCAGTTCGTAGCAAGCTTTGCCTCGAGGTCTTTTTTGTCGCTGCAGCCCCATCGAACCTATTCTCCCTTGCAACTCAACTTACCTGGTTGCTCACTCTCTGCCCTTTCCATTCGCAAAGAAGCTAGGAAATCAGGCGAGGCGAGCGAGCAGGCAAAGCAAGAGCAAGAGCAAGACAAAAGCTGCTGTGTGGCTCACTCTAACCCACTACCACCCATCAGCTATCAGCCATCAGCCATCATCACCACGACCGGCCTCCCTAAGCCATAATTCACTGTTCATCTGAACAGTCCTGGCCTCGACTAACGTTTGGCCAATCTCTTCCTATTCGTCGACCGTCGCTTCAAAGGAGGATACCGCGGCGAATAACTGCAGATTTCTGCTGCCTCATCTAACTTGATCGGGGCTGGTCATCGTTGGGGAGACGAGTCCAGAGGCCACGGACGAACAGGTTTTTATCTAGATTACCTCCGGACCAAAAGAGAGCAGAGGAATGATGGTCGACCACGACGATCACGATCAAGTCGACCCCCATCATCCAAAAGCCCCTGCAACCCAAGAGGCAAAGACCAATCACAAACGAAACCATACTCAGGGCGACAAGGCCCGTGGACCGTCAAAACCATACGTCCGACTAGTCACCGACAAGCGACGGGAGCAGAACCGGCGCGCACAAAAGGCTTATAGGGAGAGGCTGAAGAAGAAACTCGAGGTGCTGGAGGAGCAGGCTGCTTCCACTCTGTCCCAGCCCAGCCAGCACCAGCAAACCACAGGAAAGTCCAGCCACAAGCCTGTCGCGAGCTCGCGCACAGAGATTCGCATCGAAGACGAAGAAGATGGTAACATCAACGTCGACCTTGAGTCTCCCACATTGCCGTCTCGGACCAAGTTATCAGATACAACCGCTGGCCCAGTTGGTTCGGCCCCGCGGGTGATAAATCTGGCAGAAGCCTTCGTCGCAGCCGGTGACTTACCCTTCGGACAGGGCCCGTTCCCCAGTATTCAGTTTCAAGTAGGACCAGAGACACCGAGGTCACTTACGGACACCAGCGAGGTCGACAACCACACCCACGATGACTATGGTGACCTTGACCTGCGGCAGATCTGGGCCATGCCGCACAGGCGTGCTTCCCCGCAACAGTCACAACGACGTCTTCCCGATAACTTGCGCGGTTCCACGAATATCATGACCTTGACCCCTCAACGTACCCCCAACGGACTGCATCTTTTCACGCCCAAAAGCCCCATGGCAGATCCGTACATCAATCACCTGCACCTCATCGGGGAAGGCAACGTCGAAGCCTCACTCGCTGTGGCCCTTTCGATCGGCATCAGCCGCAGCCAGTACCTGAACGACCACCCATCACATTTCCCCAAATGCTATGTCGCGCTCAATAAACCTAACCCGATCTCCCCAACAAACTCATCCTCCCCTACGACAGTGAGCTATAAGTTCGCACATACCTTCATGGACATCACGCCAGAGCTGCAAGAGCATCTCGAGAGAGTGAAGCCACCCATGCGTCCAACACCCACACAGCTCCTCAATCCACATCCAAGTTATCTCGACTGCATCGTATTCCCTTATTTCCGTGACCATGCAGTTCAGGCATCTGTGGACGGCATCCTGGACCATGCAGAGCTGTTTATGGACCTTATGCATGGTGGTTTAGTTTGCTGGGGCGGCTTGTCTGGGCTCACGAACAGGCACGGAAAGTCGGTCAAGAGCGGGAAAAGAGACATGAGGGACAGCGTGGCCTGGAATACAAGAAGTTGGGAGGCTAAAAGATGGTTCCTGGAAAAATGGACTTGGTTGGTCGGCACAGAAGAAGAGGAGGAAGCAAGAGGTGATGTTGATGGCATTTGGAGAGGAAGTCGGTGGTGGTGGGCCATGCGCGGCGAGGACGACACCGATGAAGAGAAGGAGGACATGGACTTTGCGGCTGCCCGGGTGAGCGAAATTGACGGCGGCAACCATTGTTTGTGAGGGTGGTGGCTTGCTGGCTGAACCGTACCATGAGTGAAGTCAGGGTTCTTGCTGTACAAGGACCTGATACTCGTATTTGCTGAAGCGGGACCCGAACCATTGAGAACCGGAGCCATTGTCATTGACATCCTGATCTCCCATGTGGTGGTTTTCATAGGTCGGCCTTGTGGACCTATGTCTCGTGCGACTGAATAGCGTGCGAGAAGACAGAGCGACCTGTCTCGAAGCTTGAGCTTGGAAGACTAGAGTAACCATTGGCAGATCTCTAGCCCAGAACCTGGTGGGGTTCACCAGCGCAGGTGGAGGAGTATTCGAGATCACGCTCATTGAACCTTGGCCACCAACTCGTCAAGCCCCAAATGCGGAGCTGCGCGAGAGAAGGAATGGTTGCTCAGGATATAGGGCCTCCGACCATTCGAGTTCGAACGTGGTCAGCTCGCTGACGAGGCACTCTTGACGTGTTCCAGTCACCCACCAGTGTGCATGGGATCCGTCTAACCAGTGGAGCAACATGCGAAACGTTGGGAGGTGCAGTGCTTGCTGGTTCGAGATGGTCAGCTATGGGTTGTCTCGCATTCCAACATGTGGCGATCGGGAGACTAGCTGCAGCTCGATTTCCAACGGCGTCGTGACTCGTCTGGGTCGCTTTTCCGTGGACGAATCGTAAGCCACAGCAGCCCGTATCTCTCTGAACAAGGAAGGTATACCACATTCACGAGCGGAACGTCGAAGATCTCCATGGCTCTCAGCCTAAAATGCCATGTGAAGGAGGCATCCCCGCACATCACGCAGCCCACCGAAAAGAGCGGTGCTGTGGAAAAATGCTCGTAATGATAGTGGAAAAGCAAAGTCCCTTGGCGGTGATGTCGTAACGAACCAATCTGGAGCCGGTGCTGCGAGATGGCATGGAACGCTAATGCAACCAAAGATTCGCCGTGCCTGAGGTTGCGAGACAACTTAGTGCTCGCGAGGTTTGTGCACAAATTGGGTAGGATTGGCAGAAGTGAGGTGCTCGACCATCTCGCTCAGGCTGCCGGTTGGTTCCTCGTGCAAAACCGTACCTCATTAACCTTCAGAGCCGCAGGTGGCTTGACGCGGAACAACGTCAATGTCCGCTCGGATTTCTGCGCACGATCCTGTGGCTATGACGTTCCGCAAACTGAAAGCTCATCCATCTCGGAACCGACTCCGTTGCACCACGTCTGTATGATAGTACGATCTCAAGGAGAACGTGCTACATCTTTACTGAAACGGGTAAATTTCGAGAATATTCGTGTGAACAAAGACGGTGATTGAGAGTGGAGCTGAAAGATGGCATATCACTCGGGTCCCTGAAGAAAGATGCAGAGTACTTCGGACGCAGTTGTTGCTGGACGAAAACCCCATGAGGTCGGCGGGTATTTTCCACAGGGAGGGTTCCATAGTTCGACCGTCTGAGACGCATGCATGTCCTTAGATTCATCTGGAAAAGCGCACCCCTGCCGATCTTGGTCTTCAAGTCTCCGTCATCATACATATCTCGTTCAGAATGGCGATGATCGTAACCGTATAGGGAAGGAGAAAGAGGAAACCACAAGGGGGCATATTGAGCACATTGACTGTGCCTTTCGACGTACAGTGTAGGTGGCTTGTGAGATGGTTGACCCGTTTTGAGCTCGGAAGAAGATGTACACAGATCCGTGCATAAGTCAGTCAAGGCAGGAGGTTGACAGAGCAGCAGGGCGAGATCAAGAGTCCTGGTCCAAAGCGGTAAGCGGCTGAGGCTTTTGATGAGCGGAGAGGAGGATCTCGTGTGGGCAGCAGGGCACGGCACGGCAATAGAAGGCCGGTAAAAATCCCAAGAATGCGGTGAAATGCACCGAGGACAATTGCAATGGCCGCCGTTCGGCTAGGGATGCGCAAGCTCCCTTCAAATCAACTGGATCAATCAGTGAGTAAGGATCGTCGTGGTCATTCAGGATGCTAACTTGGATTGAGTTGGCTTTGACTTTCGCGGCCAAAGTCTCGGCTGGGAGAACGCGATTGGGAAGTCGATGTCCTTCTCCTTGCTTTCCTTCTAACCAGCAATCGGTAAGATAGCCCTGGTGGCCCTTCATCAAACAGTTGCTTCGACCCGGCTTACCGGGATGATTCATGTTGCAGTTCCCCGGCCCGGGAGGCCAGTTGGGCCACCCGGAAGCCACCCTTGGACCCAAGTCCCCAGCAGCCCAAGCCGCCTAAGAAACCCGACCTGCGTTCCGGAGTCAAGGATTCCCCTGGCGCCCTCGTGGCTGGGCAGGACCGAGCATGGGCGTGTTGGGGCTGGCGCAGGCACAGGCACAGGCACAGGCACAGGCACAGGCACAGGCGCGCCAGCAGTGTGTGGGCATGGTGACCGAAAAAGACGGTCAATCCACAGTGGTCCTCAATTATTGTGGCAAGAGATCCTATCCACCTCAGACTTCCATCGTTCACTCATAGATCACTTGTCTTTTGCCATCCACACAACCCCTTTACAATAGGAACCGAAGTGGCCAAGCACATGGGTCAGGATCAAGAAGAGACCGTGCATTTTCCAACCCAGAAGTTGAGCTTTGTCCGCCCCAGTCAGCGTCGACTTTTCTCAATGCTGATCTTAACTTCGCCTGCGGGACCAACACCCAGGCTAAAAACTGCGAGACCCTCAGTCCTCATTGCAACAGCGGCAGACACAACACCAGGCCAAAAACCCTCTCTGGGCGGCCCCCCTTCCCCCTGTTCATAGGCACAACCAGATTATGTAAATGGAAAGCGGTCCACTCAGTGCTCGCTTCCAACAAACAAAAACCCATCGTCACCTCCACGACGTCCAACGAACGTCATTGCCACCATTGTCACTACATCTACGTTGCTTCCTGGGTTCGGCCAGGCAGACCACTGCTTCCCATCACCCGTCCCGACAGCGAACCAGACCCGAACCAGTCCGTCACTCGCCTATGACCCGAGCTAGTCGCCCACACTGAACGCCTCACTTCACCTTCCCACCACCCTCACCAGACGTTTCACTCAGGGTTTGGTTGCAGGCTGAAGGATTAGCAGGAGGCCGCAAGTGAGGGGACCAACATCGGCCAGCAAGATCACGATTTCCAGTAACAAACCCAGCCGGATCTGGAACTAGATCACGAAGCGAACCGCTTTCCCCCTTCAAGGACCAGATCCCACACAAACTATTAAAAACCACCCATACCGGTTTTCCTTCTGCACGACTCGCTCTGCTGGCTGACCTCCTACACAACTGGCGTCGACGAGCGGACTTGTAAGCTTCCTCAGCCGCACTTTCGCTTAGCTGGCTCTCCAAACCATCCAGAATCTCCACTAAAGTGGTGTGGGTAAGAGGAGAGGGTTTTATGGTTTGAAATGTAGTCGGGATACTTTTCGAACCAAGCACCACAATTTTCAAACCTCGGACTTGTCTGTGTCGCAATAACTGTGTGCGCGGTGGCAGGTCGCGAGGTGAGTAAGGATGAGTCTGCAGCCCAGGTATGTTTTCCATTCGCCTTTTACTTGATCTCAGGCTTGAGTCTCGAGTACCCCTCCTCTTCGTTCGGCACAGTCAATGGGCCTAACCGAATATCCTCGTTGGGTACAGGCGAGAATATCACATTGTTGTGCTTGGGACCGGTACGTTCAACCCATCCACCTTCCACCAGCTGGTGGGTGCCCTCGAGTTGCCACAATCTCCTACTAACCACATGGTCTCGTGCTCAAAACAGGAGGAGTAGGCAAAAGCTGTCTCACGGCCCAATTCGTGCAAAATGTCTGGATTGAGAGCTATGACCCGACCATCGAGGACTCGTACCGAAAGCAAGTGAACGTCGACGGTCGACAGATCATGTTGGAAATGTAAGGATCCAGATTTGCTTCCTCAGCCTTCTTATTCCCTTGATGCACTGTCTATAACCAGAACAAGGGCGCCTCACAACCGAGATCTCCTTCAATATCTCCATAATGCCCTCGCTAATCAGCTCTTGGACCTTCTCCAGCCTCGACACTGCCGGCACCGAACAATTCACAACAATGCGCGAACTCTACATGAGACAAGGCCAAGGCTTTCTCCTGGTCTTCTCCATCTGCAACATGAACTCGTTCTACGAACTAGCCGAATTGCGCGACCAAATCGTTCGCATCAAAGACGACGAGGACGTCCCTCTGGTCGTGGTGGGGAATAAGTCCGACATGGAAGATGACCGCGTCGTGCCCCGTGCACGGGCGTTTCAACTCGCGCAGTCGTGGGGTCAAAAGCCGTACTATGAGACGAGCGCAAGGCGGAGGACGAATGTTGACGAGGTGTTTCTGAACCTGTGCACCCAGATCATCCAGAAGGAAGGGGCACGGAATCAACTGGTCCAGCAGCAGGCTGCTGCGAGGCGGCGAGATAGACCAAATCGGCATGATCGCAGAGGCCGGCGGCAGAGGAATCGGGACAGATGCGTCATCTTGTGAGGCACTTTGAGCCTCTGAACCCTGCTGATCTTCTTCACACCAAAGGAATCAGTACAACAGAAAGCAGCCCCTAGACATGCATGCATGGAATGGGGCGTGCGCGACGCGCATTCTCGGGATTGTCACCACAGGCGTTTCTCTGAGGAGCTAGACAAAAAGAACGGGAACGGGGGCTGGTCCAAAAAAGCACGTCGGGGGAGAGGAGAGGGATCGAGAAAAGTGTGTTTAGAGCTCTAGACTTACCCGACTCAGGTCGAAATTGTGTCGTTTCGAGGGACGACCACTGTGTTCTGTCTAGTTTTTCCTCGCTTTCTTTCAACTGAATCTCCTGCACTCGTTTCTCGTGTAGTCAGAGAGTTCTTCTCTACGTGACGTGTCCCTTTGTTATTAGAGTGAGTCTGTCTTGTACCCACAACGGTCGGGTCCTCCGTAGCTGAGTGAATCGACTTGGCCCGAATGTCATTCAGAGGACAGAGAAAATGGACTGGGGGGCCACCACACTATCCTGGAGTTATACGTATCTAATTACATCCTAAAGACGCCAAACTTGGTCGGCTTCTCATGATCTGTCATGCCGCCCAGCGCGACCTTCAAGCCCATGGCCAACACGCTCCTTGTCTGCGCGGGGTGAATGACCCCGTCGTCCCACAGCCTCGCGCTGGAGAAGCTGGCATCGCTTTCGCGCTCGATGCGGTCCCTGAGACCGACGTCGACGCTCTTGCCCACCGTCTCCATGACGGCGGTCAACTGCTCGGGCCCCATGACGCCGATCTTGGCGTTGGGCCACATCCACAGGAACCGCGGCGAATAGGCGCGCCCGCACATGCCGTAGTTGCCTGCTCCCGCAGACGAGCCCACGACGACGGTGAACTTGGGCACATTCGCGCACGCGACTGCGGTGACCAGCTTGGCCCCGTTCTTCGCGATGCCGCCCCGCTCGGCGTCCGCGCCGACCATGAACCCGGAAATGTTCTGCAGGAACACCAATGGAATATTCCGTTGGCAGCACAGTTCGATGAAATGAGCGCCCTTCAGGGACGATTCGGAGAACAAAATCCCGTTGTTGGCGATGATGCCCACCTGGTAGCCGTGGATGCGAGCGAACCCCGTCAGCAGAGTGGTACCGTAGTCCTTCTTGAACTCGGCGAATTCGCTCCCGTCGACGATGCGGGCGATGATTTCGTGCATGGGAATCTGTTTGCGCAGGTTTGTGCCTACGATCCCGGCCAGCTCGGATGGGTCGTACAGGGGTTCACGGATCTCGTTGGGGTTGACGGGAGGTTGTTCTCTGGGGTAGTTGAGGTTGGAGATGGAGCGGCGGGCAAGGACTATCGCGTGAGCGTCGTCCACGGCAAGGTAATCTGTGACGCCAGAAACGGAGCTGTGAAGGGAGCCCCCGCCCAGGTCTTCAGCTGAGACGACTTCCCCGGTGGCGGCCTTCACCAGCGGTGGACCCGCCAGGAAAATGGTGCCTTGCTTCTCGACGATGATGGATTCGTCGCACATGGCAGGGACGTAGGCGCCGCCAGCCGTGCAAGGACCCATGACCACGGCAATCTGCGGGATGCCCATGCTGCTCATCCTAGCTTGGTTGAAGAAGATGCGTCCAAAGTGATCCCGGTCCGGGAAGACGTTCGCCTGATTGGGTAAATTCGCGCCGCCGGAATCGACGAGGTATATGCACGGTAACTTGTTCTGCTGCGCAATCTCTTGGGCCCTCAGGTGTTTCTTCACGGTCAAGGGATAGTACGTCCCGCCCTTGACCGTGGCATCGTTGGCAACGATCATGCACGTCACACCTTCGACAGTGCCGATTCCAGCAATGACGCCCGCGGCAGGGACTTCGTCCTCGTAAACCTCGTAGGCGGCGAGGGGCGAGATCTCCATGAACGGACTACCGGGGTCGATGAGAGCTGTTATGCGATCTCTTGCCAGCATTTTGCCCCTTTGGATATGCTTTTGCCGCGCCTTCTCTGGTCCCCCTTGGGCGATCTTCTCGTGCAAGGTTGCGTATTTGCTCATGGCCTCACCCAGCTGGGCTGCATTGTCTTTGAAGTCCTGACTGGTCCTGTCCACCGCAGTTGGGAGGACGGAGATGGCTTGAGCATGCCGTCGGTGTGTGAACGTCGCCGCTGCCCTGGTTGCTCGTGGTCTGAAGTGGGATGTGGAAAGGCACTTGTGTTGTTCTCGAAGAGCGTGGTTGAGGCTCCTCAAGAGAGAGTTTGTCGGAACATACTTGGGAGCCATGATGGGTTTCTCTGCCGCACGACACAGGTAAGCTTGAGTAGGGGACGGTTTGAAGAGGAGGGATACTTCGTGCGTAGGGCACCGTGGGAAGGATGTCTTCAATGCGACCGCAGTTGGAGATCGGAGTCCCTCCCCCTTGGCATGCCGTCAATAACCGAGATCTTGCTATGGCTGAGTATTCGCCCCAAGTAGCAGTTTCTCAGGTTTAGCTGAGCATCGGTGAGCACTCCTAAGCAAGGCTCCCTAACGACGCGTCAGGCTTTTGTTTAGACAAGAACCACCGTCCCTGTAGTGATCCGGCATGAGCGGGCAGCGTCGCCGATGCTAATATCTCATTAATTATTACGCATTATTTACCAGCTGCCTTTCCACAAATCACATCCACAAGAGTATCAACATCCTCCTGTGCTCAAAAGAACAAATTGAAGACAACGTAGAGTCCGAGGGGCGATATCGTCGGGCCTGAAAAGATTCAAAGAGGACTTTGGCTACCTATCCAACGCACAAGCACTCTTGGAGCAGCTCCTCTGCGTGCCAGTGCGCAAAACGATCGTTGTTTGAGCCCGGCTTGACTGTCTTGCTACCAGGCATCTTGAAAACGACAACAGTGTCCAAGGGCGCACCATAAATGCAGTCGTCTTCCTCACCGACTCGCTGCACGATCAATCCCACGTAGCCGGGCTCTGCGACCGCCGGTGGTCCTTGGACTCCGTGGGGACCTTGTATAAGGTATAGGCATTCGGCTGCTGCGCCTCCCTCTGCAAGGACTCGGTGAGTCTTGCTCCGCCTCCAACTTGGTGAGTCTCGGGGATCCAGAGCAGCAATCTGCATGCCGTAGCTGACTGGATATTCTACACCTTGGTCGGACGTCGCTTGGACGGAGAAGAAGATGAACTCGGTGTTCGGTACACGTTCATTTTTTGTCCAAAGCTTGACACAGTTGAGCTGAACGAGTAATCCACGATCAGTGCGAACACCTGCGGGCCTTTCTGGTGTCGCTGACGGGATGCAGACGTAATTGTCCTTGTACTCGAGCAGGTGGAGCGGGGCCCATCGATATGGGTAGCGTGGCTGGCGCTCGCCATGCGTGAACATGAGATCTGCTGGAATCATGTCCAGCTGGTCGAAGAACGCTTCCAGTCTCTCTGGATAATCTCGTGAGAGAATTGCTTGCAAATCCAAATTGAGATGGATGCCCAGACAGGTCGCCTCGTCCTCTTTCCAGGTGGTATCACGGAATTCAAGCGCTTGGAACATTGTGATAAACTGACCGTAAGCATCACCTCGCGGCCAATTGAGCATGAGCGGATCGAAAGGGGCATACCCACGCCGACTTTGGGTCCTGAGCTTTGGACGTAGACGGATGAGGGACGAGATCATGTCTTTGACAATGTTGCTGCCCAGAATCGGCCAAGGTCTGAGCTGAGCAACCAGATCTCCAAGCTCGACAGTGCCGTCCGAAAACTGGAAGTGTAGTTCTGGACCCAGCATACCTTCCGGAAGTGTCCAAAGCCGTGAGGTCCAGGAGCAGCACACAATCCGCAGAAGAAGTTCAAGGGCGACTCCAGCACGCGTTTGTTCAGCTTCCACAAAGTCGACGGTCACAAGCTCACTCTCGATGGTCCGATACATGAGGTGCTGTTGAAGCCCCCCGTCGAGGACAAGCACCTTTTCCGCAAGTCTGTATGTCGGCTCCATGACGGCCAAGGCCTTTTTTCTTTGCTCCAAGTCGCGCGGGATGCCAAAAGTATCAATCCAGAATGGCTGGGCCGCTCTTCCGGTGAGTGTGCTCACCAAACCTGCCAATCGAGAAACTTGGCAGCTTGGAAGCTGATTATTGACACTGTTCCCAAGGCCATCAGCCCAAACATGTGATATGGCCACATAGCCAGGAGTAGCCTTTGCCCGAACCACATCTATGAACAAACTGACAGCACCCTGCGGAGAGGTGTATTCTCTCACCACGAACGCTGGAATCTCTTTGTCATCCAGAATTTCGATCACTTTCCCGACATTGGGACCAAGGAAGGGGCACCTGCACCCGTTATGCACGTGAGCAGTCCGATAAGAACTTTGATCGATCTTCTCGCCCAGGCATCGCTGGACCGTGCAATTGCGGTGTCGACCTCTGCCAACTGCAGGATCTTCGTCGTACAAAGAGAGAGACGACAAGAGAGCCTCGGGCGCGTCTCGTGGAAGTGCAGCATGCTCACTCGTCGAACCATGAAAGGACAGCAGACTCAAGGAATAGATTGCGTCCATTGCAAAGAGAGCCGTGAGTTTGTTGCATCGATGCGGACATTCCCATTGCCGATTCATGCGAAGGTGAAGGAGTGTACCATCGGGCCAGTGTTGAAAATCAGATACTTCGACTTGGTAGCACTTCATGATTGTGTTGGCCAAAATCTGTCCAAGCATGAGGATCGACCATGTGATCTGAAGAGGCACATGGAGGGCAATGTCTGAAGCCGTGCAGCGTCTAGCGGAGACCTGATCAAAAGCTTCTGTCACGGCTATTGTGAGGCCAAACACTTCTTCCCAGTACTCCCAAGGCGGGCGGGGGCTTTGCAGACTCTTCAATCTGCGCTCAATCCTGAGAAGATAAGAGCTCAAGTGCGGGCTAATCATGTATTTCTGCCTGGCCTGATCGCCGCCATAATCAGACACCCAGTGTTCCGGCGTAATGCGGTGCTGATTTCCCAGTGCTTCTTTCAACAGACCAAAGAAAAGCCAGGTCTGCAGGAAAGCAAGACCTTGCCTGTCTCCATGGCCTCCAAAGTCTCCCCGCAAGAGGTTGTCGATACTGAAGCCCCATTCCGCTGGTAAATCGAAGAAGCTGCCATTGCCCGGATCGGGGCCAGCACCCAACCAAGGGACTCTGATCGGCCTTGACTCGGACGGCATTGGTGGGAGATGTCCCAGTAGGAAGGGCCTATCCCTTCCCAGTCGTGGACTAGCCCCGACTTGCGGAGTGTGGGCAGCATTGGACGCTGCTTGAAAAGACATAGTACGTGCAGCCTGATGGCGCAGGTAAATGGGCGACGGAATGGATAGGTAACTGGTTACAGAATCTCCCAGTTGGTACGACTGTCATATAAATAGTCGGAGAATGATCACCCAGATGCCAGTCCCTACCAAAGTTCCATAGGCCAGATACATGTTGGAGAAGGGGAGTAACTTGGACAGTCTGGTATGGAGCATTTGTCGCCCCGTCACCTGCTCGGTCCATTTGTTCGCCAAAATCCCTTGCAGGAGGCGCGCTTTTCCCAGGTCGGTCATACGCACTCAGCTGGACAACCCAGCCGATACGAAGTCGCTTGCACTTCTGCCTGCAGCTCGCGCAAGACCTCTGTGCGTCTTGTGGAGCCTTCGAACCACACCACGGCGAGACTAAGGGCCTCTCTGACATAGCCTGTAGCCAAACGCATCTGCCGCCGTGCAAATTCGCTGCCTCTATTATGAGCGGCTGGAACCGACTGCTGCTCCGACCATCGCAGGGCTCGCGCTGTTGAAAGCCTGCTCAGTCCCGAAAGCGCGACCACACGCAATTTGGCACGATGAAATCCGGATAGTTCCTCTGCTTGCCGCAGAACACGGTTGAAACGGCATTCTGCATTGTCCCATTGACACTGCATCAGAAAGCCTTCCGCAACATTCAATGATGTGACCAACACGTTCCTAGCTGATTCGCCATAGGCTACTTCTTGCGCTTCGAGAAGTTTCATTCGTTTGAGCGATCCCTCTCCGTTGAAGCCAACGTGATAAAGGGCGTCACAGTACCTTTCTTGCACGTAGAAATTCTTCCACTGCGAATCACCCGCCGTCTCCATACATTCTCCGGCAGCCTTCAGACACAAGAGCGGGATTGAGAGGAATTCTTCAGAGCGGTGGATAACACGTAGAGCATCCACAAGGCTGGTTGGCACGTTTGTGCGGGTGCTGGCCAACTCCACAGCTTGTTCCAGTAGCTTGCCGGCCACCACGTTGGCCTTCTTCGCAGCCAAGGTGCACAGAAGCATGAGATACAGCGCGATTGCCATAGGGTGTACATCGTCGAGGATCTCTTCAAGTACCAAGAACCCCTTTCGAAAACTGGTAAAGGCACGGTTCATGGCGTTTCTTTCAAAATAAAACAACCCTTCACTCATAAGATCTTGCAACCGCGCGTGACTGGTGAACTGGTGCACTGGGGGTTCTTTGTGAGCCTTTGCATTATCTGAAGCAATGTACCTCAGGCAGAACGATCGCAAGTGTTGGATGGCCTGCGCCCCCAAACGGTACACCTCAGGATCGCGCACCCGCTCCATAGCCAGCCCTTCCGATACCCGCCCAGCTTGAGGCTTGCTTTGGCCGGCGAACCCTCTTTCACGGCTGTCATCCTTCACTCGAGGGAGGCCCAGACTCCCCGACGCGCTGGGACAAAAACTCTGACTGGGGCCAGCTGCTTCTGATTCTGACTCTTCTGGCGTCAAGCCAGTCAGGAGCTCCACCTCGGCAGATGGTGTATCTGTAACTGGCGTAGTTTGAATCCACTGGAATGGATCGGTGATGCCTCTTCGACGACACGAACGAACAATGTCTTCCAGACCGACCACTTTGCGGCGAATGCGGAATTCGGGGCTCTCGCACGGCCACGACGCTCGGTGGGGACCCAACAACTCCAATGCCGTGCGCACTTCAGACAATGATAGCTTCTTGTGTAGATTCCACTTGAGCAGCCTGGTTTTCACCATGCGAGTGCTAGAAGACGGTTAGAGAGTGGGCTAGGGGTCTAGATCAGGCGCGGGTGCACCACTTACTTGACATGAAAGCCGAGCCCGCAGAGATGATCACGCACCTGGTCCATCGTCTGTCGCCTAAACATGTAGAGGTCTTCTATGAGAGGCTTTCGGGCCAACCATTCTGACTCTGCGTGCGTCAAGACCGACATGATGCGGCTGTCGGTGAGCTGGATGGTAGGACTCGCCTAGGACAGTGGCAGGGCAAAGGGTGAATGTCGTGGACTTGGAATCCTTCGCGGATACAATCCTGTCAAGCAATCCAGCCATGGTGTCATGTGAATGAGGCTGACTCGAACCGAGCGAAAGCACAACCGGGTGTTCTAGAAGTAGATCTATGCTGGGGACATTTGTTTGGAGTTGGTCTGGGAACTTGAATTCCACTAGTGGAGTTGAGGGTGGGGTGCCGTGTGCTCTGTTTGGCCATCATTCTGGGGGTGCAGCTGGTGACTAGGCCATCAACAGGAGGTGGAAGGAGTAGACTGGTCTAGTCTGGGTGTATTATTGGGTGGCTATCTGGAAAGACTGCTTGGAACCGTACACCTGGGCAATAAGGCATGTGAGAGAGAAAGCTGGAGGTTGACTGCAAGTGCTAACAAGTACGAGGTACTAGTAGGTACCAGGTAGTACTCCGTACATACCAAGGCGCTAGAGGCCCCACGGCGGGCCTCCCACCTTATCGACACATCCATCGGCCGAACCCCGGACCCCCACAGATGGAAGCCGTCTCGCCGTCACTCATCACCAACTTCAGCCATTTGTCCCGCGCCATTGTTGAGCGGGCCGTACAGAGCTGTTGTTGCGATCGACTGTCTGAGATCCTCCATCTGGCCCTGGGTCCTGCTCTTCATGCTCCGAAAGGACATCTCCAAAGGTCCGGCCGCCGCAATGGCCGCTCGGAACGCAGCTGGATTTTCGGTCAAGACCGTGGCAACCACGGCACCACCATAAGTCGCCAGCCTCACCACCCATGCTCCGGCCCGCTGCAGCATTTGCTTCTTCTTAAGCCTTTCCAGATCCTTGAGTAGCTTGGCGATGGCGACTTGGGTCTGCGCCCCCTGGAAGCTAGATTCCATTTTGTCGTTCATTCTGGCGAGCTGATCGGACCACCCGTTTCGGGCGAAAATGGCCTCATACTTCTCCCGAATCACCTGTCCGGCGTCCGTCCTCCCCAAGGTCGCTCTGTCGGTGACCATCTGCTGGCTGAGCCGCGGCACAAAGCTCTTTTCCAGATGCCAATCAATGATCTTCAAGGCCGAAGCTTCAGTGTTGTCGAATCGACACATACGTGCTTGGCAGCCAGCCTGACGCATTTCGGCCCAATAGCTCGGATGTTCTTGCAACTGCCTCTCACGTAGAAGCCCAACCTCAGGATCGACTAACAAGCCCCATTTGTTTGTCACGAGTGTGATGTTTTTGAAATTCTCCTTGCCGGTAAAGCTTTCCAATACCCTGATATTCAAAGTCCCAGCATTGCCCATTCTGGTGCGACCGATATCGTGGAGATAGATGATCCCACCGAATGTCCACCCGGTGCTACATATGGTATTGACGAAATCTGCGATCATCTTCAGTACGTCGTCGTCGCACATCTTGTCGTCATCGAACCCGGGAGTATCGATCAGAAAGACTTCATAGCCGTTGTACACCATCGGATAACCTCTGACTTCCGTAGTCACTGTATGTCATGTTAGCCGTAGTGTCTTCATTTCCGGGGAATAGCCTTCATGACCGGATTCAAGACCCTCCCCTGTCTCAATGGAATTATCGCCAGTCGCTTTTTGGATGAAAGTGCTTTTCCCGGAACCAGTGAGGCCCATGATAAGTAAGTGGACCGTGGGCAGTCCTCGACTATTTGTTTGCTCGGAGGCTATTGGTGAAGAAGCCATAGCTGCCTTCTATGCTGGATCTCTGGAGAAGCTGTGAATCCTTCTCGGAATTTTCCAGGAGCAATTGCGGCTCAGTTTGCGTTTACATTGCCACCTTTCTCACGAAGCCGCACCCGGAATATTTATAACCAGGTAAGATGAAATCATGCGTAGTGTCAAACTATGGACATTCAAAGACTGTCCGGCCGGCTGCGTTCAAGTCAAGTTCCCGTGTGGCCCATTTTGCGTGACCCTGGCCACGCAAGGTTGCCATGAGTCAGTACAACACTCGAGGGACATTTGAGAGGAACAAGATCCCGAATTGGCGCTAGGCCGTGCTGTATAAGGTGCGACAGAACTTGTGACAGGAAAGTGCAAAGCCGAGATCGCTAGGGAATGGGATTGTGGCAAGGTGTGCGCAGCTATCTGCAGGGTCATGGTTGGAACAAACGCCTATCTCAAACATTGCCAATGACGACTCAAATTTGCGCGCGAAAGACTCGAGCTATTCCGCCTACTACTTCGTCTGGCACTCAGTCTATGTGCGCCCATGACTATCGACAGAGTCGAGTGTTAGAGTCTGCTCAATGTGTATCTGTTTCGTTGCCATGGACTTGAGACACGGTTGTCAAGAGGTATTCCAAGGCCTCGGAGAGGCCATACCGCCAGCATAATGCCATGATTCGTGAGGCTGTCAGTTGCCTTCGCTTGGATGCAAGGTCGTTTGGAAATTGGCAAAGGGTTGCCTTGTGATCTCAAGCATCCGAAAGCCTGAGAGCCTCAAATAATGTGCAACCAGACGCGAGAGGCTATGCACCAAAGGCCCGGAGCAAAGGTCTCGCTTCTACGAGCACAGGGTCGAGAACATCCGTCTCCGGACTAGCTCACATTTGCTTTCGGACGTCCCTGCAATTCGTTGCGACTCAAGTCATCACGGCGACTGAGCATGTGCACGAATCAACGAGGTCAACTGGTTGAACACACGAACTAAGACTCTCGAAATCCCCCACTTTTGCGATGAAGATGGGAGTGGAGCCATGTACATGCCGAGGACATTTGTATACGAGGCTCAGCCGTCGTATCTCCTCCATTTTGCCGAAACTGGAACGCAGTGGCTGCCTGTATTCTAAGAAAGGACTGCGGGAAAAGACCCACTCGTCGTGGCTGATGGCCGGATTCAAACGAACAGGCGGTGCGCGGCTCAAGCCACCCACGAGTACGACTGTTTGATCCAGTTTCGTGGGTCTAGAGGCGACCAATGTGTCTGTGGCCGGGCCTTTTGAGTGCTTTGAGGTGGCTTTGGTCCAAAAGCTTAGGGTGCTTGTGCTGCAGGTCGACGTTTTGAGTCGCGAGGCATGTGCTTCAAGGTAGGCGGGCTGTACAGCCTCACGGCCCAAACCCTTCTATTATATGAGGCCTTCTACCTCCAGTCGTGCCCAGCACATTACCCCTCAAGGCCGTACGTCCATAGTCAGATACCACCTGAGCCGTCAAGACACGATAAGGATCTCTCGACATCTACAAGTTCCAGGCTCACAGGCTTGCCGCTGCTCAGAAGATGCTAAGCCGGCTGAGAGCGACCTATAGGAAGATTGTACAGGGGTTGTGGACGGCAACAGCAAACCTGGTGAGTGGAAGGGACTTGTAGGAAGGCCCAAAAAGCCACGGAAGCATTTGCTGACTTTTTGAATGATGCAGCTAGTTGTCCAAGCCGTCTTGCTTGCGATAGCAACCTTCTTTTACGGCTGGAACTTATACATCATCCAAGCGTTCATCTTGCGCCACCCAGCATACCTTCTCGTGGGATGGGCTTTGTTTCTCGGCGTCAACCTCTACCGAGAATTACAAGGCCTTCCCAGAGAGACCATTCCAGACATTCCCGTTAGGCCTCTCTTTCCTTTCGTGTTTGAGGCTTTACCGGCTCCGATAGCACCACCGCTGCCACCGCGTCACATCCCAGCTCCAATTGCCCGGAGAAGAGTGCGCTATGACATATAGCCACAGGGCAGAGACCCTGGCGCAGGATCCCGCGTGTCACCTTACGCGCACACGCTCTCGTTGCAGGAACGCCTCTGTATAGGTTATTCAGGACAGCTTCGCGGTGGAGTTCCCAATACAAGAAATCGGAGCGAGAAAGAGACGTGACATACCGGCTGTGATACTTGAATTGGATATGCAACAGATTGCTGAAATACTTACATGTCCCATGATATCGTAATTCATATGTGCTGATCGTGCTTCACGCTGACCAATGTGTTGGATTATGCTTCCCTTTTTAAGCCGCTATGCAATGCATGAAGTGGCTTATGCCTGTACAAATGAAGGTAAATGAAGGCTTGGTTGATCCCGTTAGAGAAGGCGCTTATTGCCGGAGTACGGAGGTCCTTCGGGATGGTTTAGGAAGCAGAAAGTGAGCCGAGGATGATAAAACAGTAGCTTGGGAATGACGAATGAAGGAGCATGTACCCGGTACCTAGGTTAAGTGGATTATGGATCAGCCGTTTCGGGAGGAGTCGATAGAGTTGATGGCCATCTCCTCATCTTAGTCATATTGCGAACCTCAAAGCATCATGAACCCCCTGGTGAGATCCTGTTCTACGAACAAACCGACCTTCAGCAAGTAGGTGACTCAAGAGAATCGTCTGCCTTATCGAAAAGCAAACTCGCCACGCTCTCCCCGATAATATGGCTCAGGCGACAGAAGTTGTCTTCTTACCCCTCAAGGAGGGGAACGATCCGCAGAAGTTGAAGGCTACGCTTGAAACCATCCTGAAGCACGGCCAACCACAGCGCATCTATGCTGGCGCCCAGGTCGAACACCCGAATGTTCACAATTTCTTCATTGACTGGACCAGCATCGGCCATCATGAAAAGTTCACCGAGTGGGAGTAAGGTCGATCGGAATCAAACACAAATGGCACCTCTACTGACGAATGTTGACAGCGGATACAAGGCCTTTCTGGATGACGCCGTGACCCAGTGCACGACACCCCCGGATCTCTATCATGTCCACTTCGAGCCATTCCCACCATCCAAGGCATTCTCTGAGGTGACCGAGTTCCTCAACATTTACTTCCCTGCCGACTATTCGGCCGAGGACCAAAAGACATTTCACGAAAACATGAAGAAGTTCGGCGGTGTCATCACTAGCAACTGGGAAGGATGCAGGGGAACCGCGGGGGGTTGGGTTGCGGAAGAGCGCGAAGACCCCAAGAGCGGCGAAAAGGCCAGAGTCTATGTTGAACTTATTGGGTGGGAAAGTGTCGATTCGCACATGAAGTTCAGAGAACAGCAGGCCTTTAAGGATAATATTCATCTCCTGAGGGGTGCAAAGGACCTGAAGAATCTGGTCATGGTTCACGTTGCCGCCAAAGAGTTCAAGGGGTGAGTTAACTGGAGGACAATGAGCGCCACAGCTATAGCTACAGCATGTGTCGGTAGTGGTAGATTCTGAGAGAATTGAATGCCGAGTCCTATTAGTAGTGCGGGGTAGAACAAGACGAGGCTTCCCCTGCTCAATGAATGACGCCAAGGCGGAGACCCGATTCAAGAAATCCCGATGATGCACCGAGTGCCATGCACATGCAACTTGAGTTTCTAGAATTTTTTTCTTTATGTTGATGCGCTGCGACCACCAACCCCTTCTTATATATTGAGACCAGATGAGTAGCACGGATATCGACTAGGGCCCGGGCGCGAGTCTTCGACACTAAAGAAGTCCAGTATGGCGACCGATGTGGTCCTCGAGACGACGATGGTAGGACACTCGCCCGCTCAGCAATCTGTTGTATTCTGAGGAACTGACCCATTCCAGGGCGCAATCACTGTTGAGCTCTACAACGATCATGCACCCAGAACCTGCAAGAACTTCTCCACCTTGGCTCAACGCGGATACTACAACAACGTCATCTTCCATCGCATAATCCCCAACTTCATGATCCAAACGGGCGATCCTACAGGGACTGGCCGGGGCGGCTCGAGCATTTATGGAGAAAAGTTCGCCGACGAGATCAGCCCTTCCTTGAAACACACCGGTGCTGGTGTGCTGAGTATGGCCAACAGCGGCAAGGACACAAACGGGAGTCAATTTTTCATCACGCTGGCCCCGACGCCGTGGCTGGACGGGAAACATACAATCTTTGGAAGGGTCAAGAGCGGAATGAAGGTTGTACAGCGGATGGGGCTCGTCAAGACCAACAGTGAAGACAGACCTCTGCAGGAGGTCAAGATCATCAAGGCAAGCGTGGTCGAGGGGACAGAAGCGGGATGATAGTCGACCGAGACTCCTCGCCGCACCACAATTTAATCTGGTGTTACCTGCATTCGATATTCGCGAGGAAATCCACGAGGAAAGTGATTTCAGAAGGAACAACCGGCGCCGCTCCGATTACATAGCTTGCTAACTGCAAAGCAAGCAAGGGACCTGCTCTCCCCTTTCCGCCCAGGGTCCTAGTCCACAGCGACCATTGGAGATGGGGAGCCGTGGAGCTTTCGACAAGCCACCAGCGCTTTGAGACAGACTTGTCCATAACTCTGTTTTGTGGTAGTTTGCACGGCGGATTGAAGATGCCAGGAGCCACGAAATCAATGGCGCCAAGGTGATGGGTTTTGTGGAGATCAGGTGCATATCAAGCTATGCACCTCCCTATCGTGCCCCTGAGTGTAGGGCAAGATCTACGCGGTGGCTTTTGAGAAGCGCTTCACCTCGCACTTGGATTTGTCTCCTATCCAACAGGTGGCTCCTCGATCTCGCGTCTGCAACTTGTATCGTGTCCAGACGCCCAGGTGGTGGGCCACGCGAACGCGGAGAATTGATCAAGTAAGGGGCCTACTCGTATTGGTGGTCAACTACTGCAAAGTCTAATTGGGAATCTGATTCTGTTTTAAGCAACAACTGGGTTGGTTAGAATGGGCGCTTAGAGAAAGCTTTGCAGCTTTTGGCCTCGGATATTGCGGCATGCCAGCCTGGCGCTGAATGTCGATATTTTGGAATACGAAGAACCCTGTTCCGGCTTAGCCCCAGCGTCTACGAGTACTTGTACGTGCTGCAGCCCTTACGCAGTCTGGGATCATGCTGGAGTGCATTGGATTTGGACCCCGGGATCAGATCTCCGGGGTTTTGGATCTTCGGATACTTCATTCGCTTAAGAGCGGCTTTCGGCTTCAGATCAAGTGTGAAGTCTGACGTTTGTTCAATGTATCCCACGCCCAAGGTCAACGTTGGCCTCATCAACCAAGCTGCTTCAGTCACCAGGGTCGCATATTGACACTGTTCATGCCTCTGGCGATATAACGGGCCCTTTTTGGGAGCCTAGCAAGGCTCTTCTGAGGCTGATGGCCCAGCTCGCGGACAAGTCCATTTCGCTGCTACACAGCACATCCGGAGGAACCTCAGGTGGAACTTCCCACATGCTCAGAGACTGTCTTCTGATAGAAGGACGTCTGCGAATTGGCGATTCCAGGAGATGAATGCAACGTGGTACTGTCACCCGTAAGCAGACAGACGGGTTGCGCCACCTCTTGGACTTTATTCCCCCTCTGCTCCGAACTTTCAGGTGCCGGATTATATTCCACAATACGAAGCAGGAGGCCTGAGGGTGGCATGTGAAGACATAGATGCCAACGCGGATTTGTTGGTGAGTATTGATGGCACGGTGAATTAGAAAGCTGTCTCGTATAGTGGTGCAGCTGGAAGAGGGCTGACATTGCCCTGACATCAGGGAGCCTCTCCTTCTCAGCCGAAGAATGCTCGCAAAGTTTCTCGTACCTTTGCATATTGGATGGCTCGATAAGGCCTACCTTGTTGCAACACCATTGCCGCTCTTGCCGCGACCGTTTACGAGTAGGTATGTGGTGGTCATCCCGAAAGTAACCATAAGCGCGATCTCATTTGCCAGCGACAACACGAAAGATCGACAGCTGAGGGGCCGGGGTCCATCTTCCTCAGAAAGTTCGGAAAATATTGTTCGCTGGGCGATGGCATTCCAATTTCTTCCAGCACAACATGGATGTTCACACGAGTAAGGTGCTTTGCGCTTCAGAGAGGAAGAGACCGTCTACGTTCGCAATCGCCCCGTGCCGATATTTCCGTATCACCGCAAGAGCGCCATTGAGAGAGGCGTCGAACGTTTCCTGGAAGTGTGGGTGAGTGGAGAGCCAAATCAGCTAATTGTGGGCAGTGGGCGAGGGCACCCAGAGGGGACTTGGACTCTGAGCTGTGGTTGGTGTCGAGGTCCCGGCAGCACCTCAGGCTAGCTGGGCGATTGGCGGCCTGCAAGCACTTTCCAGGTCGAGCCTCAGCCCGTCACACCTGGGCGGCAACGTTCTGCGGCCCCCCATTCGCTTTGTTGGACATGCCGAGGGATGCCTAGGGCCGCCTGGACCGAGCTTGCAGCCCATCCGGACCACCCATGGCTGATCTTCCCTGCAGCCTGATAGCCTCGAATCTGCGCCAATTCATGCAGCTGTTCCTGGCTTGTCACCTTTTCAATCCAATCATTGCCTCTCCTGCACTGCTTTTCGTCGTGCTTTTCCTTTATCTGCGCCTCCTATTCGCTTGTTCATCTGTGTGACTGCTCCAAAAGAGGGGTCTCGGTCCGCTCCAGACCTCCACTTGGTTTTCCATCGAGTCCATCATGCATCCCACTGCTGGTCTCACCGCACAACCAATGCAAGCTCTCGTCGAAGCGCTGACTCTTCCTCCGTACCGCTGAGATGCACCACCATCCACAAGATGCAAGACTCTCCGCGGCCTCCAGAGATCGATAGCTCTGCTCTTCCGGTGCAACTATTGCTGCTCTCACCTGGTAGCTGCTGCTGTTGTTTCTGTTTCGGGTTGATATCACTGTGAGGAGAGTGAGTAGCGGGGTGCGCAAATCGCTCTCGCACGCGCGTCCGTTCTCATCACCACTCCTTCCCAACTCAGTCCTCACGCTGAATGATGTCTTCTTCCGCATGATCCCAGGGTACTATATCGCTTCTTTCGCCCCCTCCTCACCGTCCCTTCTCTCCCAACGTCCATGAGGCTTTGGGTTCCTCCGTGCTTCCATTCCTTACATTCGCTCCCAGTCGTTCCCTTCTTCTTCTCGAGAGAGCAGGCTTTCTCTTACCAACCATTTGCGCGAAAACTGCACATCTCAGAAGGCGGGTCCACTGAGCGGTCTCAAAATCCATGACCACTCTGTGAAGACGAACAGACATCCAATAGATTCGAAGGTCTGACCGCAGGCCTTTCGGTCCCTCCGCCCACGTACACGGTCATCACTACGAGTGTCTCTTGAAGAGACCGCTTCTCACCGATATTCCCCCTTCCCTTACACTGCTGGACCAGCTGTCAGCTGCAGAAGAGGTTCTTACCGCACAGCGAAGATGCCGTCAGTGCCGTCGGAAGCATTGGCGCAGTTGGCAGGAAGAGGGATTGAGCAGAGCGTGGAGGAATTGGTCAAGAGAGTCAACATCCCAATAAACAGCACAACGCCTCCCGCCCTCGTTGCAGCCATCCAGCATGACCCCTTCAACCAGGCAGGCAAGTACGGACTCATTTTCGTTTACATTGGGATCATCCTCGTGGTGTCCACAACGATCAGGCGGCTATACTACTACTGGGGAGACAAGATTCGCACGGCTCTGTTCAAAGAAGAAGTCATCAATTCTGCCTCGACGATCAGTCCGCTGGGTGTGTCACCGAACCATGGGTATGGCGACTATGAGCTGCCCAGCGCATTAAGTGTCGCCACCGATGGATCGACAAGGCATTTCTTCCCGGCCTCGGGACCGCTGGTGGCCGAGAAAGCACAGCAACAAGCAGCTGTTTCGGCCATTGCACCACTCAACAACACGATCGCCCTATTTCGATGGATCTTCTATAGACCCATCCCGGCCATCAAGCTCGGCAGATGGACATTTACGTTCCCTTCTTTGGGAGTTGTCGTGGTCATGGCCATCTGCCTAGTGTCGTCCTTGCTTTACTGTTTCCTACCCAGTCCACTCTTCTACGCATCCATGTCATATGGATCTCCTCCACTGGCAGTCCGAGCCGGGATGATGTCTGTCTCGCTGCTGCCATGGGTCGTCATGCTAGCCAACAAGGCAAACCCCATAGCTTTCATGACCGGGATCGGGGCGGAACGACTCATTGTGCTTCACCGATGGACAGCTTACCTGTGTGTCATCTTTGCCATCATCCACGCTGTCCCCTACTGGTATCAATCGGTCAACGATCCAGCTGGCTTTGCCACGTTCAAACTCTACTTCAACTCGCAGTATTGGGTCTACACGACAGGCATCGCAGCCATCGCTCCCCTGATCTTCCTCACCCTTCACTCCATTCCCATTCTTCGGCACAAAGCATACGAGCTCTTTGTCTTGCTGCATATTCCGGTAGCATGGGCTTTCATTGGCCTCATGTTCTGGCATTGTCACAACTACTTGACATCATGGGCGTATCTTTACTCGACTGTGGCACTGATGCTTGTATCGCTGCTTACCCGGCTCTTCTTCTTGAACTGGATGAATCCCTTCCGATCATCGTGGCTCATCGGAGAGGAATCGGCTGTCACCATCCTGCCGGAGAATGCTGTCAAGGTCACCATCCCCACCCAGAAGAGGTGGCGTCCGGGTCAGTACGCATACTTGAGGATGCCCGGAATTGCCATGTTGGAGAATCACCCCTTCACCATTGCATCACTATGCAGTGAAGACTTCCCCTCTGAATACGGCGAGCAATACCGAGACATGACCTTGGTCTTTCGGCCATTTTCAGGCTTTACCCGCAAAGTCCTGGAAACTTCGATCAAGAAGGGACCCTACAAAACTTATAGAGCCTTCGTCGAAGGACCCTATGGCGGCATGCAGCGACAAATGGCCTCTTTTGACGAGGTTATCTTCTTTGCCGGCGGAAGCGGTATCACGGCTATCGCCAGCCAGTTGCTCGACCTGATCAAGCGCATGCGTGACGGCAAGGCCACCACCTCCAAAGTGCATGTCGTCTGGGCTATGAAGCGGCCTGACATCATGGAGTGGTTCAAGGAAGAGCTTCGGATATGCCGAGAATGCGCCCCACCGGGCTCGGTGCAGTGCCACTTCTTCATCACGGCTGCAAAACGATATGAGCCCATGCCAGAGATAAAGGAACACCGCCTGAGCGGTATCAGAGACAAGGTTGCTGATGTCCTCGATAAAGCCACGGGAGGATCCAAGCGCAACTCGGCCTTGGTGATGATGGAGCAAGAACCGGACCTCAAGCGCGAGTTCGAAGACACCATCACAGCGCTGCCGCAAGCCTATGTGGCTCCTCCTCGTCACCTCGCGTCACCTGGCAGTGAACAAGCACAACCATACTTTCCACCTCCTCCAGCTGATAAACGGGTGTCAACCATCTCACAAGCGCAGATCGATGCTACACGATCCTTCGACTTTGGCTTCCCTCAAACGCCGACGAAATTCCAAAAGAACCTAATGCGGTTCGCCTTTCTACCTACCAACGTCGCGTCTCATAGACGAGATGGCTGGCGGACCGAGTACGGAAGGCCCGATATTCCGTACATGCTCAAAGGGCTGAGCAAGGAATTTGGACGCAGGACATGTGTATATGTCTGCGGACCACCGGAGATGAGGACAGATGTGGCGAACACGGTGGCGCGGCTGCAGAGTGAGGTGTGGAAAGACTCGGGCAAGGATGAGATATTCTTGCATGCAGAGAATTATGCCATTTAAAACCCAGGTGTTGATTGTTCCTTGCTGGAGAAGGGGTTTTCGGACGACAGCCATGATACTGTTATTAATTTTCGGGGGGCAGGGGCTTGTCAGCATGCCCCATGCATGAAAGAAGCGGAGCATATACCATATACCACATCAGCACGGAATGAGTTATAAGGCCCGGGATCTCACGACGTGAATGAAGGAAGAGAACAAGTTGGGTTCTCTTGACATGTCATGGCGACACTTTCTGATATGGGGCTCTCATGGATTTTGGGTGCTGTTGAGGTTTCCGAGCTGTCCGGCCGGAAGGAGTTACGATACCCTCTTGTTCATCCTGGCAGTCGTTATTTAGCTCATTTGTACAAAATAGAGTCAGAGGCCATCATGAGTTGAATGCATGGCATGAATGAAAGACGAGTCCAATCTCGACTGAAAGGCTATTTCACAGGCAATCATTCGAGTTCGATGAAGGTTCTCGTCCTTGTAAGTCTGTGAGTCCATATGACCCATTCTCAGGAGCTGGAATTGTTGTTATGTGTTGTGGTGCTAGTTGCTGTGATGGTTCAGGGAGCAGGCTGGTACCCAATACACCGGCACAAGTACTGCGTAGTCTGTATGAATGTACTGGAAATATGGATACTCCGTCGAGGGGAGGCGAAGAAGAGGAGGGCCATAGCAACCCACGTTGTTTCCTGTGAGGATTCGGAGATTAGTATATACTACACTGAGTAGGGGACCAGACGCATGCATGCTGAACACCAGGTGGGGTGGTGGTTGACACGGTCGCACAGGCCAGTGTGCAGCCTCGTTGGTATACATTTCCGACGGGGTACGAGGTTCCGAGTCCGTACCTACGAATTGGTCGGCTTCTGTGTGTCTCCACCGCTCCTCTCCAGGAGACTAAAATTGCAGTGCATGCGCTTTGCCACTGAGGTTCTCCAACGCTCCTCTCCAGGAGGCTAAAATTGCAGTGCACTGGGTGTAGT